AGTTTCTTCAAACAATAAGTACTTATTTTATTTGATACCAAATTTCCGATCTTCCTCTCGCTGATACATATTTCCTTCTTCTTTTTTTTCTAAGTTTTTAATCTATATTTAAATTTCTTATCCTATAAAATATCTAATTGAAAAGGACATTAGGTATCTAAATTTTTTCGAACTCGTAATCTTTTAAGTATCAATTTCAATAACATGTCAATTGATTCAAAGAATAATCGGCTACAATTTACTTACAATTTAAATTTCTTCAATCTCAAAAGAACATTTTTTATAGTACTTTATAGGAATTCTTTCACTAAATTGAAGAAAGTGCAGAAATGGTCACAATGTCACACAACCAAGCATTTGGCTCATTAATCAGCTTATGATCCACTGTTTAAAGAACAGGATTCCAATATTCTTTTTCTCAAATAAAAAGAAAATTTGATTCATAGACAACCTTAAACATTTGTTTGTCCATTTAATTAGCACTAAAAAGTTAAATAAGAATGTTTGTAAAGAGAAACATAGAATATCAACTTATGTTTGGCCCAAGTGACAGATTTTTTTTTTTTTATTTTGCCATTTAAGTTGAAATTCACTGAGAGATAATGAAAAAGTAATTTTTTTATGAATTTGTTATATTCGATATCAATAAAATTGCTTGAATTGAGTCAGAAAATGAGTATATTGGACGAAACCCAAAACCTATTATTGCTAAATAAAAAATGAAACATAGCATTAAATTACACTATTGTCTTGATAGACAATAACGACTTTTCTTATTAATGAATATTAAGGACCAAAGTAGTGAGCAATAGGAATTTTTAATTTATTTTAATTAATTCATGTAATTAATTTTTAAAAAATTTAATAAATTTACTATTTAAATCTAAACATTTATAATTTTTTTTTTTTATTTTCGACTTCTTTTGTATAAAAAGTAAAAAGAAAATTTCATAAAGACATAACGAAATTGTACCCAACCCACTAATGTTAACTGCCAATAGAGTGCTCAAAATGGCAAATGGAGAGGCTACTTATTTTTGCTTTTTGGGGGCTTTCTTGTCTTTCCCTCTTTCCTAAACAGTAGTTGACACTAATTCACAGTTGAATCTAATAATGGTAACGAGTAGATATTCATTATATTTATTTCATTTAATATTTATAATATCAAAATTTGTTTAAATATTCGTTTAAATTAAATATCATCATTTAAATTCGAATTCATTAAAATAAATACTATCTATTTAAATATTTAAATCTATCAAAATATCTATTTATTTAAATTTTGTTAGCTTTTTAAGTGAGATAGTGATATAAGAAAGGGAGTGAATTTGATTTTTTTAAATTCTTTTCAAACAATGATATCAATATAATTAAATGAAAATTAAAACAATAAGCACTTTTGATGAAAATATAATGTTAACAATAACAATTAATAAACTTAAAATCAAATATAAACAATAATAAATTGTAATGAGATAAGGATAGAGAAATCAAATAAAATGATTTGTAAAGGTTTGGTCCTTCTCCACAAGGCACCTACGTCCTCTCTCTTAGTTGTCTACACCAAGGCTTTAATCCACTAATTGAAGAAAAATTCTTACAAGATACAAGCCTATATTGTACTAAATCTCTATCTTTTTCTCAAGGCTTAGATAGCAACCTTTACCCTTACAATTTCAAGAGGATACATCACCTCTTGTTCTCTTTCACCCTTGTATATCAAAGGTAATTTTGTAAACAATTGAACAACCTTTCTAAGGTTAAGTGTTTGCTAAGTTTAAGTACAAGAGAATGATGAATGAATAATAAATATAATTTGGATACAATAAATACAAAGATATGGATTTTGAAGTTCTAAAAACTCTTGATTCTTTGAGAGAATAAAAATATGGCTTATTGGCTCTTGTTTCTTTGATTTATCAATCTTTTTGGTGTGTTGGAGTGCTCAATTTATAAAGAAATTGAAGAAGTAGCTGTTAGGAAAGCTTGAGAAGTGAAAGTAGCCATTGAATGCATGAAAAAAATAACCGTTGTGTGATTCCGCCCAGACCCGATTGATCCCTTCCATGAGGGGATCGATCATGTCAATGGATAGGTGGTTGTCTCCTATTTTACACTCTACTTATTAATTTGATCATATCTTGAGTTATATAAATTCAAATCAGAAACCATTTGAAGATTTAAAAACTAGACTTAAAGACTTTCTATCCATATAAAATTTATCACCATAATTCATTGAGTATGAATTATAGCAAATTTTTAAAATTACCCCTTATGCAGTTTTTTTGATAACTACAGAATGTCTAGTAAAAATTCAAAATCTTTTCTTAAAAAATTTGGATTTTGATTTTGTTTGATCCATTAGAAAGTAGACTCAAAGAGCTTTCTAACTATATAAAATTTAAATATTAAAACTTTGTGAATTAATACAGAAAAATAAAATAAGTTTAATGTTGGCAAATTTTGTTCTTGTAAAACGGCTTTCTTAAGTTAATCTTTTTCTCAAAACCAATAATATCAAAATTGTATTAAGTCCAAAATAAATAAATTTACTTTAAAAACAACAATTGGATTTTCATTTAAGCTCAAATAAATAATCTTTAAAGATAGATTTGGTTTGAGAAATATGAAACTAAAAAAGATTTGTTTAAACTTTGAAAATCATATTATTTATTTAGTACCAAAATATAAAACTTAAGAATATGTACAAAATAAATCTTTTTCAAAATTTTGATCAAGTTTATTTGTCTTTAATGTTTTGCCATTTCAAAATAAGGATCTATTCAAGGCTAACAATTAATGTTTATTTGTATATATTTTTTTAATTAAGTATATTGTTTGTTTTCAGGATCAAGCACTTACCACTACACCAAAAGCTATAGCTGATAGTAAATGTGCAACTATATTTTCTTATTCTCTTTTTGGTAGCGCAAAGTCCTATACTAAGTCACAGGTGTACATAAGAGACTTTGCAAAGCCTTTATGGGATACCTCACCCATTGGGCTTTGGCAGGTTGGGTTGTATCTATTTCCTTATTCTTTTTTGGTAGCGCAAAGCCTCGTACTAAACGTTTCCTTATTCTCCGCAAAGCTTTTATGGGATACCTCATTCATCGGGCCTCAGCAGGTTGGATTGTATCTATTTCCTTATTCTCTTTTGACAGCATAGAGTCTCGTACTACGTGACAGATGCAACTATATTTTCTTATTCTCTTTTTGGTAACGCAAAGCCCTGTACTAAGCGACATGCGTACATAAAAGGCTTTACAAAGCCTTCATGAGGGCTAAGCGTTTTCTTATTCTTTTTTGGTAGCATAAAACCTCTATTACGCGACAGATGGACATAAGGGCTTCGCAGAGCCTTCATGGGATGCCTCAGCCCCATACTAAGTAACAGATTGATATAAAGGGCTTCGCAAAGCCTTCATATGATACCTCACCCATTGGGCCTCAACAGGTTGGGTTATCATATATTAAAATCCTATCCACCATGGGATACTTCACCCAGATGAATCGACATACCGAGTCCTACCTCACTTATTGGGCCTCAACAGGTTGGGTTGCCATATAACGAAATTTGATCCACTATGAGATACTTTACCCAGATAAATCGACATATCGAGTCCTTAAAGGAGATCGTTGAACCCCATAATCCAACAATCTCCCCCTCTAGCGACACTTGGGGGACTCGAACTTGCAACCTTGCTTTGATACCAATTTTCAGGATCAAGCGCTTACCACTACAGTAAAAGCTATAGTTGATAGTGAAAGTGCAACTCTATTTTCTTGTTCTCTTTTAATAGCACAGAACCCCGCACTAAGTAATAAATTGACATAAGGGGCTTCGCAAAGCCTTCATGGGATACCTCACCTATTGGGCCTCGACAAATTGGGTTGCCATACACCGAAATCCGATCTATTATGGGATACGTCACCTAAATGAATCGACATATCAAATCTCTAAAAGAGACCGCTGGATCTTATAATCCAACAAATTTTTATTAAAATATAAAATAAATAAAATTTTAATTTAAAATTCAAATCACTTTTAATTAATAATAAATGAAAGTTATTTTTTAAAGTCTCAAATCTTCTATAAATATAAAATTTTATATATGTAAACGGGTAACATATTCGCATACAGATTCAAATATTAATTATTATTTATTAAAATTTAAACGAATTCAAATATTGAATATATAAAAGATACTATTCATATTCATTCTGAATCCGATATGAATAATAAATTTTTTATTCAAATCTGTTAATTATTTATTTATAATTATTCAAATTCAATATAAAAAGATCAAATAATTACAAATATTTGTTTCTTTACTATCCATTGTTATCTCTAGTTGAATCAATATAGGATTCTGTTTTTTTCCTATTAAGGTAATACAATAAGAAATGCCAAAAAATAAATTCCATCAATATTTTCCTTAAAAAAAAAAATACAATCGATAAAAACAAAACGAAGAAAATCAATAAAAATTCATTTTTCTTGTGTAGGAACAGGAATTATTATTTACATTATTGATAAAATTTTTAAATTTTATAAACAAAATCAAAAAGTTAACATGTATGTATTTAATAATTTATTGATTTATTAATTTTTAAAATACATCTTAATAAGATATTTACAATTTTATAATGAATAGAATAATTTTATCAAAAGTCCCGGTTTGTCTTTTTTATAAAATGATTTATAATACAAAAATAGTAAATTTTTTAAAAAAATCTCAACACTTAATTGCTATTTAAAATTTTTATACAAAAAATTTCTAATTTGTTCACAAAATTAAAAAAAAAAAAAAAAAAGACACTGCACTCAAATGGACGTGGCATTAATGGCTGATTCAAACTCGAACCAAAGCCCACGTCGTTGCCAATGAACCGGACTCAAACGGTGGAAAAAATAATAACTCCCAAAAACGTCGTCGTTTTGGAAAAAGAGGAAATCTGGTGGATAATTTCTCACTCTTCAAATAAAAAGGAAAAAAGCAAAATCAAATTTTATTTTATTTCCCATTATGATTCTTTACGAGTCATTTTTCTCAAGGAAAATATTTTCTTTTTTTCTCTAAAATCCATTTCCCCAAACTCTTCCACGCTCTAACAAAAAACCTTTTTTTTTTTTGTCTGTTCTGATTTTTAGGGTTTGGGTAAATCAAGGCCGTTGAAGAAGGAGGATCCAATGGCGGCGGCGGCGACACAAGGGCAGACGGTGATGATGGACCCGGCGGTACTAGATGATATAATCAGACGGCTGACAGAAGTCCGATCAGCTAGGCCGGGGAAACAAGTACAACTATCTGAAACTGAGATCAAGCAGCTTTGTGTTGCTTCCAGAGATATCTTCCTTCAACAGCCCAATTTGCTTGAACTTGAAGCACCCATCAAAATTTGCGGTAACTTGTTGGAGCTTTTATTGGGGTTAAAGTTTTTATTTTTGTGAATAAAAATTTGATCTTTATGTTTTTTTCTTTGAATTTTTTATGCAAAAATATTGTGAATATTTTAAGAGTTGAAAATTAGTGTTCTGGGAATAATATTATTTTATTTTTAAGGGATTTCAATGGTTTAGACTTCTGAATCAGATAGAGGTGAATTTCACCTTTCTCTTTTTAAATTCAATTTACCATTCTTTTGTGGAGTTAACTTGGATTCTGTTGTTGTTTTCTTCTTTTTTTTTTTACTGTTTGATTGCTGAAAGCTGTAGGAAATATCTGAAGCAATTGAAATAATGTAGTATGCCTATGCTATTTGCCATTATGATAGTAAACTCCAATGAAATGAAATATCTATACGAGTCGGAATCAGACTTTTATTACTACCATCATCGTCCTGTATTTTATTGTTTGTTATTGTGAGGTTTTTGTCTGTGTTTTGTAGGTGATATACATGGACAATATAGTGATTTATTAAGGCTCTTCGAGTACGGGGGTTTTCCTCCTAATGCCAATTACCTATTTCTAGGCGACTATGTGGATCGTGGCAAGCAAAGCTTGGAAACAATTTGTCTTTTACTTGCTTATAAGATTAAGTATCCAGAGAATTTTTTCCTATTGCGAGGAAACCATGAATGCGCATCTATTAATCGGATATATGGATTTTATGATGAATGCAAGCGACGGTTTAATGTGAGACTTTGGAAAAGCTTTACTGAATGTTTTAACTGCCTTCCTGTGGCGGCTCTTATAGATGACAAAATATTGTGTATGCACGGTGGTCTTTCTCCTGACTTGACAAACCTGGATCAAATTAGAAGCTTATCTCGTCCAACTGCTGTTCCTGACAATGGTTTGCTGTGTGATTTGCTCTGGTCTGACCCTGATAGAGATGTGAAAGGATGGGGAATGAATGACAGAGGAGTTTCATACACCTTTGGTGCAGACAAGGTGTCAGAATTCTTAACGAAGCATGATTTAGATCTTGTCTGCCGTGCGCATCAGGTTGTTTACATGGCTAAACTTTACCTTCATCTATTTAATGCTGTTCTATGTTGATACTAAACTGGTTACTTTTATGTAGGTTGTGGAGGATGGTTATGAATTCTTTGCTGATAGGCAACTTGTTACAATATTTTCGGCACCTAACTATTGTGGTGAATTTGATAATGCCGGTGCAATGATGAGTGTCGATGAAAACCTGATCTGTTCTTTCCAGATTCTCAAGCCAGCAGAGAAAAAAGCAAAGTTCATGTCCAATAAAATTTGATGGTTGCAGCTATCAATGTATAAGGGCTTACAAGTCTTTACCAAGGTCAGCTGAATATAGATGTTTTTTGCTCCTCTTTCTTATTATTGATGAATTGTAGTTTCTGACTGCCAGTGGTTGTGCTTAGCAGTGCATAAATTATTTATAAATATCAATAAAGTATATATTATTTACAAATACCAATAAAGTCTATTGCAATTATGTGTTTGTGGTCGTAGGAATGAAACGTATGTATTATTGTCTGTTAGTTTGCAATATGCAGATATACTATGGCAAAGATGTGCCATGAATAAGAAGAGTTCATGATGTCCTTATTAATTAATTGTTGTTACTTCCCTCTGGATATACTTTTGGAAGTTTTCAGCATTTTTAGATGTCTAGTGCAGTCTAAATTTGTTCATGATATTTACAAAGTAATCATAATTGTAACCTTTTAGGTGCAAATAATGTGGAGTCATAATCAGAATCATCGTTATCATAAAGCTCTTTTTGTTAAGCCAATCATGAATTGCTCATAATTTCTTTTGATGATCCACGTTCAAAACAAAAGAAAATTACCTTCTCAGATCTATCTATCTCTCTCTGAAGATTCAGATTGTTGGGTTGTCTGGATCGCATTAAAGTACAGAATATTCAATAGTCAAAAATGGCTTGTAATGGAGAAGATGAAAGTGGTTTTCTTTCTATTGTATAATTTAGTGATCTGGGCCCCAATCCTCAGTATCCTCTTTCCCTTTTTCTTCTCCTTTAATGTCTTCCTCTTTTATCCGTTGTAAGAGTATTGGTGATTGCTAATGTGTTTTTAGTTTTGTTATTGTCAGATGGTAAAATTCAGAATAATTGATCTTTTTCTCTTTAAGGTCATATGATGCTTATTGTAATTGTTAATTGTTCTTTATTTACCAGTGTCTGTTATTCATCTGGTTGTTAAATATCATACTGACCATCAGTGCTACTTTGTATTATTTACGGTTCTTCTTTTTTCTCTAATGTAGATATCCTTTTGTATCACGCTGCAAAAATGGTTGAAACTGAAGATCGCTGGCTTCAGAACTTTTGCTAGAGGAGATGCAAGTGACTGCTTTACGGATACCATTTGCAGGGTAAAATGGTTTACAAGTCTGCTGTAGTGTAGCATAAGCCACAAATGTATTTCTCTTATTCTTCTCTTTTCGCCCTTAATCTGTGGTGCATGTGAAGATATATCTGGTCTGGCAGCTTATAGTTGTGCTTTGAGCTGTTGGAACAAAAAAATGGCCGCATCCATTTTCTAAAGATTTTTTGGTTTTTCCCAGACTGTTTCACTGATTGAGCTGTTTGTATGGATATAATATTAGGTGAATTCAAATGTTATAAGATGTTTAGTTGGAATTATGGGCCTAGTGTCCACATGTAATGATTAAGATTTAAGATTTGTTGAGTCTCTTGCCAATTTTGTAATTTTTGTTCATAGCACCATTAAGAGTCAGGTTGAACATAGGAAGATTTAGTTGACAGCTTATGCTTTTAGTGCAGCATTGTTCATTTTAAGACCTTGAGGAACACAATAGATAGAGTATAAGCTATAGCACTTCCATGCGCATTGCAGATTGAGGCTCCCTTTGGATGTGCGATGGTAAGGGTTCGTTCCCACCATGATGGAGTGCCTAACTGGCACCGGACACTTCAAAGTGTGAGCCTATACGCCTTTGGGATCGTTGATTTGTCTGGTTTAACAGTGTTCATATTTGTTTTGACTGGCACAAAAGATGGGGATGTCTCCAAAATTTGATGTCTTGATAGTTATTGGTCGGAATAGATTAAATTGTTGATAGTCATCCTATGAATGAGTCAAACAAATTGTGTATGATTTGATCCAATGTTAGAGGGCCGGTGTCTTTTGTCCAATAGAAGCTTTCCTTGTTAACATCAAAGATGACTTTAGCAAAGATGCTACCAAAGAAGCAAGACAAAAATTTGTAGATCTTTTTTATAGTTCCTACTTTTGTCATTTGATCGGTTGGATTTTCTTTAGGTCACCCCCTCCCCAAATAAGTTTACGATAGCTTGATGATGTTTTTTGTTCAATAATTTTTAAGAAATTTCTTTTCAATAGATAGATGTGGCCTTAAGATGATGGTGTTGATAATATATGCGAAATGATAAAATAAATCGTATTTTATTTAATAATTTGATGGGAGAGTTTTTTTTTTTTTTTTAAATCATAGTCAAATTGGTTTTTTTTTTTTTAAATCATAATCGGTGGATTTTTTTTTTAATTAGAGAAAGATATAAAAAGGAAAATTTATTTTAATACAATAAAAATGGTTAAGAAAAGGCTTTAGTGGTTTTTTCTTATTTGGAAAAGAAAAATTATTCAAATACATGGTTGTGGTATGTTTATTATTATTATTATTATTATTTTCAAATACTAACTATAAATAGATTAGATTAATATTTTGGTGAAATTTAAAATTTTCGAAGTAAAATTATATATAACAATATTGTTGGTTTATAAAAACTTTTCATCCGAACTTTTAAAAATGTGAAAAACTTGGTAAAGAAAATGAAAATTAAAGATTTCTCATCCAAAGAAAACTTTGATAAAATCCTTTTTTCTTTCTTAATTAAAAAGCCCTTTTTCTCCCAAAAAAAAAAAACTATGAAATAAAAGAAAAAGGGGGGAAAAAAAAGGACTAATAATTGCAATTAGGGTACAAAGGCGCCCACTCACATCATTTCTACACTCAATTTAAATTTTTTTCGCCCTCTCTTTGGCTCTTTTCTCCTTTCCCGTAGGGTTTACTCACACTCCTCTAACCACCAAATTTCAATTAAAATCAAGAAATTTCCAAATTAATTTTTATTTTTGTACTCATTTCTCATTTCCCTTTAGATTTTAACTCTACGCTAAGTTTTCCTGAAAAAAACTTCTCTTTTGTAAGGATTTTGTTTCAAAAAAAAAAAAGATTATAATGAATCTACCGGATCCGTCGCTGGAGTTATTAGCGGCGAGCGGCGGCGACACCGTGAAGATCTTCGACATTAAGCTCGAACCGAACGATCCTTGCATTTTAAGTTACTCGCCTTCTCCGAGTTGCCTTGTCAACTCGGTTAAGTGGAACCACACTAGTAAGCTTTTTTTTTTTTTTTTTCGTTTCTGTTGCTAAGATCTGTTTGGTCACTGAAAATGTGGTGGCTTTTGCCAATTATAAAAATAAAATTTTGTATTTGACATGAATAATTTATTAAATTAAGCTGAATAAGTTTTTATTTTAACTTAATTAAGTGAATTTCTAAAATTTATAACTTTATTTAAGATTAATTTAGCAATTATGCAGAGAATTTTATTTTTTTTATTTGCTTTTTTAATTGATTCCAGCTGAGTTAATGTTATGGCAGATTTAGTGGTGGCGAGTGCCGGCGAAGATAAGAAGATATCATTATGGCGAAAAAATGGGCAGAGTATGGGGACAGTTCCAGTTGCGGGGACTGATAGTGGAGATAACATCGAGGTAATCCTCCTCTATGATTTTAACTATGAACAAAAATTTAGAATATTATTGAAGTACTTGTAAGTTTGATTTTTCGCAGGGTAAATTTTTGGAATCTGATACACTGTTTATTTCCTGGTAGATCATGTATGTTTAATTTCGAATTTATTATATGTCTCTAACTACATGGTCGACGCCGTAAGGTTTTAACTGCAAATATATACATGATGACATAGTTTGGCAGCTGACTTAAAAGATATTGTGAATGACGCTCATTATGGATTATTAAATCATGTAGTAAATTGTGTTAATTATGAACAAAAGAGAGTAATGTAAGAGCTTCCAATTCTCGTGGTTTCTGTAAATTTCTCCTTTATCAATATGGACGTGCAGTTGTTTTTGTTGTCTATAGTATAGCGAACAAAATATCATTGTTTTCTCTTCAAAAGAACTTGTGGCTATCTGTATAAATGGCCGTTAGATGATTCTAGCATCAATGCATGGACGTAGAAAGAGAGGAGGATGCAGCTTAAGTAGCTTGGATGGACAAGGTTGCATCAAATATTTGGTGCTTTGCATTGCCCTAGAATGACGCCCATTTCCTCAAATTAGATGCTAGATTGTTTTATGCGAAAAAAATCTCATTTGCAAAACTAAAACTCTCAAGTTTTTATGATTCAACAACCAAATTGATTATTCATTAATGACACCCAAAATTGATTATTCATTAATGCTAGTTCTTAATTGGTTCCAAGGCCACTGAAGTTCTATACAATTATTGCCATTGGCTTTCTTAGTGAAATTTATCTAGTAAAATTTCCCTTCTATTTGCAGGAGTCTATTTTAGCTATTAGCTTTAGCAACAAGGGATCCAGATACATATGTTCAGGGGGAAGTGGTCAAGTTGTAAGAATATGGGATTTGCAGAGGAAGCGTTGCATCAAATGGTTAAGGGGTCATACCAGCACAATAACAGGTGTTATGTACAACTGTAAAGATGAACACTTGGCCTCCATCAGCCTAAGTGGGGATCTCATTCTTCACAACCTTGCATCTGGAGCAAGGGCTGCTGAACTAAATGATCCTAATGAACAGGTTGTTTAGTTTGTTGCATTTGGGTGCCTTCTAATTCTTGTTTGCAAGCTAATTTTCCTTTGATGAATTTTAAGACCAGGTACTAAGGGTACTTGATTATTCGCGGATTAGTCGACACGTCTTGGTGACTGCAGGTGATGATGGATCTATCCATTTGTGGGATACCACTGGTCGTAGCCCAAAGGTTCTCTTTCTCTCTCTCTCAATATTCTTGCTGTTTTAGACACAATTGATTATGTTTGCCTTTTCAGGTTTCCTGGTTGAAACAGCACTCTGCTCCCACAGCTGGCATTAGCTTCTCACCATCCAATGATAAGGTTTCATTATTTCTTTTTTATTCTATTTTTCTCCTTCTTTCAGGCTTAATCAAATAAATAGGCTGAGCTTTTTTGGAAGTTTGAGATGAAGGAAGCTTTTTTAGGGTTAGGACATGTTGCAAAATTTTGTTAAATGTTCTGATGTTTCAAGTTTCATTTTCCTTTTTGACAGATAATTGCTAGTGTTGGGTTGGATAAGAAGCTATACACTTATGACTCAGGGTCTAGAAGACCCTCAGCTTTCATTTCTCATGAGGCACCTTTCTCTTCATTGGCATTTAGAGATGATGGTTGGACACTGGCTGCTGGCACCAGTAATGGTAGAGTGGTATTCTACGATATTCGTGGAAAACTACAGCCTTTTACTGTTCTACGTGCTTATAATAGTTCGGAGGTTAGTTCTCTTTTCCTCTATGTATCACTGTTTAATATAAAAAAGCCCAGGCCAGAATAATTTCTTGTAGTTTGCACTTGCTTCAAAATTCTATTTTTTCCACAAGACCCTAAACTCAATGTTGAATATTGAATGGCATTAGCATATAAGATCGTGTCCTATAATGGCACTGGTGATGTCTCATGGGCTGTCACTTCTTACTTGTTTGTGCTCCAACTTTAAAGAGTTTTGTATAAATGCGACAGACTTAATGATAATCTTATTGTTAGGTCATGATTTTGAAAGTTAAGAACCTTGATTTCTTTAATCATTTTAAATACTAAGTGCTTACAGCATCATCAGGCTGTTTCAAGTTTATGCTGGCAAAGATCAAAACCAGCCATTGTTAATGAGAGTACTTGCACTGCTGAGACTGCTCTTTTGGGAGGTGCAGTGGAGGATTCAGTTCTTATGCCTGACCCACTTCCATCTGTGACATCGTCAAGCCTTTCACTATCCACAGCAATTTCTGGTTCTCGTATCCTTGGCCGTTCAGGTTCTGCAGAAGTATCTTCTCTGACAAGTAGTAGTGGATCAGTGTCAAGCACACTCAATCTGTCTTCTTCTGAGGAAACACCACATAGAAGCCATCTGTGGCCAGGTGGAACACTGACGAGATTACATGCTCCTCGCTCTACGTACAATTTCAAGGACGATATGGAGGTGTTTTCCCCTCTTGTGGATGTTCAACCGATTACACCCTCGCTGGATAAGCTGTGGGATGATCATGAGGGTGCAAAGAAAGAGCATATACTCGGTGATAAGAAGCCTTCGTCTCTGCTGTTTCCTTCTAGCAGGAGGTTTGCATTTGCAGATGATAGAGCCAGTGATCACCCAATATTTGATTGGAAATCCAGTTCAATGTCTCGACAGGTTTTATGCTTCTTCATCTTTTATTATGGACTTATAGCATGGCATGGCATATTTATTTTGATTTTGCTGTATAGGATATTACTCTAAATCTTCATGCTAATGAAGTTCGAATTTGGTGTAACTATACTAGTTAGTATTCATTTTCACATAGAATGTGAATGTGGTATCCATTTGTGCATTATGATGTTTGTATCAACAAATCCAATAGATCAACTGCTGTTTTGATACATGCTGACAAAATGGCTTTGCATGTGATGAGGAGTTTTTAGATATACAATTGCAGACAACTTCTTATAACTCTACTTTCTAACAATCTTCATTACTCTAAATCAATTACTTAATCATCAGTTTGATTTTCAGGCTATTATCTCCTATATTCTTTAGCCATAGAACTGTTATTGATACTTAATTAGGTTTTCCTGGTTAAGTTAATATAGGTATTCTGTCTTTGTCCCAGATAAAGATGTTTGTATACCACTTATTTTTACAGGATGAGACAAGATCTTTTACAGCATTGGGATCTACTCCTACACCATCTTCCAAGAGTGAAGAGGCCTCCATAACTCCTCCAGAAGCTTGGGGTGGTGAGAAGATATCTGATAAATTTACCCACCTTCGTCAGCTGCCATCTCGTTTTGGGATGCAGGCTTCTGGTGGTCTGACAACAGGCTCTATTTATTCTGGACAAGAGCAGTCTTCAACACTGAGTCAGACAAGTATTACCTCGTTAACAAGTTCTAACTTGAGCTATGAAAACTTGCGCACAAAAGATGTCTCTTCAAATCAGGAGACTTCATTAGGATTTCCAGAACAATTCTCCTCCAGCTCCATGTCTTCTTTGTCTCTTGGTTCAAAAGGCATTACTGGAGCAGGCAGCCTTGACTCACCAAAACTAGCATCTTTAGCACTTCCTCGAAGGTTTTCAACATATGCTGAGAGAATTAGTACTACATCTGCCTTCAGTGATGGAACATCCCAATTGGTGGCCTCTCCGAAAACAAAGAAAACAGGAGCTGAAACCAGAGAAGAGCTGTTGAATAGCTTGTTGTCAAGGTCTGATTCATTGGCTGCAGTGGAATCAGGAATTCTGCCGGCTATGAATGTATGAAACCTGGTTTGGTTAAATAATTATTGGTTCTAAATCTTAATTTCTTATATGTTAGTTTGCTTTTAGATTGAAGGTCTAGCTTGAGTAATCCTCCAGCTTGGTCATCATGGGTGGTTTTAATGTTTACAATATTTTGCTGTTATTTACACCTTGAAATGGTGAAGGCATCCATGACGAAGGATTTTTATTAATTTCTATGATTTTGTAGTTTTCTTTGGTTATGATGTAAGACTGATTCTGATATGATAGGGAGGAACATCACAACCCCACAAGGCTCCTCAACAGGATCCCCAGCAAGGAAGTAACTTCACTCTTCAGCTATTTCAACGCACTCTGGAAGAAACCCTTGATTCATTTCAGAAATCCATTCATGGAGATATGAGGAACCTTCATATTGAAATTTTAAGACAATTCCACATGCAGGAGGTATATCCAATTATCACTTTTTGTATTGCTTTGGGGTTCACATGAATATTCTCAGCTCTAATTTGCGGCACCATTGGACAGATGGAAATGTCTCGTGTGATGAGCTCCATTCTAGAGAACCAAGCTGAACTGATGGAAGAAGTCAAGTCTCTCCGGAAAGAAAATCAGCAGCTTCGTCAATTGCTTTGAGTGCCTGATTAGATTGCATTACTGCCTTAGGTTAGCAGATTTCTCTTCTGATCACCTCGCTGTTTCATTTTTATGATTTCTGGCTCTGCTTCTTCAGTAGGCTTGTCTCGGCAATTGTTTGTGCAGAAATGGGTAAAATATCGGAAAAGAATGTATTTAATTGAGAAAGAGTACAAATTTGGGGCTAAGAGATTGGTCTTTTGAAATATGTATAGAAATGCTTCTCAGTTGATTGACAAAGCAAGCTGCTAATTTCTGACAGTTATCTTGAACATAGAGTTCCCTCTTTTAACTTCCATGACAAAACCATTATTTGAAAGAAAAGCAGGAGAAATGAAGAAAATTGTGATCAGCATAAACATTATTTGAAAGAGGCAAAACCTTGATAAATTTGAAAAGATTACAGCACAAGTTGATAATAGAGAACAAATGAAAGACGATATATGAATGTATATACTCGTAGAACAGAGAACAAAATGGCCAGAAATGAATATTTTACCTGAAACCCATTTTGGCAGAGTCGAGGCTAGGAATGATTATGGCATTGAGGAAATCCATTGGCAGATATGAGAATCCTAAAGCAGAGGCTCCTCAAATAAAGTAGGTTTTTTCTAGTACAGCTATGGGATCCTGGTTAATCCCAAATGAGCTTAAACTTAACTTGGCAATGTTTTCGGAAGAAATTCCAAAACAATGGATCCTGGTTAAGTAACTATTTGACACCATTTACTGAAAATGTACTTAATCCCACAGTTCTGGAAACTAAAATAGTTTCAGCAAAGACTGCCTGTTTTTAAATCACATTAACATTTAACAGGCACTTGAATGCTGAGGAGAAGATGATCTGTTGATAAAGTATTTTGAGTTTCAGTTTCAGTGATTATGATTCAAATCTACAATTCTATCAATGGCAAGCGACATGATTGATTTTGTCATTTTTCTTTCAGCTAAGAGAAATAATAGTTAAGAGAAATGACATGCAGCACCCTACAGGGCAATGGCTGAAATTGAAAAGAAAGTTGGTTGGAAAAGTCAATGGTTTGCAAGAGAAATCAAAGCTTCAATTCACACAACAGTGCCCTTGAATCTTCTTCAAATGCATAAGCGATAGCTCTTTTCCTTGTGCCTTCTTTTTCCACCAATTTGTTCGTATGGTGTGGGCAATTCACACTTAATTTTTCTTTTTTAAACAATAATATCTGGTCGACATAGAATTTGACATGAATTTTGAGTCATTTTCTCTTGTTTTTCGAACTGATGGAAAGAACAAATAAAGGAAGCTGACATAAAACATCCTCGTAGTGGGGATAAATCTTTCTAATTTTTTTTTTATTTGAATCAATTTTTCGATATCAAATCTTAAATATTTAAAATTGATTTAAATCCTTAATTTTACTTTGGTACTGTGTTAATCTTTTTTTTTTTTTTTTTTGGCTTTTGGTGAATGTTTAAAAAATTCTTTAATTTTAAATTTTAATCTAACTCGGAGGAGAAGTGATCATGACCGAGCAATACCTGGTTACACCACCCAAGCCTCGTCCAAAGCTAGGTCAATCTGTTTTAGATCTAAATAAGTCCGATTGCTATTTAAAATAATATTAAAATATTAAATATATTTTGAAATCAAATTTAAATAAAAAATCATTTTTATTAATAAAATAATAAATGATCTTGAGTATTAAAATTTTTAATAAGAATTTATAGTGGACCAGCACATGAATAAGTCTAACTCATAAGGGAGAAGATTTATTTATTTTTTATTATTCAAAACACAAAATTAAAAATAATCAATTTAAAATGAAAGGGATAAGATTGAAAAAAATAAATAAAGAAAGAAAAAAATTTAATATTTCATCCAATTAATCCTCTTTTTACTATCTTATTATATTGTTATTGGTCGCATGCCATGATATGTTTATTATTAGCAAAGAAAAACATACAGTTAATGAAATTTTTATGGACTATATATCTCTGATAATTTCAAATTTTTAGACCTTTTATTAAAAAAGAAATTGTTTATCGAAAACTAGGCTTCATTAACTTCTTATGGCCTAAAGGAAAATACTGTCTTTCTATTCATTCCTTTTATATAATTGTCACTAACCCTCCCATTGGCTTTGTTTTTATCTTCACAGCCTCTGGTGAAATTGAAAATTTTGATGTTATGTAATTGTTGAGCAACTCAATTTCCTACACAAAACGACCGTATAAAACATTCAATGAATTGTCTTTTGGACTTGCTTTCATTGCAGCACTAAGTACACATTACTTGGTTGAAATGGACCAAAAAAAATTACACAGATATTTGTAATTCGATGTGAATAGAATTAATTTAATTTAATTAATTAATTAATTTCATTCAATTAATAAAAATAATTTTTAAAAAATTTTGATTTTTGATTAATTTTATTCAAAAATCAAATTTATCAAATTAATTAAAATTTTAACTGATATATAACATAATTTAAATATAAAATGAAAAATACATGCAATAGATCACTTAATTTAATAAATTGTTAAAATTTATAATATAATATTTTGATATTTGAATATTTTGTTAGATAATTTTATTTAATTTGTTTAAAATATGAGAAATTAAAAATTTTAAATATAATTTAATTTAAATATATTTATTATTTGGTGATAGTATTAATTCGATAAGCTAATTTTTAAAATTCATAAATTCGATTCGAAAATAAAATTATAACTTGATTAATTCAATTTTGAATACTTCAATTCAAAATTAAAATAACTAACGGAATGAACACTCTATGAATGTCATTTTAAGTTGGAATGTTTTGTTGCGTTTTGTCTCAACTTGGTTACAAAAGCAATACTTCAGTTACTCAAGTTATGCCAGTTTCAAATTTCAATAATGAAAGTGTATACCTAAACCGGCAACCCTGCAAACTGAAAGCTTGGAAGCCCATTAGAAGGGCAGTTGAATTCTGTTGGAAAAGACAATGAACCGATGCTGTTGTCAACTGCACGAACACAGATGTAGGCAGAAAAGCAAGCACATCGCGAAGTTCAACGTTATTTCTTGATTAATCTCAAGACATCACCGACAAGGTGCAAGGAACCGGTTACGAGGACCTAACCAATCAAAGTAAGGAAAAATTAAAAACCCAAAAGAAGCACAAGTGAAGTGGGAGGTGTAACTATATCAAACCCCAAACCGAAAAATACAAATTTTACGGCCAATCCAAGACATCAATACGTTTTCAATCAGACCTGATAGACTATAAATGCAGTCTAATGTTTTTGAGGAAATTATACATAAACTGGATGATCAGATACTTTTCCGAGTAAATTATTTGCTATGCCTAACCAAGTATTCCCTAGAACATAGGCTACAAGTCTAACCATCAATCAATATGTGTGTGTGTGTAAAGGCTAACTCAGCCAGACAACTCAGTGTTCCGTAACCAGAACTAACGTTTCAAAGGAACAAGAATCACCTAATGGCTCAATTCATGCATAACCCTATTGGTTCTAAAAACCCTTGAGGTCTCGCATGCTAGACTACAACAACCTCATCAGAAACAATCTAGGATACTAAGTTCTGAGACTACAGCCTGAAACTCAATCTAAGGTTCTCTATCGATGCCATATAAGAGGCAGGCAAATCTTTGCAACAGCAGGCCGAACAATCTCAAGCAAATAATATCCCAAAACAAAAGCATTACCTGAAAATGAACAAATCGATCCTTCTGGGCGGTGTCCCTAAGCCATTTGATTGCCAATGGTAGAGAAGAAAAGACAGAACTGTTTGTGCAACTCCTAACACTCATTCCTGTATCATCTTTCACTTCTTCACAAACTTGACCTGTGTTACTGGCCTCCCCTCCTAGTAAACAAAGGAAACAAATTATATACAAACCAAACTGAGCAACCCTTGATTATGCTCCAAGTCTCCAATAATTTTGCACATTTTGTGATGATCATAATTAAAATTAATTCATTTATATCCAGAAGCACAATAATGGAACTTGAATCCAAGGCAAGTAAATACCAAAAGAAATCAGACTATGGCAAAAACTCAACTTTTTACAACCAAGAGGGTTATTAGTTTAAAATTATGAAATTCAACACAATTCCCAGCCTACGAATTGTGAAACATATGAAGAATGTGATGCCACGTATTATACTGATACCTTTATCACCCTGCATAAGGTTTTCCCATACTCTTTGAAGAGTAAACTGCCATGACAAATCAACTTGAGGATCAGTTGTTGGTAAAGCATGGGATCCAACCTTGTGATACACAGATATGTTCGGTACAAAAAGTGCCTTCTTGAAACAGACACCTGAAATATCAGTTAAATGCTTGTAAGAAACATAAAATAAGATATTAAATTTCTTTTTCAAGGCAAGCTTCTTGCTATCAATGTGATACCTTCATTGTGTCATTTGGATGTTGAAAGCACAATATATTCCTACTACAATTAAAATTTGTCTAAAGCACTTGAACTGTAATCAATCCCCCAGCACACCACAAAATTAATTTTATGAACTTCAAAAGTATTTACGATGCTTCTTATTACAAGGATATTAAATTCTATAAATGTAAGAAAACAAATCCAAACATGCCTCTAACTAAAGTAATTACCTTGACTGGCACACGTTCTCATCAAGCATGGCAGAAGCAACTGTGGATCTCGCACTGACATACAATTGAACAGCAGAATCTGCAAGTAATTCTCAAAACCTTTAGTCTACGATCACCAAGATGCAGCCCAAATGCTTAGATTTTGGAGTATAACTTCAAGTTCAGAAAGTCATGATAAAACCAAGCAAGGAAATACAAATTAGATGAAAGATGCAATGTTGAATGCATATATATGCATGAAAATACATTAGCCAAAAGTAATACCAGTTTATACCAGATGCGAAAGGAATTATCAAAATATTGTTTACTTTTGCCTTGACCTATGTTTGAGCTTTACAAACTCAATCATCAAACTTCTATAACTTTTTACAAAAGCGATACCCTCCTATGTTTAGATATCCTTAATACTCCTAATTCGTAAGCAGCAATGAAACCAGCACCCCACTCTACACATTTGATTGCTTCTTTTGACGTGTTAAAATAGAAAAGCTTGATAGTGAAATTAATGAGCCAAGATATAAATTCCGAGTATTCAATCATAAACGGCACTGATTTCAACAAGGACAGAGTACTCTCTTTTACATATCTTCTAAGTTTCATAAACTGTGGAAACTAATGTGGTCTAAAGCAGGGTGCTCTACCTGGGCAGTATCCTTCTTAGACCTTTCGTTGGTATGCCACTGTGCCACTTCTTTTGAGGATTCAGTATTATCCTGTGCCTGATAATGCGGGATAGGTTGCTGATTGTCTTCCTTAATGCAAAGAGAAAACCACTTGGCACATGCTTCCATGCTTTCAGGACTGTGGGCTCCATCCAGATAAAAAACCAGATCTCCAGGATTTTCAGTATCAGTAAATTGATCACAGACAATCTGAGCCCGCCCTTGCAAACTTGCTGTTGTTAGGCCCTTGATGAACTGTTCAGGCAGTGAACCCTATAGCGAGCAGAAAAAAAAAGTTTAAGCAAAATAAGAGAACAAAAATTGATATAACAACTTGTGGAATGCAGAGGAAGTCTCCAATAGATAGAACTTACTGTTTGATTCAAGTTGGTGATAGGATGACCAGTCCTTTGAAGCCAAGTAGAACATAGTGCAACGGCCAGACCAGCATTTATGTATTGATGTTCACCTTCAAGTGCGAGTTTTAGACCATTCAGCAAGCTTACATCTAGTGGATGTGCCACTTGAAGGTGCACCTATTAAGAACAGGATTTTCTTCAGGATTAGCATAGGACAAGATGATCTTAAGAATTTGAATACAAGTTGAGTCACGCATTTCCAATTCTTTATATCAGGTAAATCAGAGATGAAAAAGTTATGCAACTTACATTCAACTTGGAAGCTTTCTCTTCAAGCACACACATTGCCTCATCAGGTTGAGGTACGGTAAAGGCTGGAATCCCATGCTACATTTCAAATAAAGAGAAGGAAATAGATTTAAGTTATGTTGTAAAATGGAAACAGTCCCTTCTAGCAATGCTTTAACTCAATGTAATTCTAAAGAACACCTTAAAAATACCAGCTTTCTCCCCAGCAATTTGTCCCAGAGTATTTCCTGTTTGTAGGATCCAATAAAGAAAAGAAAGCAATTGCTTGGTATTAGCTTCATTTATTCTGAAAGCAGAAAGATATTTAACATAACATAACATAAATAATTCACAAGTAATTAGTTCCCATATAATCAGAAAGTTAGCACATAAGAAAAGTAAGCAGATTTCCTAGTGTAAATGGAGGAATCTGACAGACCACACAAAAACATAGCCCATACTTTTTTGTATAATTTAGATTTTCTTCCATTGTAAGCTCAAAAGTTCAAGCACTCCAAAATAAACCTCACAGATGTACTGAAAACTATTGTTGCCAACATGAGGTTCAAAAAGTCCTTGATTGTCACAAAGTTACAGCACAATGACAATAATAATAATAGTGGAATACAAATAAAAATGCCCGTCTCCCCAGAGATCTTATTCAGCAATTGCAATCTGCCAAGTGACTTTCAAAGAATTACAAACTCAAAAAACAAATAATAGAAAATTAATGACATAAAAAATAATTAGGTTTACTGTTTACATCATGCAGCTTGTTTTCACCTTGGCAGATATTGCATTCACAAACCAATAAATTACACCGTTAACTGCATGTTACAAAAGCTATTCAAAGATCTTTCATTTATATTTAACTATGACACATTTATGAGCAATTACCCAAAGTAAATATAATATATATAATATATATATATATAACACTAACCAAGAATTTCCATGTGGTCATACCCAAGGGAAGATATACCACACACAATAGGCGTCTGAACCTGAAAAAAATGACACATATTGACTATAATGAGAACAAGGTAGGCACTACCATCATATTCCAGCATCAAAATGGCCATAAATGATAAACTTAGCTTGGCAGATTTATAGATTTATAAATAAATAAATATATATATATATATATATATAATGAATCAGTAGCATGTTTGTGAACTAAATTAGAAATGTACCACATTTGTAGCATCAAACTTTCCACCTAAACCGACCTCCAAGATAGCAACATCAACCTGCATAGACAATTTAAAGGCAATAGTTTACACTAAGAAAGAGGATGCTAATGAAAAGGCAGAAGCAACATGGGATAACAGCTTCACGTGCAAGGGTCATAACAGACATCATACCTGCTCTGCTGCAAATATCTTAAAGGCTAGTAAGGCTAGGAAACGAAAGAATGTAGGCATTGGCACATCATCAGTGGTTTTTTCCTGCAAACCAACAAAGAAATGGCTAACAAGATTAAACAAATTGTTCAAAGACAACTCAAAAACTAAAAGACAATACAGTTTATTCAATGATAAATATGGCATTTGATTGAGAGAAAAAAAGATATTGCTAGTGATTTGGTTTCAAGTTGACCAGGCCAGATAGTCTAAGTAAGTCTATGTGGTCCATTGAGTTTTTTTAACGAATGCTGCACAACTGGATTCTGCAAAGTACTTATTCCTTTTATTAGGTTGGTTGGCTACAGAAGCCCCTTCCATAGAACCAGAATTCAACTTCTTGCAGGCCAGGCCAGATTCTCAAAAATTATTCCCCAAAAGGAAAATTCATTTGTATCCACCATGCGGCATTCTTACTTTTTAGTCTTCTGCAAATTTGTTGCAGACAGTTAGTACAAAAAATAACCAGCAAATTCATGCCCAGTGCTAGTCAGTGCCATAGAAAAACAGCACTGCTCCACCACAAAACCCGCTTAATAATGTACGAAACAGCAATTTATGATCGCAGAGGAGCTAAGGAGGAGTTCATACACATATAAAACACAATCGCAAACGTACCTTCAGCTTATCATAACACCACCAGAAATATTCCAAGAATTTCTCCTCACATATTTCCACACTAGAGCAGCCAAGAAAGACAAGAAATTTAATAAAGCACCAAAGCTATAATAGGAGGAATTATATATATCTAAAATTTTAAATAAATGTAGATAGCAATGGTTAACTAGCATTTAGATAATGCAACATAGAAGAAAAAATAGATAATAACTTAACCTCCTCCATCAAGATCAGTGAAATACACATACTAGTGAACTTAAAGACTCACCCATTCAATCGAAATCTTTCTCGAACATCAATAAGGTGAGGAGATGTGAACAATCCAGTTCGGAACCCACAATTACGTAATATAGATTCTGTGAACGTACACGTTGATCCCTTTTCAAATTCCAAATGAAGAGAGAGTCAATATCACAAATTCACATGCCATATACAAACAAGATTGAAGAATTATGTTTCACCATAGCTAACCAGATCAAAATAATGGCGTGCAACGATGAAGTTACAGATAAATGCGGCATACAAAGTTGAACAGTTAGAAGGCTACTAATGGAGCTTTTTTTTTTTTTTTTATCACATTGCATAAGTTCAAAGATTTTATTAAAATAAGAAATAAATTTCAAAATAAAAAATTACTAAAAAAAACAGAAATAAGATTCAGAAAACGAAAATTTTCAGTACCTTTCCTTTAGTGCCAGCAACATGGATGATTTTCAACTGTGAAATTGCCTCATCCAATTCCAAAATCTAAAATCCAATAAATAATCAGTTCAATTTAAAGCTCGTAAACAAATCAATTTCTAAAAAATACTCAATCAAACAGAACGAATTATACTTTCAAATAATCAAAGAGCAAGTCGAATCGATCCCCCTTATTACTCTTATCAGCACGACTTCGTTTAGTTATCAAAGACGACAACGCATCCAACGCCGACTCGTATCGAGCCGCCGCAGATTCTGTCGATCCACCTACAAAAACAAAAACAAAACAAGATTTAAAAATTTCTTCGAAGCATGAATTTCAAAACGCAATTTTTATTTGTTACCTTTGGCCATGGAGATTTGGAATTGGATGAAGAAAAGGTTTGAGAGTGGGAGGCGGTTGGCTGAAGCGAGGATGAAGAGATTGGGGTTGGAAGGTTGAGAAATAATATGGAAAGGAATGGAATAATGACTTTTTTATTTTGTTTGGTCACAGACAAAGATTCCCTACTTGCTGTTGCGTAATGTATTTTTGGATCTTTGCAGGGTTTTTGAATTTTTTTTTTATTATCCATTTTTTGCGCCTTTATTTAAAGTTTCCCATATTTTGGCTCGCTATTTTTCAGATTTTCAATAATAATAATATCAATTTAATAAGAAAAAGAAATTGAAGTGCAGCAATATTAGATTTACTCAATTTCTATATTAATCAATTATCAAAATTGATATTTAATAAAATTGAAATAATCGACCCTATTAATTTATTTTTAAATCAAAAATGTAAATTTTGCAAACAACAAACATTTTTAATCCATAGGTAGCAAATGCTCCTTTTGATCAATTGAAAATTTACATATTGTTTTCTATTGGAAGCCCTTATTTTTGGCATTATTACAAAAAAAAAAAAAAAACACTAATCACAAACTTTTTCACCACACTTGGAATTATTGAAGGGATAAATTTGTAAAAAAAAGTAAATCTTATTTGTTGTAAATTATTCCCCCAAAATCTTTAGTTTACAACAAAAAAGAAAAAACAGATAACAGAATTACATGATCACCACCGTCTAAAGTTCTGAAGGCAACAACAAACCAACGGACTACAATCTTTATGAAACATTAACATTTAAGCCCATTCTCTTTCCGCGTATCTGATGGTATGCCTTCTCAGCCACAGTTGATACATCACCATATGAAATGCATCGTACGGCTGCGGCGTCTCGTTCCACACAAAATGCCTACTCGCGAAAATAGCTGATTCCCTCATATCCTCGTATCCTTCCACCACCACGCGCCCCAAAACCCTCTTGATCTCCTTGGCCCCACCGGTTGTCCCAACGAACACCGCCATCTGCTGCCACGTTAGCAAATCCATCAACGGCAAGTCTTGGATCGGACGGTCAGTAATCACCACAGGCACGCATCCGAAACTCATCGCTTCCCCGATCCCCGAGATTTCAGGCCCGTATTCAAACAAACAAAACTTACTCCCGGCGAGTCTTTCCTCGTAAGTCATCTGATCGGACGGCTCAGATTCAACCAAAATCTCGGTATCAGCTAAAAGCTGTTCCACCAAACTCGACTCTTTCACCCAATTATACCTCACGTAACCCAAACGACTCGAGCCCGTACTTCTCGGAGCGTGACTGGGCCCGTGAACATTAGCAAGTGGGGGCAGACTAACATCCTTATGCGGAATAAACAACCCGGGTGTTGTCGGAAAACACGAGATCTGAATCGAGTTTTTCTTCAACTCCACCACATTCCGGTCCGCACCGTGGCCAACACCGGAACAAGAAAGGAAAAAATGATCGGCTCCAAGAGTCCGATTCCAGTAAATGAACTCTGTACGATAATCTCCAACGACACGTGCGGCGGAGCGTAGTGAAAGGCCGGAGTGGAAAGAGAAGGGAATGAATAATAAATGGGCTTCTTCGGGGTTTTGAGTGATGAAGGGGCTGTGGATGAGTGAAGAGTAAAATAGGGATTCAACTTTGGAGTCAAAAGAAAGGGTTTGTGGAGGAGGGTAAGTGTAAATTTTGAAGTTTTTAAGCATTTTTTGGTAATTTTGAGGGAGGATTGTGCGGGAAAGGTAGGGGGAAGAAGTTAGGGGAGTAGAGAGTGGGATTAAATAAAGGAAGAAGAAGAAAAAACACAGGAAGAGAGGGAAAGACATTTTTTTCCTTTCTTTTTTTGGGAAGAAAAAGGAAGGAAACGGGGAGGAAACTTTTTGGGTGGGATTTTGGGGATTGTTTGGAAGGACTTAAAAACGGTTTTGGAATTTATTACATGGAAAGGAGCCTTGATTGCATGTGAAAATTGGGTGACTCGGATGTCTGCGTCCACTGTTATCAAAATGAATAATATGAAAACCAATGAATTTATTTGCTTAAATTCGGATTAAAAATTAAAAAAAAAAAGAAAAAAACTCAAATTTCGATGTATTTAGTCTTTTCAGCCTTTTTCCGTTTAATTTAGGTAGTCTTTTTCACTTTTCTTTTTGTTTTTAATTTAAAACAATTTTTGAAAATGACATATTACTTCATTTTTCTTTTTGTTAAGATGCCCAGTTAAAATTGTTCTTATAAGCAACTGCCAACAAGAGTATAAGCGTCTGGGTGGTGTAGTTGGTTATCACGCTAGTCTCACACACTAGAGGTCCCCGGTTCGAACCCGGGCTCAGACATTTTTCACTTTTCTTCTTCCTGCTACCCTGGTTTGCCCAGGTCTCATATCATCTCCGGTTGTGGGCTCATTTCGGTTTGAAAATTTGAAGCAAATGGGACCCCAAAATTGGGCTTGTTTTGGAAATTTTTGAGTTCAATCCCGTTTATCTTCTATTTTATTTAGATTGTTTGTTTTTGCTTCCAACCAAACTCCATGTATCTTCCAGTTTTATTTAGTCAACTTCCCCATGGAAAAAGAAAATAAGAGATTACATGGTTCTAACTTCATCGTCAGTGCAATAAAAAACAGAGAAATGGTTCTGATAACTTCATCCTAGCTGTCCTTGATTTCGCTGTTTATGGTTGGAAATAAACTATGAATTTATCAAGTTTACTTTATGGTGTAAAAAATGCTTATATTCAGTGCATACATGAGACATGCAACAGAAAAGGATTATACATTTTTGAGATTAGAAAAGGATTATACTTAATAATAAAGTACAGATTAATTTATATTAGAAGTTCTGTTACCAATTCCAAATGATTATAAAATACTACAACAAGAAATTTGAATTATTGTCCAATTAAATCATGCAATTATCTTTAAAAAATAATATTTAATAATTTTAAATTTTAAATTTTAACAATGATAATATCTATTAAATAAAAAATTACAACAAGCATATATAAGCTTATCTTTGAACTGGAGTTGCTATAAAGTTTTAATCATTACTAATTAAATTTAAATATCAATTTTAATGAGATTTATTCAATATAAATTTTTTATTAATTTTTTTAATCATAATTAATTCCGTGGACGAAGACACCATTAGAAAGAGCTTCACCTCAAAAACCCAGAGTTTTATGCACTTCACCCATCCAAACCATCCTGTCACTGAGTTTTACATTGTCCAATAGTGCTGTTATTAAAATTCCAACTGATTAATGATTTATAAAATTATAATTAAGATTATAAACCAAAAAAATGCATAATTTGCATGACCCAAAATACTCGGTATGCTTGATTTGCATGATCTACAAAATCCATTGGATTGAAATACACATTTTAAAAAAATTGTTAGTGTTTACATATGCATAAATATAAAAATGGGCCCTCTAACTATGTAAATTAAATCATTTTGATGTCACATCATTTGACACGTAACATTTTATATATCTCGTTAAATTATATCTTCATCTTATTATTATACGTGATAATCATATCATAAATCACATGATATATTAAGATTAGTAAATGAATAAAATAAATTAATAAAAAATAAAATGCGAAGAACTCAATTGACCCTAATAAAGAGTAGGGGCCAAAATAATTCAGTTAGCATAATTTTTAAAGCCAAATTTATATTTATATCTTTAGCTATTATTGTTTTGCCTTTACTCTGTAACCAAGTTAGTGAATACCGATTGAAATTCAAACTCTATTTAAATGTATGACTACTAACCATTGCTTTTTCCATATGTTTTCCCAAAATTGTTAACACTACTTTTCTTTTTCCTTTCAAGTTGCTAAAATCTCTCTCACATCCAATTGTGAATGATGAATCATATTACAAATTTTTGAATTAACCCATTTTGATTTTGATCATATAGTCCAATTAATTATTCCATTTTGATGTGCATTTCTGAGGGAGTGTCATTTTTTGTAACAATTGGTTTTTATTACCCAAAATTTCAAGAGGGATTGAGGGAGAAAGTGCTCATTTGAAAGAAAAAAAAATGTTATCTTTATCTTGTAATCAAGTTGGTGAATACCAATTGAAATTAAAACTCTATTTTAATGTATGATGACTATTAACCATTGCCTCCTTCTATCTTTTTCCCTAAAAAAAATGTTAAAACTACTTTTTTTTTTTTTCTTTTCAATTAGTCAGTCCATTTTGAAGAGTATTTCCTAGGGACTTTCATTTTGGAAACAAGTAATTTTTCTTACCCAATTTTTTATTAGGGATTGAGGGATAAATAGTGCTTTTTTAGGGTTTTATTTTTATTGTATTATAAGTAAAATTTTTAATTTTACAAACAAAATAAGAGACGAATACATATCTCATTTTTAATTATTTTTTAATATATTTTGAGAGATATAAAAAATTATAATTATATTATCTTGTGAGTTAGAAGTTTTTTTTAGTTAACCTTTTTTGTATTCATGCCATTTATGTTTATGTTAGAAATTCATTTCTATATAAACCTAACTATCTACAACAAGTTCTTCACCCTTGATTCAAAATTAAACTCTTTGGCATTTTATCATGAGAAATCCCAAGTTCATTGCAGCTCATCTGGCTCTTGTTTTCTTTGCATTTGCTTCCCTTGTTCTTATCAGTGAATGTAAGTCAACCAAATTAACCTTTCACATAATTATTTATAACAGAATTTTATTTTTATTTTTTGTGTAAGAACCAGGCACCAGAGTTCTTGATGCAAGCATCAACCTTGGACCATGTCTCCTGCACCATGAATGCCGACCAGAAGTTAATTGTTGGTGCTGCATGGGCGACCCCAAAAAGCGATGTTGGCTGTATCAATCTGAATGCCTCAACTCTTGCTAAGCTTTGCCACATTCTCTGCTTCCTCAAGCCTCGGATGACCATCTCAAACCTTTAATTTTAGTATTTTCCCCCTAATTACCCAAGCATTATGCATTACATATTTAAATTTAACCATGGATTTGAATATGCATTTAACATAAATAAACTCGAGAAGAATCCAAATTTATCTATTTAAATTATCGATAACTTATTTTTAATAAATAATTACAAAAATCATAAAAAAATTGTATATGAAATTTAAATTTAAACATTTAATTCTCTTATTTCAAAAAGATAACATGTTTGAAAATGAAATTATATAAAAAATAAATTATTCGAATTTAATTCAATTGATTAATTTATTCAATTTAACAATAAAAAATTTTGAATTCAAACGGCGACCAAATCACCCAAAAGTATAAATCTTAAAATATATTCATCGAAAGAGGAAGCAAGATAGAGAATAGGAATAATTTGAACAACATAACAAATAAAAACATCTTTCTTCAGTAATCAAATTTGGGGCTATGCATGCAATTGTATGATTTTAATCATCTTACATTACTAATATCATAAGTATTTTCTCGAAAAAATTGATTACATTAAAACCAAATTATTATTCATGTTGGATGAAATTACTTGCAAAGATATGCTAATTTCTTTTGGATTACGCTTATTTGAAAAAAATATTAATTTTAATTTAAATGGTAGACTTTATACATTTTTTTGTCAAAATATTTATAAATATAAATAGGAAAAAATATTATATTACCCTCTTTTTTTCACTTATTTCTTAAAAAAAAAAAAAAATTGCTGGCCCCATCAAACTTTTTATTAAACGAAAAAAAAAAAAGAAAAAGCAACCAACGGCCATTATTGACCCAAATCCACGCGTGAAAGGAACGCTCCAAAAGGAGCGTTACAAGATAGAGAGAGCTCTGTCAATGTATGCCGTTCAGTCAAGACTTTCCTTACCTCGTCGTTTCCGCCGTTGCTTCCAAATTACGGAAAACGCATCCTTTTTCTCCCTTAACTAATTTCCACTTTAAAAAAAAGAACGGAAATTCCCAATTCCAAATTATTTCTAAATAAATCATTCTCTCGGTTAATTTCTCAGTTCGATCTCTTATTTTCAATGGACGAATCATCGTATTCAAATCTTGCTACCAGTCATTTACTCGGCTCAGTTCCGGTAAGCTGCTTAATATTCTTTTTTTTTTTGTTTCAGTTAATTTTTGTGGCATTTTATTTCTTTTTTTTTCGATTAAATTATCAAGATCGACATTTTTCATGTAAATTAATTTCAAATTTCTTCCGAAAATTTTCATTTGAATCTTAGGCTGTTATCAATGAAGAAAAAAAGGCATCGTATGAAGGTACTTTTTCTTTTCTTTTTAATTTTTGGAAAATTTTGTTTGCAAATTTGTTTTATTTATTTGTTTTTAAAATTGTGCAGTTCCTGAAGCGAATATGCAAAATTTCCCTCCAAATAGTGGCAGCGGAGGAGTTGGCGGCGGCGGCGGCGGCGGAGGTTATCAAACTCTTGTAGCTCCAACTGGTATATTATTTTTATGTCTTTAATTTATTTTCTTGCCGTATAAGAAAGGCTTAGTTGCATTTATCAGTCTTTCTTTGTTCTTACTCTAATATTTTGTGATTAGAAATTGATAATTTTTGCTATTGAGGTGATAAAATTGGAAATCTGCTATATTTGCAATGATTAATGTCTTAAAAGAGTAGATTAGTAAGGAAACTTTGTTCTTCCCAACTGGATAATAACTGAAGGAGAGACTAGAGAGATTTTTTGAAAAATTATTGCATCTAGAGTCGAGATATCGGAGATTTGGTTGTTTAACTGAGTGGCTCTTCCTTATGGAAGTTACATCTGGTACGGTAGGGAAATTTAGTGAAGGAAGTTGATATTTTCGATGCGCCTTAAATTTCAATTTCCTGTTACATTTTTCTTTATTTTCTGGATTAATTACCTTTTATTTTTGTAGTCACGAATTTCTTTATGTCAAATGGAGTCCATGGTGAATACTGTTAAAAGGAGGTTCTGAAATATACTCCTTTTGGCGGTTCTGCTTATATTTTTGAACTTTCCTTGAGTAGTCTCTTCCTTTATTTATTTGGTTTTGTGTGTGTGTGTGTGTTCTAACTTAGGAACATAGAGTTGTAGACTACTGATTTTGCATTCACATTCTAAAACACATAAAGATATCGTGGCTGAGTTACTGGCATCGCTGTTAGATGTAATTCACTTATGGTATAATTTTTAATTCTTTATTTAGTGTTACAGAAGAAATCTTAATGTTTAACAATCCCTTTGTATATCCTATGCAGAAGGATTTGAACAACAGCCACCAAACAACTGGAAGGGAGTGTTTAGTATCTCGTCATACACACAGTATTTTAATGTGGATACAGATGTTGTCATAAACAGATTGATAAGTTCCTTTTATCCTGTTGGTGGAGATTTTTTCGACAAGATTGATGCTAACCCTGATTTGTGAGTATTCCCCCCCCCCCCAAAAAAAAAAAAAAATTCTTCTTTGCCACCATTAAATGAGATATTCTTTAATACGGGTGCAAAAGCTGCTTTTGTCAAAGGTTCATTGTTCTATTTTTGGAATGGAAAGTTATCATTTGGAAGAGAAAAGTTATGTTCTTGTGAAGGAGTATATAGAGGTTTTAAACCTTATAAAAGCATATTATCTCTATCCAATATAAATTGGGATGAAAAGTAGGATTGAAAGCAATCAAATCATACATTAACCTGGGCATTCTTTCATTTGCAAGAAAAAAGATACTACTACTAGAAATCACTAACTTATTCATAAACTTACTAAGTTAGAAAGTTTCGTTATTTGGTTCTTTATTTTGACATGGATTGTAACAACTAGGAAAAACTGTGAGAATGATTAATGGAATCATACTAAACACGAGTACATGAGAAGTGCATGTGTATGTTTCTAAAGGGAATAAAGGCCAGCAGTAATACAAAAACTACAAGCACACATCGGTTGCAGGTTTATTGCATCATATTCTGTAATTCTTATTTGCGGTCATCTTTGCAAGTAGATTGATTAAAAGAAGCCATTTATTAAGACAAAAAAATAGGAAGAAAACTAGGCAAGAGATAGATTGAAAGCTTCGATCTTAATGGTATTATGGGAAGTTAAAGTACACTAGGATTTTGTTGTTAGTTTGTTTTTGTAGCTTTTTATTTGTCTCATACAAGAGACTTTCAATGAGTTGTTTGAAGGGGAGATCATGGTAGTCTGCTTTCAATCAAAGGATCTTTTCTGGTAAGCTAATCAATGTATTGTTTAATGTATAATGCAAGGATAAAATTGGTAAATCCTCATCATATGGCTTTCTAAAGGTAACAGGATACGTGGTCCATTTGTTGTTCTCCATCAGAAAATTGAATTCCTTGTTACCATGATGTGGTAAAATATACTTCTGATTATGTAGAAATCTTGACAATGTAACAGCTTTTACTAGATGGTAGTGCGAATAATGTACAGTAGTAAATTTCATAATTATCTGTTAATTTAATTTATTGGTCTTGATTTTTGTTGCAAGGTATGGTTTTATCTGGATAACAACTACATTGGTCTTTATGCTTGCTTCCTTTGGAAACTGTGCCACGTACCTTATGCAAAAGCGCACTGACGGCACTACTTCTTGGAGCTTTGATGTTGGCTATGTAAATGCAGCAGCTTGTGGAATCTATGGTTACACAGCTGTGGTGCCACTGGCATTTTACTTCTTGCTTCGGTATCTGGGTTCAAATGCTAGCCTTGTACGATTTTGGTGCATGTGGGGTTATTCGCTATCCATTTTCATTCCAACTGCAGTAAGTTTTTGTCTCTTTAAAGAAAAAAATACCAACCCCCACCCCTACCCTTTTTTGCTTTACAAACTGGTTTTAGTTTGTCATTCAAGTCCAAAAGCTGTTTTCTTGTTAATTATTCTCTTTTTATTTCGATGGATGAGAGAACCTTAAATGCTAATTCTGAAGTATTTAAGCCCCAAGAATAGCATATTCATTGATGTTTCCAGGGTCTTGTTAATCGGTGAGTACATCTAGAATTCTAGATTACCTAAGGTTATATTCTGCATCCTCATGAAGCTAAAATTTATTAGTTATTCATTATTTCTTTTGCAAACATCTGAGGTGGTACCATATGACATATTTGCAGTTTCTACTGCTTATTCCAGTTGAGATTCTCCGATGGATCATTATACTCATTGCTGGTACAGCCTCAGCATGCTTTGTTGCTTTGAATTTAAGATCTTATATTGAGGGGGCAAACGATCTTACAATGATGGTGGTTGCTGCATTCTTGTTGCAAATGGCCCTTGCAATCTTCATCAAGGTCTGGTTCTTTCCATAAACCTCAGTAAGTCATCATATGTGGTCTATCTGAGCATCTAAAATCCAAACTTTGCTGTGTTTACTCTGTTTCTGGGAAATACGCAAAAGGAGATTAGTTTGAGTGAAATGCCGCTTGAAGAAAAGCTTGTGTGTTTTGGGATTCCTTACTTGGTTTGTAGTTCATTGATAAATTTGAAACATGTAATGGAGGTGAGTTCTAGGAGTTTATGTTTTTGATGACGTGTAGCAACTCCGCTATTTTGGTTTTGGAGTCAGTTCATCTAATTGAGTAGGTGTTGTTGGCCTACAACTTTTAAGTGACCAACTTCATCAGAGTAACCGGAGTAAATGTCAATGTAATATTTGAGATTCCGGAACTTGTCTCTTTTGCTCATGGTTGTGTAAATATAGGTTGTCATGGTCTTTTTGTCAATCTGTAATTGTTACTGAACATCGTAAAGCAAATTTTTGTTTAAAAAATTAGGTTCTTTCTGAATCATAAATGATCATGGGCATGAAGTTACTAGGTAGACTATCTCATTTGCCCAAAAAAGGCAGGAAAGGGAGAGGGGAAAGGTTGTGATGGTCATTAGCCCTAAGAAGACCATGGCTCGCTCCCCTGCCCATTTAAGTTTGTGCTACCAAGAGCATCCATGGTCGCTGATCAACTATAGAACCCTACCATAAGTGGAATGCGTTAGCTGTTCGCCGTTATGTTAGGCAATAAGGATCGGAGAAGGGTAGTCACGCATTCTTAAAACAGTGTTCTTAATACCAAAGAATGAGAGGGGAAAGCTCACCATTCCTGATTACCTTTGTAGCTTTATCCTTGGAAACCACAAGAATCCTTGGGTAGAATGGGATCCCACACTTTCTCTGTCAAGTGGTGTTTAAGTAACCAATCTTTCTTTCTTTTTTTTTTTCCGTCAAACATATGAACTTTTCAGCCCTTTGTAATTTCAGCCTATGAGCTCGAAACTAGTGCACGATGACAGGCCGAGCAAGGTAACAAATGGTCAGAGTCTGTGCACTTTCGATTCCTGGGCTGCCGTCTGCCCAATCCAACTTGAGTCAAATCATCATGACCCACAGCTTCTTGGTTGGGCTTGTTTTCGGCCTTAATGAGTAGACCCATCTCGATCTTACGCCATCTCATACCATATTATTCAAAACTGTAGCTAAATTGGCTGATTAAGGAGGAATCTATTCTTTTGATTTTTTTAATAATAAAACCATACCTAACCGAACGACTGGACTCCACGTATTTGGTCAAAATCGATAGAAGCAAAACATGAATTGTTGTTTTCTGTGGGTTGTGTCTTGTCCCATAGGCTAATATATTCCAGTTAATTTATAGGGTCTTTGACTTTAGAACAAGTGTTTGTTTGCATTTAATCTAATCTGGTTGGCCCAAGTTGTCTACTAATTCATAAACATTATTCAGTAAAAAATTTTCATGAAGCTGTTTTGGTGAAACCAAAATCCAATTTTCAGAAAAAGCAAACCAATGATATAAAACACTAACATTATTAGTGACAACTGATCAAATTTCCAAAACCTAAAATTTAATCAGTTCATAATAAAAGATAATGACATCAACCATTGTTTCTCTTGCAAGAGCATTTGATTTAGTAATTATTAGTAATTGGTACATGAATTTTCTATTCAAATAACATATTTAAAAAAATAGACGAAATTGAAGTGCTCTTAAATTGTCTTATCTCTAACTAAAAATACAATCAAATATTAATGAGTTAAGACTCTCTCTTTTGTGATGATCAAAAACTAAATAGTCTTATCCACCAAATTGATTTTGATTTTGAAAGTCCAGTCAAGACAAGATAGTAACTTAATTTTTTTAATCTTATGAATAATTCAAAAGTATTATGGTAAAGTTTTTAGTTAAAAGATAAGGTTTCTATCAATAAAAAAAAAAAAACCATTTTTACTAGGATTAAAGCAATTATCACATTCACTATCAATAAATTTTAAAAAGATGACATATACTTCTTAATTTATAGTAAAAATAGAAGAAATAAAATATATGACAATTTATTAGTTTGTTTATAAAATAAAAATTATTATAAATGTATAAAAACAAACTCTTAAAATAATTTTTAAATATATATGTAAATATTTTTCATTGTTTAAAAAACGAATACATTTATTTTTTTATTAAAAAAAATAAAAAAAAAATTGAACAGAAAATCTAAGACTTCAAGAGTCCAAGTGTCGTACTGCCAGCGAAATACACGGATCTTGAAACTTCACATCTGGGCCACTTCGCCGAGACTTCTTCGCCGCCATTATTTTAACCCAACAAATCCCATCTCCCATTACTTAGCTATCGGCGTCTGTAACCCTACATCTCTTGACGTCAGCATTTTTACGTTAGTAGTTAATCACAGTTTTATTGATGCACCATAGTTGATGCATTACATATTGAAGCATATTAATATTTCTGTGCTTGCTAATTCGTACGTCAGTATTTAATCACATTCTGATTGGTCCACCATCATTGATGCAGTACATATTAAAACGTGTTAATATTTCTCTTTATATTAATGTTTTTGTCCTTGCTAATAACTTTTTTCGTGGAAACATAAAGGAAAAAGCTTAAATTTAAATCCAATCGAACGTCTAAGTGAAAACAATAATATGTAATAAAATTAAAAATAATATTAAAATATATATTTTATCTTTAAACCTTTAATTTAGTGATTAAAAATATTTGAAAAAATATTAAAATTTGATTTCGAATAAATCTTTCTCCTTCTCTTTATTTATATTAAGACTTTATTTTTCTTATGTAACAAAAAAATAAAAATAAAAAATTATTTTTAAAGATTTTATTTTAAAAGCATTGATAAATTATTTTTATATATATTTTTAATATTAGTTATAACATTTATTAATTTATTTATTTTTTGTCAAATATTAATTTATTTTTTATTATATTAAATTAACATAATTATTTCAATATTTTTAAATAAAAATTCAAAATGTAAAAACAAAAAAAATAACTTAAAATTATAAAGTAAAAATAAAAAAAATTTAAAAGGATAAAATTGGAAGAAAATGTGCGATGAGATTATATAATTTTCATCAGAATTAAAAGCTTTAAAAGCTTAAATTGTTCACGGACACTAATCGTTTCTCAAAAATTGCATCTAAATAAAAAAAAAATTATGTGTTTAAACTGATAAAAAAAAAAAAATCTCTATCTCACTGATAATTTGAAAGAAATTCAAATCAAATCGAAATCGTGTATCAAGCCTAAATTGTGTTGAAAAGAAGCCTATATCTTGTACCGAGCCTAAAATTGTGTCGAAAGGGGAAATGAGCAACATTGCTCACTGAATTAGAATAATGACCCCACTCGCTCATAAAATGACCGAATGTCTCTGTCCCTCTCTCCAGGATGTTGACTTTAGAATAAGCGTTTGTTTGCTTGCATTTAATCTAATCTGGTTGGCCCAAGTTGTCTACCAATTCATCCTACAATATTCATGAAATAAATTTGAATTTTATAAGTTTTAGATAAACATTATTATTCATATGGTACTGTTTTTGTGATGAAAGTGGATTCGGACATTGAATTTTATTAAAATTTGTTATGAAATTATCTTAGTGAAATTAAAATATAATTTTCGAAAAAATGCAAACCAATAATATAAAACACTAACATTATTAGTGACAAATAATGTAATTTTTAAAATCTAAAACTTAATTAGTTTATAATAAAATATTAAATTAATAATCGCGTTAATGACAAAATGACATGCAATATTGTTTTTCTTACAAAAGCATTTGATTTAATAATTTGTAATAATTGGGACATGATTTTTCTAGATTTAGTAATTATTAGCAATTGAGGCATCAATTGTCTACTCAAATGACATATTTGTAATAAAAAATATAAGAAATTGAAGTGCGTTTAAATTTTCACTTAGCTCTAACTAAAAATACAATCAAATATAAATGAGCTAAAGAGATTTTATCTTTTGTAATGATAAAAAATTAAGTGAAATTATTTAATATATTAAAAATTTTTTTTTTAATTTCATAAACGAAGTTAAAATGATAACACATGTCTTTTTTTAAATTAATTTTTTAAAATATATAAAAAATATGTATTTTCATCTTAATATCATTTGTAAAATTTAAAAAAAATTTACTATTAATATATTTAATAATTTCTCAAAAAATGAATAGTTTTTACCGACCAAGTTGGTTGTAATTTTGAAAGTTTAATGAAGACAAAGATAATAACTTAATTTTTCTAGTTTAATGACTAATTCAAAAGTATTATGATAAAGTTTTTGGTTAAAAGATAGAATTCTATCCATTAAAAAAGTTAACCATTTTTACTAAGATTAAAAAAAAAATCATATTTAGTAATAGTAAAATTTTTAAACTTTACAAAGATAACATATATTATTTAATATATAATAAAATTATAAAACAATTAAAAAAATATTTGACAATCATTTACCATGTTTATGAAATTAAAAAATTTCACTATAAATACATAAAATTAAACTCTTAAATTTTGTTTAAATAAAAAATACTCTTCATTATTTAAAAAATAATTATATTTAATTTTTTACTAAAATAACTAAAAAAAATAAAAAAGAAAATCAAATATAGACATGATAATTTGTGTTTTCGTATGATATTTGACACATGTAATAACATGAATTATTAAAATATAAACACGTTATAAATTATAAAACGTATTTAAATATTAAATACGAATACGATATGTTTATTATATGTATTACATAAAACACGATATGATTAATATATGTACAATTAAACAATACGAATAAATATAAATAATATAAATATACATGAATAAATACCATTAATACGAATATACAAGAATAGACACGATTAATATTAATTTATACAAAATCAAAACTAAAAAATAAATTATTATAAATTATTCATTATATATAACTTAATAAATTTTGCATATTAATAATATAAAAATACTTATATATTAAAAATAATAAGAAAATTTTGATTCCCACTTAATACGTATTTAATATATATTACAAACTATATTAGTTTTTACTATCAAATTCAAAATAATAAACTATTAAAAATAAAAAATAAAATAATTATGTGTAAAATTAGTATTAATATTTATATTATTAATAAAAATAAATTTATAATAATTATTAAATAAATATCATAATTAAATAACTAAAATAATATTTATATGGTATTAAATAGTCCATTAAGTATCAAATATTTATATTAAATTAAAATAAATATAAAATATATTAAACATGTTAAAAATATATTTGTATGATAAAATTAAATTAAATATATGTTTTTATCATATTATCTATTAAACATATATCCGTATAATATATTTTATTTAAATTTATTTTTATGTCTTATATATATCTAAATATATTAACACATATAAAATACAAATTATATCTTAACAAATATGAAACGCCTTTTTTTTTTTTTTTGGTATATTTTATATCGAACGTATCGTGTCGTGTCTAAATTGATGGCTCTAATCAAAGACTCCAAGTCCATGTGCTATACAATCAGCGGACTGCGCAGATCTAAAACTTTTGTCGCATCCGTGTCAGTTCGCCGAGGTCCCTCCATCGCCAATATTTTAACCTAAGAAATCCATGTCCTAGCAGTTATTCTGTACGTTTCACTAACTCTACCTCTCTTCACGTCAGCATTTAGTCACATTCTTATTGGTGCACCACAATTGATGGAGTACATATTGAAACATATTAATATTTCTCTGCTCAGTAATCCGTTTTATTTTGGACTCTTCTCTCCATAAAACCCTGAGAGGGAAAAAGGTTAAACTTAAACCCTATAAGACCTGAGAAACACCGCGTCACTGAGTTAGAACGGCTACACGACTTGCTCCGAGTTTCTTTCAATGGCCAATATGGACAGTTCTCGAGCCTTTGTTAAAGACGTTAAGCGTCTCGTCATCAAGGTTCAGTTCTTTTTTCTTTGTATTTCTTTTAAACATTGTTTCAATTTTGACTTTTGATGAGTTGATGAAATAAAAATGAATTAAACTGATTTAAAGTTTTTGTATAATTCTATTTTTATAATGGGTTTTATGGTGATTTTAATGGGAGGGGCGGTGTTTGGTTACTAGGAAAGATGGGTAATTGCAAAACTGGGACCAAGGCTGGATGGTATTCTAAAGCAAAACTAAGTGCATTTTTTAAAATTTTTATATAAGGATATTAAAATCTAAAATATAAGTGTTTTGTCTGTGTCATTGCATATTGCAATGGAAAATTATAATAATTTTTTTGAGAGCGAAAAAACTGAAAATTGGATAAAAAAATATATTTTTGGTTAAAATCACCGAAACTATGCCAATGGTTTTGTTCGGCTAAGCTAAGTGCTTGTTTTTCGAGATATTAAAATCACATAAACCATGTCAATATATTTTATTTTGGTGTAATGATATTAAATTAAAAAAAAAAAGAAATTTTGGGTCTTTGTTATTTTGATGTATATTATTTTGTGAAGATAGGAAAACCGAAAATATTTTGAAAACTGTATATAGCAGAGCACTTTTTATGAAGATTAATATATATTTCTTTTCAAAAAGATCTCAGTTTTAAAAGAGTCGAGATCTTTTTTTTTTTTGGGAATGTGCTGGTTAATCGTTGGAAATTGCCCTGAAAGTGATGTCTATTTTCGTTTGTAAAATTTGTTTCCAGATAGGAAATTGTTGTTATTTTCTGCCACCAAGGTGGACCCTCTATTTTTTTTATCTATTGATTCAGAACAAGAACACTCCAGTTGGTATGGTGGTTATTTAACAAACATCTTAGCACTAGAGAGAACTAACTATTTTTGAAAGTTGGAGCTCTGATAAATGATTGAACTGACTAATATTGAAGGTTGGAACTGCTGTTGTTACTCGAAATGACGGACGATTAGCACTTGGAAGATTAGGAGCACTATGTGAGCAGGTATGCCATTTGTTTAATACATCATTGTAATGGAGCTCTGGGAGGTTGCACTTATTGCTTTATTTGCCTTGTAATAACATGGTTAAAGTTTCAAATGATGTGCAGATTAAAGAATTGAACTCTCAAGGATATGAGATTATTTTGGTGACATCAGGTGCTGTTGGCCTTGGTCGCCAAAGGCTAAGATACAGGAGGCTAGTCAACAGCAGGTTTTTTGCGTTTTCTTTTTCAGCTCTGTATAATGATGGTTATCCCTCAATTACATTTCAAGCCTAAAGAATGGACATCGCTGTCATGCATAAAAAAAGGAAAACTATTAATATTTTGGTAGTTCTCTTTGATAAATTCTTTTCCTTTGGTATTATTATTCTTATTCATTCTTGTCTTGTGTTTCACAGCTTTGCCGATCTTCAGAAACCCCAAGTAGAACTTGATGGAAAGGCATGTGCAGCCGTTGGACAAAATAGTCTAATGGCCCTGTATGATTCATTGTTTAATGAGGTGGTTACCCATGTTCTATTTCATGGCTGCATTAGACTAATCTTTTCTTGAAGTTCATTACCTTAGAGTTCATTCTTTCTTCACCAGAAATTTTCATCTCTATTTGTGATGCATGTTTATATCTTTGGTATATAGAGCTTATTTGAAATGACCTTTTTTTTGCTGCAGCTGGATATTTCTTCTGCTCAACTTCTTGTAACAGACAGTGATTTTAGAGATAAAGATTTTAGGAAGCAACTAAATGAAACGGTGAAGTCTTTATTATCGCTGAAAGTTATTCCAATATTTAATGAAAATGATGCCGTCAGTACCAGGAAAGCTCCATATGAGGTATCATACTGATAACTTTTTCCTATGTTATGATGTCTTTTTATATCAAGACCTGGATCAATGCTATCTCCTTCTGGCTATAATAATCTTATCCAATGCTAGAATGAAAAGTTGATGTTCTTCACCATAAGCAGAAGCTTAATCTTAGGAGGCTGTACCAATATGTTGTAATGTATTATATTCAATATGTCCTCATGTCTATTTAAATCAATACCTCAATCAATGCTATACCTATGCCTACAACAATCTTATCTGTTATTAGAATGAAAAGTGCTGTTCGTCATCATAGTAGAAGCTTAATCTTCGGAAGCTGTATCTATACACTTTAATGCATCATAAATACAAGCTTATTTCTCAAGGCTCTAATGCATTTTGTAAACAGATATTTTTAGATTCTCTCTATGTTGGTTTCAGATAAAGAGAGAAAAGTGTTTGAAAGCTTTGATTCATCTTAAAGTGCATAATTTGAGTACTTTTGCAGGATTCTTCTGGTATATTTTGGGATAATGACAGTTTAGCAGCTTTACTGGCATTGGAGCTAAAAGCTGATCTGCTTGTTTTGTTGAGTGATGTAGAGGGTCTTTACAGTGGCCCTCCAAGTGATTCAAAATCAAAGCTAATCCACACATATGTTAAGGAAAAGCATCAGACTGAGATTACCTTTGGAGACAAGTCGAGGGTGGGTAGAGGGGGTATGACTGCAAAAGTAAAAGCTGCTGTCAATGCAGCTTATGCTGGCATTCCTGTTGTTATCACCAGGTATAATTCATGCTTTATTCCAGGTTTAGCACTATGCGACGTTTTACTGTATCTTGACACATGTTAAATATAATAAATAGGATCAACTAAAAGCCTAAAATGATTGAATACTGGTTTTGCTAGGATTACAATCATTTAAAATGAAATAAACATACCGGTCAGTTTCCTCTAGTAAGTGCATTGAGGGGTTGGAAAATTCTTGCAATTTAAACTCCCCTGCCTTATCCCATCTAAGAACCCTTATATTTTCTAATAAATTGCAACTTAAGAAAAAAGAACGAGAACTTATTTGTCTGTAGCTTGTAGATTTTGCTATATAAAAATACTCTTGCTGCATTCATATGTGATGATGCCATGTTGGTGTCAGCAAATTGCCTTCTGCCTAATTTTCTGTAATTTCTCTTTTGTTTCTTATAAAGTGGATTTGCTGCTGAGAACATAATAAAAGTCCTCCAAGGACAACGAATTGGTACTCTCTTTCATCAAGATGCACATTTGTGGGAACCGACTAAAGAAGTTGGTTCCCGTGAAATGGCAGTTGCAGCAAGAGAAAGTTCCAGACGACTTCAGGTAATATTGCATTGCTTTGTTGCTCCAAATATTTTGTGATAACATTTTTCTTCCTCAAGTTGTGGTTCTGGCTGCCACTTCTTGTGTTGACAGTCAGATGTACCTTCTTGGGTAGTGGCAAAAAGAACTTAATGGCAATTGTTCTTCAGGCATTGTCTTCACAAGAGCGGAAAAAGATTTTACTAGACATAGCTGATGCTCTTGAAGCAAATGAAAAATTGATCACTATTGAGAATGAAGCTGATGTTGCTGCTGCACAAGAGGCTGGATATGAGAAATCCTTGATATCTCGGCTAGTATTGAAGCCTGGGAAGGTAAAATGTTAAATCTAATTCTTCCATGTTTGCTTATTTACTGTTGCCTTTTATTACCTCTCAGCTTTGTCCATGTCGTTGAATACCTAAAGCAGATGCAACCCTTATGCATCAAAATCCAACTGTACCTTGTCCCTTCTCAGATTACTTATAGTTATGAGTTTTGTTTTGTGTTGTTGAGTTTACTTCTTGCTCTCAACAGATTTCGAACCTTGCAAAGTCAATTCGTGTGCTTGCTAACATGGAAGACCCAATTGGCCGTGTTTTGAAGAAAACACAGGTAATAAAGAGGTATTTCTTATGTTCAGTAGGTTGATACACTGAGTTGTGAAGTTGCTGGAGGTTCATGTGGTTTGAAACGTAGTTTAATTTCTAAACCTTTAAAAGTGAGGCAAGAAAGGTTGAATTTTGGGGGTTTGGGGGGATTATATCAGAAACCAAAACTGTGTATGGTTTTGGCCAAAGCTCTTATTAACAGAATTGCTGGAACTTTTTGAGTGAATAGTTATCTGATGATTATCTTTGCATTCAGGTTGCAGATGGACTTATTTTGGAGAAAACATCAAGTCCTTTGGGTGTTCTTTTGATTGTTTTTGAATCTCGACCTGAAGCACTTGTACAGGTAAATAGGACTACAACTTTGAAAATCCTTTCCACTATTTCTCTATGGTTTAGATAAGATGAATGATTTAAATAGATTATTTTATTCTGAGATGGACTTATGTTCCTACCCCCTTTTATGTTAACCTTTATTTGGCTTGACCAAGGAAGGAAAATGCAAAAAACTATCTGCATTGTATGAGGTGGAGCTAAGTGCTATTTTTTATTTGCCTAGTCAAGTTATATGCTTCTATTTCTGAATATACTCCTGTGGTTTTATGTATCATTTGAATAGATAACCTCATTAGCTATCCGAAGTGGGAATGGGCTACTCTTGAAAGGGGGAAAGGAGGCCAAGCGGTCAAATGCTATTTTGCATAAGGTTTGGGTTCTAAAATGAGTTTTCTTGAATGTACTGAAATGTGATTTCTTGTCTGGATTTCTTTTCTGATATTTTTTCACGTTCTTTTGAATTCATAGGTAATAACCGAAGCCATTCCAGACACTGTTGGGAGCAAAGTTATTGGACTTGTGACTTCAAGAGATGAGATTCCTGACCTTTTGAAGGTTAGTAGATCTTAAAGTGACCAATCATTAGAACAGATATTTTATGACAATATTATGCACTTTAATTTGGAACTCAGCATTAACATTTATACTTCAGCTTGATGATGTGATTGATCTTGTGATCCCAAGAGGCAGCAACAAACTTGTTTCTCAAATCAAGAGTTCAACTAAAATTCCTGTTCTTGGTCATGCAGGTTAGATGGGTTCTAGTGTCTTATCCATTCATCATATGCTTGGCCGATGTGATAATTTTGTTTTTATAAGGGTTATAAGGAAAAGATACTTCTGCCTGGTTCTCATCCTGTTTACTATGCTGTTTGTTTCAGATGGAATTTGCCATGTATATGTTGATAAGTTTGCTGATATTGAAATGGCAAAGCAGATTGTTTTGGATGCAAAAATAGATTATCCTGCTGCTTGTAATGCAATGGTAATTCATCAGTCATTCGTCAATTTATTTCTTCCTGACAAATTTAAGTAACAAGTTCAATGTTATTCTTTGAGGCTATATTTTTGTTTATATATTTTCAGATTGTGTTCATCACGTTGCATAGTTATTTAATGCTTCTCTTTTACTTTTGGCAGGAGACTCTTCTTGTACACAAGGACTTAGTGCAGAGCGGTGCACTGAATGAGCTAATCGTTGATCTTCGTATAGAAGGTACATTGCAAGTAACTTCACTTTCAATATATGATACTTAAAAATTATCCATGATTGCCACATGTTTAGTTGCTTTATTAGAAAGTGAATAGCTCTAGTTAAAATATGATAATGTTAGGTTGGAAAATTGACACCAAGCATTATGCAATAATTCTTTCAACTTTTAAAAGTGGAATTAATGGAGCATAGTTAACGAGATGTCCACTTAGGATTTTAGAATGAAAGAAGGAAATGGATAGTCTATGCTTTTGAGTTTTAAATTTCTGGATCTATGTATTATGTTTAACCCTCTGACAACTATACTTAGTTTATACTGAATTTGAATATTTGAAGAAAGTGAATGTCTTTTAAATTCTTGTCTGTGTTTTGAGTATGACAATTTCTCTTGAGCTATTTTAGTGGCTTGATCAGCTGAGATTTTATTTCTACATACTAATTCATTGAGCTCATTCTTAGGTAAATCTCATACATATCCAGTTACGTGAGATATATAACTATCCAGCACTATGAAGCAAATGGATAATCTTTCAATGAAATCTCATTGTCTGCAAATCCAGCTGCATGAAAAACTATCATAGAACTTAAAATTTGTTCATATTTATGGCAGTTCTTGGTATCTTTTATGACTAATATGATATCCTAACCATTTTTGGAATGGCTGGCAACTTAAATAGAATAACTTGATGAAAATGTCGTTGTCCTATTCAGTTTGTTTTCTGCATTGGTATTTTTTAAAACTTTGTTTATCTCGTTTTTCTATTGTTTCGGTGCCGAATTTATTAGGATGGAATTTTTACACCTTTCCATCATATCCATGTAACACAATTTTTGGAATATCTAAGGGATAACCAACGTTAATGCATCTTTTGCAGGTGTTATGTTATATGGCGGACCGAGGGCAAGTTCCTTGTTGAAAATCCCACAGGCACGCTCATTTCATCATGAATACAATTCATTGGCCTGCACTGTTGAAATAGTGGATGACGTCGGTGCAGCCATCCATCATATCCATCATAATGGAAGGCATGTTACAATATCTTGGCCGAGAACATTATTGACTCTTCTTTGTTTGCATATTGATGCATGCTATGGTTGCATGTGCAGATGGACATGAATTACCTTCTTTTTTTTTTTTCTTTTTTGTTTCAGTGCACACACGGATTGTATCATCACAGAAGACCAAGAAATTGCAGAAATCTTCCTGAATCAAGTTGACAGGTAAGACTTCAATTATCTTTTTTCTGAAAGATCACTTTAGCTGGTTATTCTATTACTTAAATTCTTGACATCTTTCTGCTCTATCTTCTTACTTGTAAGACCTAAAATAAGAAAATGCAATGGGTAATGCTTTGATTTCGAAGGCAACAAAATTACTTTGACTCAGTGCTATAATGGTGGCTCCTTTAATTCTGTGGGTCATCATGTAATACATCCTTTATTTAAATGGCCAGTGCTGCTGTTTTCCACAATGCAAGCACAAGATTCTGCGACGGGGCTCGATTTGGGCTAGGAGCAGAGGTATCATATCTCTGTTACTTTCATCATCTATTTGATATGTTCAAGTTCATTGGTGTAACATTTGATTTTCTTCAATAACTGAATAGGTTGGGATAAGTACAAGTAGGATTCATGCTCGGGGTCCTGTCGGTGTTGAAGGATTGTTAACAACAAGATGGTATGGATCTATTAAGATCTTCATTTATAGACCACGAATTCTACATTCCATTGTTAGTATTTCATACATCCTATAAACATGGATTTGCACATATATGTTATCTATAGGAGATCATTTTGGAGGTAGGCTATCTCTTTGGTAACATAAATTATGTTCATCTAAATATTTATGATATTATTACTGTTATATTTGAAGGATTTTGCTAACAAGTGCCCTAAGATCACTCTTTAAGATTACTATATTGAATAATATCCTTAGAAAAATGCAAGTAGCTTATTTTAAGGTTATTTAACCTTATAATTTTTTTTTGGTTCAAAATATAGGATTCTCAAAGGAAGTGGGCAGGTGGTGGATGGTGATAAAGGGGTCATTTACACCCACAAAGACATACCTGTTGACTCTTAAAAATGGATCAGAAAAAGCCTAAAATGCAGAGGGAAAGTGCGTGAAGCTGCTTTGATAGGATTCAACTTTCTTCTTTTTCCTCTCTGTCTTATCCTTTAGTTTCAAGGGGCAGGATTGGTCATTGCGTCATTATTATACTATTATTATTCTTTTATTATTATTATTATGAAATTCTTGCTATGGTTAATTCTTATGTTTTTAATTTAGGAATAAGTAAAATTTTTTTTCAAGTGTGATAACTAGAAATTAGGAGTAATTTGTTTGGGGAGACTTGAAAGAAGAAAAGAATGTTAGTGTGTTATTTGTGAGTTTTTTCAGGAATTGTGTTAAAGTACTAATAATCCCATCCAATTATTTTCTTTTACTATATTTTGGGAATTTCCCAGGATTTTAGACTAAGAATATAAGATCCATAAATTAATAAATTTTAGATTTAGCAATATAAAATACAATACGGTGATATCATATAAACACGATATATATAAATAAAAGATATCAAAATAAAGGATTTAAAATTTTAATAAAAATTATATATGAATTAAATAAAATTAAAATATATATTTTATATTTTTGTATAAATATGAATTATGATATTTAATTTTTGTATAAGATATGATTTGAATAAATGAATTTTAATATTTTACACTATACAAATTTACGAATTGCTGTATCTAAAACAGTATTCCAATGTGAAAGAAAATTTTCTTAAAAACCTCGTTGAATCAAATGGCTAAATTCATGCTTCAACGGGCTTCTTCGACGTAATAGATAGTCTTGGCCCTTTTCTGGTCAACGCAGAAGGTCGACAAATCCCTTTAAAAACGTTGGGAGAACATCTTAATCTCTCTTGTAAGATATAAAAATCACATTCCAATCTCTTTAAAATTTGATGGCAGATCACATAGCTGGCATTCAAAGTAGAACCACATTCATCTAAGGAAGATAACAACACTAGCATCCCTTTTTTTTTGTAAATTTCAATTCTAATCAATTAAGAAGTAACATTCTTGCATACTTGTTTTCAGTTCCTGCAAGACTTGATATGAATATGGTTCAAACAAGAGACAAAATATTCTTCAAGTAGAGCAATATATGATCCGAACTTAATTCCAAACATGTAACATTCAACTTCAACAAATTCGAAAGAACTTTTCACCTCAATAAAATTGTGCATTTGTTATTTAGTTCATGCAATAACTTGCAACAATGCTTGTTTCCTACTCGAAAGAGAATGCTATTAGCTCATGTCCTTGTTCATAAACTATTGTATGATGCTATAAATCCTTCATTCTTCCATGAACTTCTTGAGGTTCTTCAACCACCTAAGGTACTCTCTACTATCCTTGTTGATCATGTACTCATGCAAGTAATTGGTAGTGCTCGGCTTGATTCCTCTGATCTCCAAGTACTTGTGGAAAGCCTTCTGCAGGTTCTCATCCAAATCACTGCAAAACACAAAAACAAAAACATTAATTATAGCAGAGATCCAATCAAAATCCCAAGTTTCCTACAAAAAGCTTACTGGAAATCAGGGCCTTCATAGGCAAGTTCGTCCTCGGAGTTAGGATTTCTAACAGCCAAACTGTCGATTGCAATCTCATCCGGGAAGGCAGTACAATTGAACTCCAAACTAGGACCACCACTCTTTGAGACAGTAACAACCAATGGGATACTTGATTTACTAGGCTTTTCATAGTCATCCTCATCATCGTCTTCACCCTGTTCTTGTTCATCGCCTGTAACAAGATCAGGCATGTGAATATCAACCTTTATTAACTCACCATCATATTCTCTTGTCAATGTTATAGTTTGAAGCCCAGGAGTGTCTTCGATTTCGAAAGGGAATCCACTTGGAGTCTCTTCAACCTGGGAAAAAAAAAACAGAAAATTATTGCTTTCAGTTTGCAAACAGATAATCTATACTAAGTATTATGAAATTGCTCATGTAAATTCTAAGATCATGTTCATTTCAAAAAATTAAAACCCAAAACCACGAAACAGAAAATAAAAACCCTAAATTTTCTATGCCTACCCCAACTTAAGTCAAAAATAATGTTTTTTTTTTTTCAAAGTGCAATATTTAAACCATTTTTCAGTAGTTTCCAATTTTTTGGGGGAAATAATGATCTTTTAAACAATTTTGCATTTTTTTTCCATTTTCATGAAAGAAAAGAAAATTCTAAAAAACCCAAAATCTATCAAATTCAAACACTTGTATTTTTCCCCTTACTTTCCCATAAACCCTAAATGAAAAAAGAAAGGGAAAAAACAGAATAAATTACTCACCTGATCATATTCATCACTCTCCTCAGCACACTGAATCTCAGATTCAAGAACTCGAAGCAGAGACTGATCAGCAGAGGTTTTTCCTGAATCAACAGCTGTTGAGAAATGAAGGCTATTTTGGTAAAAACGGTTTAGACTGGATTGCTGGGAGTGGAAGCTATGGTTCATAGCTGCGAAGATGCAAGAGTGGTAGTTCCTCTGGGCTCGGGTGAGTCGAATAGCGAGTGGAACCAACAAGTTGGCTGATTTGCGGAGAATCGAAGTGAAAGCCATGGAAACTGCGCTGACAAAAGGAAAAAGGAGAGGGTTTGCAAGGGTTTTAGGAACGGCTGGATTCTGTGTCGTGAGGGTTTTAGGTTTTAACGGCAAAAGATGTGCAAGTGGCTTCGGTCTGATATAGGCGATTTCCTGCCTAATTTGGGCTCGAATGAGCCTATTTTGGGCCTCAATTGTTCTGGAATTAGGCCTCGGAGTTGGCTAAGTTGAGCTTATTTCGGCTTAAAATTGAGCTGAATTGGGCTTACTGGGCGAAGAGTTGGTCTAGAATGAAGACTCTAATTGGTGTGATTTTGGGCTCAATTAGGATAGAAATGGGCCCCGGAGTTGGCTTACTTTGGGTTGTATTGGGCTTAAAATTGAGTTATAATTGGGTTTTGTTATGGGTCAAAGTGGGCTTATTTGGGTCTAAAATTGGGCTTCAAAGTAGGCTTAAGTTGGATCGTTTTTACCCTAAAATTGGGCTATACTGGACTAAAAGTTGGCTCAGTTTGTCAGTTTTGGGCTTGAATGTCTATAATTGGCCTAAGTTTGGCAGTGTTGTTCAGAAAATGGGCCTACAAATCTGTATAAGTATGTCTATTTTGGTTTTGAAGTTGGGCTAGAGTTGGGCTTCAGAGTTGGCGTATACTTATTTGGGCCTCAAGTAGTTCAGGAATGAAGCCTCTAATGCGTATTTTGGGCCTCAGATTGGGTTTAGTAAAACTAGAATTGGGCCTTGTTTGATCCTTCAGTAAACTCTTTTGGACCTCAACTTGAGCCTAAGTAACGCTGAATTGGTCCATATTTGATTTTTTAGTATTTATATTGGGCTAATTTAGGCTAGAATTGGGTCTAGTTTTTGCCAATGTTGGGCTCAAATGGGTTTATTTTTGTTACTTGGGCTAGAATTCAGCCTTTTATTTGGACTAAAAATTGACCTTAATTGGGTCTATTTTGAGATCAATTAGGCCTGATTTGGGTCAGATTTTGTCCTTAATGTGGGCCTCATAATAAGGGACGTATTCAAAATTGGTTTGAGTTTGTAATTGAATTTGAGTATTTTTTTTTATATTTATCCGTTGAAATTTTTAAATTTCACAAGGGAAATAAAATATAGTGACGAGATCACTGCTTACCAAATCATTATCGTTAGTCAAAAACTCCACGTTTATCATCTTACTGTCTTTAGTGCAATTAATTAATTTTACAAAATTTCATCAAATTCAATATTTTTGCTTTTTTTTTTTTTTTTTTAATTCCTTTCATGGCTGAAAAGTCAGCAATAGCAACACCAAAGCCTATCTCAGTAAAATAAGTCAAGCTAATTCTTCACTTCTATATATTTTCATGGTTTCTTGTCTTCCTGGTGGAAGAGAAACACTTTATGGCTATGGCAAACAAAGCTATCATTCTTGCGAGTATTGGCTCAGTTTTTCCTTCTTCTGTTGATAAACTGAAGAAGTCATCAACCGGTGTCCAAAACAACTTCAGGGTTTCAAGAATTCCATCAATTAAAGCAGTTCAAAGCCCTCCAGAATCAGCTACAGGAAGATGGGCCAGACAGAGACGACCCCAGAATGTAGATGGAGACTTCTTTGTAGGTAAACATCGTAATTACCCACATAGTACATTTCTTTGGAGGGCTTTTTCTTTGTCATATACTTCAGCAGATGCCAAATTGTTATTGGATAAGTTCATTGACTGAACGGCTGTAAATTTTTGCCTTCAAGGATGGTAAGTTTTTAAAGTGGAATGAATAGGATATAGGAGTTTCCTTTTCTAGCTATGGAAAATATATTTTTTTAACCCTTAAAATAGATACTGGAAAATTGGAAAAAAAAATCCTAATGGAAAGTACATTATTTTTCAGGTTAAAACTATGCTTGGCCAGAATATTTCTCTTAGTATACACTATATATTGCTATCTCTGCTAATTTTGATATTGCTTTTTACTCCATTTTGCAGATCATACATGCATAGATTGTGATACTTGCCGCTGGATGGCTCCGGTAATCAATCAAGCTTGCATTTTTTTTGCAGTTACTTTTTCGAGCGGGTAATTAATGTGAATATACTGCAGATGTTGCAAGGAAAACAAATTTAGTACTATATATTTGGATGAATTATTTTTTACATCAAGGGAATATTAGCTTAGTAATATAAATCCTATTGCAGGTGCCTGCTTGAATATAAATTTCAATGGTATGGTTTAGAAAAATAATGGAAAAAGATGGTTGATCAAATATTTCACTTTCTTTTTTAATTGAGAACTGATTCTGTATTAAATCATTTCCATAGGAATGAAAATTATGTTTAATTCTAATTCCTAGCTAGTCGAGTTTTGGTTCACTAATAACTATTTTACTACATTTGAGATGTTAGCAAAAGAAGTTGCAGCACCTTGTAATCAGATGGTAATAACTGGCAATTAGTGCCCCTGGTGCACACTAGTATGAACTGACACTTGCTAGCTTAGAAGCAGTCAGAAATGGTTACACATAGGTTAAGAATGATGACAGGCATCATGTATGCTTTGCTACTAATTTTCAGAATTTGTATAATTTGTATAGCATATTTCCTTCCTTTTTGTGTATGATGGTATAATCATTTCATTCAACCATAGAATGGGCTTTGTACTTCATAGAATAACAGCATGTGCGCGGAATGCAGACACTGACCGAGAATTATTGACTATGCTATCAAGATTTGCTTTGATAATCGTTGAAACTATTCTTACTTATACAATTTCTATTTCTTGTTTTTCTCAGCAAGTCTTCACACGAGTTGGTGAGATGTCTGCAGTTTACAAACAGCCAGCCTGCAAGGAGGATCGACTAAAAGCGCTCCAGGTGACTTTTTTCTCATTTCCTTTCCTGTCTATAAGTTAGAAGATGATGTTTTCTACTTTCTCCAGCTGCATCATAGAGCATTAATTTATGTTTATATGCATCTCTAGAGACTTTCACACTTGCATACACTTTCATGCCTTTATGCATGTTATTAGATAATATTGTGTAATATATATAGCTATTTATATTATGTGTTAATTAGATATCTATTCTAGAAGAAACAACAACACTTTTGGTTGTAATGAGTCCCGTTATATCTTTTAAGATTCAACTTGTTTTCGAACTTAACAGCAGTTGCCCTTACTTTAATATAAATGGTTGTAATTTTCAGGCCTTGCTTTCCTGTCCAACAAGCTCAATCCGTACAGAAGTACCTCCTCCTGATATCCTAGAAGCTCAGAAGACATTTCCAATTCCGATAGAAGAGAAAAAACTTCCGGTAACCTGTATCATTCCTAACTGTATCTTTATTTTACGGTATCATTTGACAGATTGCATTGTTAATTATGCATTCTTGGAATAGCATGCCTACTTGATCACTGTGGCTGTCATATGACATACTTTCAGGGTGTTTATCATTGTGGGTATCATTCTGAGAAATCATACGGAGCTACTTCTTACTTGATCATTCATCCTGAAGGAAATATACTTATTGATAGGTAATATTATACTTTTGCTGCGCAGAAGTTTCTGAAAAACTCTGCTCTGAACTGTCATGGGGGGTGGGGGAACAGCCATATTTGGGAAAAAAATTGGGAACAATAATGCTTCTAGATCCTTTTCTCCACTAGGATCAATTTGCATATAGGCTGAACTAACTTGGCTGTAATAATTTTCTGCAGCCCCAAATTTACGGAGAGACTTGCAAGTAAGATTGAGATGCTGGGTGGTGTACACTATATGTTTCTAACCCACAAGTATGTCAGCAAATTTTTTTTTTATCTTTTGTTGCTTTAGAGGTTTCTGATCCATGTTTTTATGGTCAGGGATGATGTTGCAGATCATAAGAAGTGGTCAACGCGGTTTAGTTGTGATCGAATTCTACACTCTGAAGATGTAAGTGCCATGTACTTAAATCTGATGTGCTTCATCATATATTTAAGGATCTTTACAAATTTTGTTAGGAAGAAATGTTGTCATACTTGCTTTGCTACCTTTGATGTTCTTAACTCTTCCGTTTGCAGCTTATGATTTATTAATCATTGATAAATAATTTATTATAGTGTTATCTGGGATAGAAATATAGTGGAGATTTCAACTGACTTTACCAATAGCCAAAAAGAAATTGATTTACATGTGTCTTCTCAAACCTTGATTACTATCTACAGGCAAGAAGGGGCTATGAGTGAACGTTACTGCATTTTTTTGGTGGAGTACTAGATTGTGCATGTGATTTTAAAGCTAACATACTAGTTGTATTATTTATCTCTGCAGGTAGAAGTTTGTACCGATGATGTAGAGACGAAGCTAGAGGGGAGTGGCCCATGGAGCCTTGGAGAAGACATTATGCTTGTACATACTCCTGGCCACACAGAAGTGAGTTATTAATCTAATGCACACAAAAAATTTCAGCAAATATAGCTTCCTTATGGCTTGACAAACACTTCCCTCGGTCCTGGGTTGACATTGCCTAATGTCAGATTTATGTGATTTTTTCTAAGTTGCAAAAGTCACTGTTTATTACTTTTAGTTATCAAACAGTTTGGATATCTATGAAGTATCTCAAATAGTTTGACATCAATAGCGCTGAACAAAGCACATAATTGTACATTTTATAAATTGTTGCAGGGATCTGTCTGTTTGTTGTATAAGCCACTCAAGATTCTATTCACTGGTGACCATCTGCTGATGAGAGAATCTGGGCTGGACATAATGGAGATATACAATAAATGTTCAGGTAAAACAATTACTATTACTATTACTTGGAAATGTATAAGTAACGGTGCATCTCATACAATTTTTCAAATTTTGTTGGCTGTAAATATAATTAATCTATGTTCTAAAAGTCCCTAGAGAAAGCCAGTGATCTGTAAAATATGCTACCTGATTCTTTGGATCATCATCTAGCTGGATGTGTTTATGAAACCTGTCTTTCTGACAGTTATTTGATTCTTGTTTCATCATTTAGCTCTTTCTTAATCTTTTTTGCTATGCTCACAATTTTGTTATTTTTCACAGTTCCTACACAGCTGGATAGTGTTAAAAAGTTGTTAGACTTGGATTTCAATTGGATGATACCAGGTTGGTATCAGTTGTCTTCTACCTTTGTAACGTAAGGACCAAATATTCATAGTCTTATATGTGCTGCTGTCATTGGTCGTACTTATTGAAACTTGCCTAGTTTTGAAGAACAGCCTTCTACACACATTATGATTGGTTGAAACAATTTAATCATAGCTTGTCTCTTATTGCATCCTTTCTGAACTACACTTCTGAATCATGAACATATTTCCTTTCGCATGTTTTTCCATTTCATTCTTCTTATATCCAACCATTTGCAGCATTTAGCTTCTGCTAGTCAATTGTTGAAGAAAGATGGTATAAATTAACCAGGAACTATAACCTACTGTTTTGACATAGTAGAGAGCAATTTGTTTTATCTATCTTGAACAATAGAAATTGGATTGATCGTTTTCATACTCAGATTGCTATTTATGAAGATCAATCTGTAAAGTTGGACAATTATTTATAGGTCATGGCAGGAGAATTGAATTCAAAGATGTTCAGGAGAAGAATGACGTTCTCAAATCTTTTGTCCAGGAAAAGTATACTCAGCACTCCTCAGCTAGGACTAAATGGTATTAAGAGTTTGCATGTATGAGAAGAACAATAGGTGCCAATAATTGGTACCATGATTGTCAAAGAGAAATTTCATCTTATAAAAATTTGCTGTGTGCCTCTGAAAATTCTGTTGTACCATGACTGCTGCTTGCGTCCTGCAAATAAAATTTTGAGGTATATATAATCATGGCCAGATTGTTTTCTTGTTTGCCTCATAATTTCAATAGATCTTTCCTTTTCCAGGATGCCATGAAACCATTATTCATAATACAGTCAATAATTCATTAAATTATACTTAAAAACAATATCTCATATCCATTCATATATTCCATCATATATTCATATATGCTTTAGAGGATAAACATTTCAAAATTTAGGAGATTTCAAAACCTGAAGTTATCACAGGAAAAACCTGACAGCAAAACCAGATCAGAGACCCTTCAAAATAACAGCAAATTACATCAGTGACTTTCAAAAAGTCACCAGATTTCGACTCAAAATGTCCCCTGGGATTAACAGAAAGCTCCAAAATGATGGTTATTGTCAATGGTCAATGTTCTCTTCCTGTTTTTCGGGTTTCAGCTTTTTTCTAATAATATTTTGTTACCTACTGGTCGACTTGTATTACTTATTGACAAATTCAATATAAGTTACAAAATATACATTTTTATATATTAAATTAACTATTTACATTTAGTTACTTGATTCATCTGTTAGTGTTTAGACTAAGAAGACATCTTTATTTTATTTAAATTTGATAATTTTAAACATGAAAATGATAAAAAATATATGAAAATTATAAAATTTTAATTAAAAATATATATAAATTTTATAAAAATTAAAAAATATAAATATAGAAACATCCTATTTTCCATATGATTAACACAAAAACATAACATGAATATAGAACTGGCTTACTTCAATGAAAAAACCAAAGAAAATGAACCCTACTTTACCAATTACCATTAAAATTTTAGAAGGAAAAAGGAAAAAAAAAAGAAAAAAGAAAAAGAGAGCTTTACACGTTAAAAGGATAAAGAGTGACAGCAAAAGGTAAAGCTGATGTCGCTGTCCAACATGAAAACTCAAGGTCACTTTCATGGAAAACAGCATTCCTTACCGGAGTCAACAGATTCTTAAGACACTAACCCCATATCTGCAAAAAATCTTAAAAGTTAGTTAAGCTCCTTCAACTTTGGTTTCTTGTAAGCAAAAGCTAGCTCTTCTATTCCCTTTCCTTTACCTTTCCTTTCTCCTCTTTGGTCTTCCTGGAAGATCCTGTAATGTTGATTTAAGAGATATGGCCTTGTTTGGAAGTCCAGGAAAGTTGAGTGGACTGCTACTGAGAATGGGGCAGTGTGTTTTTGCTGCTTCTTCAATTGGTGTCATGGTTTCTGCTCATGGCTTTTTTAACTCCACTGCCTTCTGGTATTTTTTTTTTTTTAATCTTTATATGATTCTTATACCTTGCTTTGTATGTTAAACTGTTAATTAATTACTTCTTTTTGAAGCAATTCATTGCCGTCATTTCTTTGCTTTCTTTGTTTGTTCAATAGGTTTAATTTCTTCTTTGAAACACTAGTTCTTATGCATGATTTGGGTATTTGAAATGTCTTAGTTCTAGAGAATTGAGATCATACATGGAATTCTTTGCAAGGTTTTCATAAATGGTTCAGAAACTCAAGAGAATGTCTACAGTGAAAGAAATGATTGTTACAAGAAAAGTGGTTCTTTTATTCTCAAGCTTGTCAAAATATGTAAAAGAGTGCCCTATTTATACAGGGGATTCTCACTAATTAAGGAGATAATCACACCATAATCATGTCCATTAATTATATCATAATCCTTAACTTTACAGTATCATATTCTCTAATTACAATTGACTACTATATTAACAATGATAATGGTGTATACTTTACCTATGGGCAGCTTAAGTCAATGAGAAATGAAAATCAGAAAGAGTTGAGCAGATTTTGAGAATGACACCCTCAAATTATCATGTGAAGGCCCTGCTAAAAGGAAGAGAAATGACTAAGTCTAATAAATTAGAAGAAATTGGCTTTATAACTTAAAGTGAATGCAATTGTGGGTGGAAACTTGAAAGATTATGTTATTGTTAAGGCAAAACTAAACAGATTGGATGATATGGCCATAATTTAGAAACAGTGCCATTAGCATAATTGGCAAAAAAGTGTGAAGTTGGAATTTGGAAAAGAGAAAGAAGAAAAAAAAATGCTTTGGAAGAACCATTCTTATATCATGCCCTCATTTTTTCTTTCCATCTCAGCTGGAGATGTGTCACATTATAGGAGGAGACCAGGGCTTTAGATGGTGGAGCTATGTAGTTTTAGTTACCTTTGTTCCTACTATCCCTTTATTGGAGAGACAAAGCACTAATTGCAGTGGCTCCAAATAGACAAAGCATAACCAAATCTGATAAGAACCCATTGTAACCTCATTAGCCTACTCTTACATCTAGGGAGTTCCTGAAAGGTCAACTTGATTTGTAGTGCATGGTTTGTTCTTTGTTCAAACCTGAAAATTTTCTAGTCTTTGCTATCAGAAAGGACTAGGTGATATTCAATATTGTTTGTCTTTCATATTCACTGTTTCTGGTCTCTCTGCTTATTTTATGCCAAGTATGAATTCCCTTTTACTCCGTATAAGGTTTTTGCTCTAGAACTTCTGACGTGTCACCATTTCTTTTATACATCTGTGATGGCTTCAGCTATTTGGTTGCATCAATGGGGCTTCAAGTTTTGTGGAGCTTTGGACTTGCATGTCTTGATTTGCATGCTTTGAGGTCAAAGACAAACCTTCAGAATCCTGTCTTAGTGAGCCTGTTTGTTGTTGGTGATTGGGTAATTAAGTTTCTCTTTTCAAAATTGTTTCTTCATGGAATCACATTTATTCACAAGCACTTTTAAGGAGGAAGAAGCATCTACTTATTTGTTTTGATAACTCTTATGCATTCATGTCTTACATCTGACAGAGAATGTCTACCCCTGAACATAAATTAGAAAGGATAAAATAAGGAACTTTTATCAGTTTTTGGTAGCTCCATGAATGATTTTCAATAGTCCAAAGGTCTCAACAAAGACGATTGAGAGTCGTCGGTACCATTCTTGAGCAAGTTTAGTCTTTCTAGCCATAATGATCATGTTGTGCGGAACAAAAACAATATATCTAAATTATGCTTTTTGGCCTAGAATTTTTGTTTAATCACTAATATTCATTCATTTCAATAATCGAACAGGTTAATGACAATGTCATAATGATGTAAAATGCAGGTGACTGCCATTTTATCTCTTGCAGCTGCTTGCTCATCTGCTGGAGTGGCAGTTCTTTATTCAAGAGACTTGGATTATTGCAAATCACCTCAAATTCCATGCATCCGGTTCCAAGCATCCATATTGTTGGCCTTTATCTCATGGTTCCTCCTTGCCATATCTTCTCATGTGGCATTTTGGCTTTTGGCTGCAGTTTAAGTAACCCAATCATCAGTGTTACCCTCCCTATTCATTCTTATTTTTAAGTAGCATTAATTTAGTTTTTTCTTTTCAATGGCGAAATAGTACTAATTTTGTTGGGAATTTCTCATAGATGATCTTTGCATTTTCTTTTGTCACTTTCACTAGATTTTTTCTTTTTTTTTTCCCTTTATCTGCAATCATACATTGTACATATGATATCCATGAAAGATTGCTATGTTTGGTTAGGACAAGAACATCAATATTACCCTGTCTATCATTTTGGTGCTATAGTCTTGAAGAACTTTCAAGTTTCCATGCTTTCCAACATAAATGACATACATGAAATATAGAACAGCAATTTCATGAGTTTCCTGATTTCAAAATTGAGCAAGAAATTCCCATCCCACCAGATAGAAAAATGAGCTAATTTTCCACTTATCAGGATGGTGAAAACATAGTCTCAACCATATGAATCATCAAGTTCTTTGTCACAAAGAAGAATGCTAAGGACTGTCATCTAAGATCAACTCTACTGCCCGGCAGCATCTATCTGTCATTATGATCTTTTGTTGCTAAACTTCTTAGACTTGCATTGACTGTCAAAGATACATTTGCAAAGCAATGGAACCGTCATTGACACAATAACGTTCTGCTTCAGTGCAGGCACAAACACATATTGTTGGAGCATTACATTCAGTTTAGTTTCTTGGTCAATTGTCATGTGCCCGCTTACTCCAGCACAAAACTTGTGTGGCTAGGAATTTGCATGAACAAGAAAAAGTCTGAATCTTTTGGTGTTGGGTAGCTTTGGCTGTAGCAGTAATAAGAGTACTGATAAAGACAATGTTGGTTCTTTTCTTTAGCTGTAAAAGATGACGAACTATGTTTGAAACTCCACCCATGATAGATACAACTCAGCTAAAAGAAATTACAGCTATGCTGGCATGTGACATTGAGCATTTTCCATATGCAACAAAATTTTCACTAATTTGTTTAATTGTTGCTTTTGAAACCAACAGTCAGCAAGTCAATGTCTTTGATAATTTATGTTCTTTGTTATAGCCCTTTAACAAAATACTGATAATGACTGGGGAATATGCTATTTGGGCTCTTTATCCTTTTTCTTTGTCAGCAAGAGAGATTTGAGAATCAAATGTTAATATCTATCATTTTTTTTTTATTCTCAGACTGGGATGTCTTTTCTAATTTTAGCATAAACAATTTTTTCCCCTTTCTTTACACTTTATTATAGCATGAGTAATTAGTAAGGATGATAATAGATAAGGACGGATTGAATTTTTATTCGTTTTGAACTTAATTTAATTTTATGTTTATAATACTTGAATTCGATTTAATCTGATAAAATTTTTTTAGTTTTACATCTAAACTTGATCGACTTGACGTTATATAAAATAGTACACAATTTGATTTGAAATTAATAAATATTATTTATTAATGTAAATATAAAATTAAATAAATATAAAATATATATAATTAAATAATTAATTAAAAAAATAAATTTATATATATAATCGGGTCAAGTTTATTTAAAATTTAATTCCAATTCAATTCGAAATTTAATTTTTTTTTTTAAAAAAATTGATCTTACGAGATTAAATTGGATCAAAACTCGTTAAAAATGAATTTAATTATAATTTTTAGGATTAGAGTGTATGATTTAAGCTACAGCATGTTTTTTTTTCCTTATTTTTTAGGGAGTAGGTCTACCAAATGCAATGTTTTCTAATTAATTTTCAACATTAATTAAGAGAAAAAGATAAACAAAATATATTTTTGTGTCCCATTGTGCGTCACTTCTCAACATGGTAGGCCACACATTCTTTCATTAACTTTTTTTTTTTTTTGACATTTTTCATCTTGAGTGTGTATTTTTTTTCCTTCACTTGATTCCAAATTCTAGGAGAAAAACAAAGGGAAATGGGTTCCTTTGCAATAGTTGAATGTTGTTTTCATTGAAGAGTCTACTAAATAAATGACAATTAAAGGATTCAATTTTCAAGATCTTGGAAGATTTTGATAGCCAAAAAGCTTAAGCCCTCATATAAAAATAGGGCAATTGCCACTGCACGTTTTGCATTTGTATTGGCTTTTTTTTATTGGCAATTTATGAACCAAGGAAATGTACCAAAATTTTTGGTGCTTCTATGGGATTTTGGCTACATAGTTTGACAGAATCAAAATTAGGAAGAAATTTTGAGATCATTCAAAAATTGAATAAAAGAAAAAAATATTGAATAAGAGAGAGAAAATAAAAAGATGATGGGAAGAAACTAAAAACAAAATGATCTAAGTGCTCCCAATGTGGACAAATTTTGATTGGTTAGAACATAGAATTTTGTTGGTTAAAATATTAAAAAAATTAATAAACTATTTCATTTTTTAAAAATAAGCTTTTATATTTTTATTATATCCAAATAAATTTTAATAATTTATTTGGGTGTAAATTAAAATTCAAAGATTAATTTGGATATAATAAAACTATAAAGATTTCTTTAAATAAAATGATAAAATTTAATTTTTTTTAATTATTTTATCCAATTTTGTTAGTTTGGAAGGTGGAAAATCAATAGAGAAAAGTTGTCATGTTAAATTAATAATCATTTCATTTGATATATAAACTTCATAAAAAATAAATCGAATGACTGAAATTAAACAATCATGACATCACGATAAGAATAATCTAATGCTCATTTGTTTCTTATTTTTGCACTAAAATAACCATTAGATAATTACTATTAGAACTGCCACATACCTAACTTAATCAGTCATTAGCTTTAGTGAAACAACAATCAACAAAAAAATCCCACTTGCTTTGAAAGGACATTGGAAAGGAAATTGAGTCTGTGCTTTTAGAGGAGTTTGCTTCATAAAAGAGCAAAGGCATAATCAAATTTGGGCCAAAAAAAAAAATAATAATCCTCTTGATTTTAAAACAATATCCACAATAATTCTTGTCCTTGTGTTTGGAGGCATGTTGGTGACTGGTGACCACAAAATTTTACTTCATTTGGGGTCCCTGTATGTGTGCCTTTACTTGTTCCTATCCGATTTTAATTTTGCTGCCTACCAATTAATCTTTGGGGGGATATCAATATGTTTTTGCTTGTATTGCTACAATTGTGCGACCATTCTTTAACTTTCATTAAAGAGATTGATTGCTACATCCGAACATTGTGCAGTCATTCTCAAACTCTCTTTAAAGAGGTTGCTCACTGTACTCGAATATTTGATTCAATGATTACTTTTATCCGATATCGAAGTAAAAAAAAATTGACTATCTCCGGCTTCAAAATGCTTGCAGAGTTGAGATTCGAATTTATTTCGCACTCAATTTCTTCATCAATCTGGCAAGAATGATGGTGAATGCAAATAATGGTTTTTTTTTTTTTTTTGTCATTTTGGCCCACCAAAACTGAGGAAAAGATTCAGATCCAATGCTGCCGACAGAATGGGGGCATATAAATCTCAACATATAAAAGGCTGATGGAAGAACAGTAAACCAACAACCCGTTGACGATTCATTTAAAATGCTCAAATAAACCTCTTGATTAAACAATATCCACAAAAAAAAATCATTGCTGATAAATTACAAAACTACCAAATAAACCAGCTGATAATTTATTTGTATATACACACTGAAGTTACACATTTCACACCAATGATCATCTTATGCAGTTGAACCACGCATCACTCAGACCTGTGCTGGAAGGAAAAGAAGAAAAATAAAAGAACAAACGCATTCTGAAGGCAATTAAGTGAATAGTCTCTAAAGATATTCTACTTGTCTGGAAAAAGAACTGTCACATGACTATCTCCGGCTTCAAAATGCTTGATTTGATCTCCTTGTGAGGCAAAACCACGCCGCCATTGCTGTAAATTTCGTCGCCTACATGGACATCTTCTCCGAGTATAGTCATGTTCTCTACTCGAGCCCATTGGCCAACGGTGGAGTGCCATCCGATAATGCTGCTGGATATGCAAGCGTGCTTCTTGATGCGAACTCCACGCATCACTGTGCAGCGAGAAAGTCTGACTCCAGCCTCAACCACACATCCTGGACCAATTGCCACATCTGGTCCAATCAAACATCCTTCTCCAATTTTGGCACTCTCATGAACCAAAACATTTCCCACAATGTGGGGACCAGTGGACAACTTAGTTGAAGCTTTCTTTCGTAGGGAGTCTAGATAAAGTCTCAGTCCAGTAATGTAATCCCTGGGTTGACCAATATCCATCCAAAACCCTGGGAGGACCATTGCATACAGCTTCTTCTCTGCTGCAATCTTTGGGAAGACCTCCTTCTCAATTGAGGTGGGTCTCAGTTCAATTCTATCAAGAACAGATGGGTTCAGCAGATAAATTCCAGCATTAATTTTGTTTCCAACAAACAATTTCGGTTTTTCCACAAACTTGTCCACCTGCCCTGTTGATTCTTCCATAACCACCACACCATATTTTGAAGGCTCGTCCACCTGTTTAGTTTTGACTCAAGTATTACAATCTCTCCAAAGAAAATAAATTGAAATTAGAAATAAAGAAATTTTAGAACCAAATTATTACCTTGGTTACCATTATGGAAGCTTCTCCTCCATGGGCTTTGTGGAATTCAATCATTTCTTTGAATGGGTATTCACTGATAACATCACTGTTAAGGACAAAAAATGGCTCACCAGAACCATCAATGAGCTTATCCCTAGCCAAAGCAAGAGGACCAGCAGTGCCGAGTGGCTCAGTCTCTTGAGAGCATGTGATCATGATCCCAAGTTTAGCTTCAAATTCCTTTAAGAAGTTCAACATTACCTGCAAAATCAATTGGCCACTGGTGAGCCTATAAAAACTTAGCCTCTAACCTTTCAAACCATTGTACCAATTTTACATATCTTACACATGGAAACATCTCACATACCTCAGGTTGGTAGTTAATAGCCAAAACAACTTCAGTTACACCAACAGCCTTGAGAGCCTCAATCTGTAAAATATCCAAAGATACATTCATTACACAAAATCAACAATCTTGTCTTGGGAAAAACAACCACCACTAAACCAAAAACAATGTTTCCAGAGTATCAGAAGTCTAGAATAAAGGCCATAATGCAGAGATATACCTGATGCAGGATCATGGGTTTGTTAGCAAATTCGACAAGTGGCTTAGGAACACTAAGGGTTAGTGGCCTCAATCGTGTTCCAAATCCTCCAACAAGAATAAGTGCCTTCATTGTGATACACCTTCTGATTTACCTGTAGATACTAGAGTCAGTATCTTAAGCAGCAATCTAATTCAGATTAAAATAGAAATGCAACTTAAGACATGCTTTGCAAATGAATCCCCATAGACACTTCTATTTATACATGAAAAGATAAGAGAGATTGACCTATACAGAACATTCACTGACATTTGTAGATCCAGAACAACGATAAAAGAGATAAGCAAATCAGAATTGACACGAACTCACCACATGCACGGAGAAGAAAACCAGACAAACTTAAAGCCAAGCAAAAGGGGAAAGACCAAAACGTTCAAAAAGGTGTTCAAAACATAATACCGCTAAAACCTAAAAGCACTACAAAAAAATCTATCAAAAAATGGTTTAGTTAATATTGTGACACAAATTCCAGCTATACCATAGGCTGGTATCTTTAACGAGAATTACAAATCGATTCACATGGAACCTAAAACAAAATACAGCTGCAATGCAACCCCTGCTTCGAGTAATGAAAGATGGTATAAGCTACTTTATCTTTTCTTGTTCCTGTTTCCTTTTCAAGGGAAAAGCGTAGTTTTTATAACTGATTTACATGTCAAATGAATTTCCTTTCCACTCCCCAGTGAAGGCATGGAAAACAGGAAATCGCCATGAAAATCATGCCTAGAATGATAAACTAAACACATTTATCCAACTAGAAGCATTCGAATTGACAATTCCAAGCCAACCAAAACTTAGAAAATATAATATATATATTCAGCTAAGTCAGTCTTGATCTGGCTACATGCAAATTCTGGACCTTTTCAAAGCATTTGACAACAAACATAGCAAAAAGAAACGAAAACATTAGTAGAATTCTTAACCATCATTGAAATCGTGATTAAACATAATTAATTAACTAAGTTTTGTGGCTGGACGAGATCTTATTAAAAGGATTTTATGAGTGAATAACGACGTAAAGCATCAGATCTAACAAAATTAATAGAACACAGAATGGCAAATCACATTGTCAACTCCATTGAAATATTCAAGCTAAACTATTAACAACCGCGAGCACCGACACCGTTTAGGGCTCGAAAAGACCAGAATTCAGCAACTACCTTTAAGCCTTACCAGATCCAAACCCCAACTGAGTTCAAACTACAAACTCGAGTCCGATTCGAGGCAAAAAATTTTAAAAGCGTGGGGAAACGAGTCGACTCGGACGAGTTTGGCTGGCTTTTTTTATTTGTTTTCTAGTAACGGGAGCACAGCTGGAAAAGGGGCGTTGCCATAGAGAAAAAGGAGTAGTATTTATACAAGGCGAGAATTAGATGCAGATTAATTAACACGAAGTCTGGCGGATTCGAAATTAAACATTAAATTCAATTTTGGAAGTATTTTTAGTGACGGATTGGAAATTGTAGTGGATGTTTCGTGGTGGTTTCGGTTTTGGACGGGTTACGGGTCGTGGATAAAAATGTACGGTCCGGATTTTTGTTGATGTGCAGGGAAAATGATGGAAAAAGGAAAGCGATAATCGGCTTTGATTTTATTAACTCTCAAACACCCAAAAAAAAAAAAAATTTAGTCATTTGCAAAGAAAGATCTGCCTCTCAATATCCATTAAATAAATAAAACACAAGAAACTAAATAATTAAAATCAAATGAACCCGTTTTTGCCTTAATATCTATTAAATTATATATAATTTTATATGTAAAATTATTAGTTTTTTTAACTTCATAATCATGTTTATATAATTATCAGTTCAATTTATGTTCATGTTTGATTATACGTGAATTTAATTTAATTTATATTGAATTTATCTAATAATAATTTAGTTTATTTTATTTTATTATTTAATAACTTTTTATACAAACGTAATATTTGATTATAATTATGCTCTACATTTATAATTTCAAAAAAATATATAATAATTAAATTAGTTTAATAATTCATTAGTATTAATTAATTAACATAATGAAAAAAAAAGGTTAATAATTCAAAGCCACCCAAAAATCACTGCTTAACACCCGCAAACAACGAAGCCCACCACCCATGAGGATACTCTTAGCAGACCACAAACGAACACGTTAAATTAATTACCCACCAAATCTGTGGGCATTAAATCAAAGTAGGAACACTAAAGCCAACAGAAATTTAGAAAATTAAATTTTTAATTTTAATTGTAAAAAATATTCACACAAGCAATCAAAAACATATAAAAGTTTTATTTTATGTTTGATGCATAAAATGATCGATAAAATAATATCATAATTATTTTATATTATATTTAATTTACATTTAATTAAAAAAATTATAAAAAAATTATCATCTTTTTAATATAAGATAATTTAATATTTTCAAAGTAAAGAGTATTATTTTTAATCTCTATAATTAAATTTATATATTCTATTATATCTTTAAAAATATATCAATAATTTAAATTATATAAATTTTAAAAAAAATAATTTTGACTAATAAATAAATTATTTATCTTAATTCTTACACATATTAAATATAAGATATGATAATATTATTTTATTTTATTTTATTTATAACATCATTTCATTATATCATATTATAATTTTATATACCAAATATAATTTTATAATATTATTTTCGATCACTAAATCGAAACCCTTTCATATCATAAACTTTTAATAACATAATTTTTATTTATTTATTTATTTTAATTCAAAAAAAGATGACGCTCTATTACATGAAAATAGAGAGGAGGTGGCTTGATTTGATCTTAAACTCTAATATTTTTCTTATGGCTTATTTGTTACTAGGATATAACTTTCATTTATTATTACTTGAAATTATCACCATTATAATAAAATAAATAAATAAATATTTTTTATAAAATATCAAAATTTTAATTTCATCATTAAGATTCAATAATTTAACAACTTCTAGTATAAAAAAAAAAAGCAATTAATATTTCTTAATCTTAAAACTTGTAAAAAGTTGTCTGAAATTATGACACTAGTGGAAGTTTGGGTTCTTAAAATAGCAAACAATAAAGGAAGAAATGCTTTGTGATGCCTTCAGCTATTTGATCTAACGATGAAGATAATTTTAAAAAAAGCATTAAGATTAGAGCTCAAATCTCGACTTTTTTTTTTTTAATGCATGGTTCTACCCTATTGAATGATTAAAAAAAAAAAATGCCTCGTGACAAATATGAAATTGTACACACCTAAAGAACAAAGACAGGTGTCGACATGGGCTTCTTGTTGCCTTCGACACCTAATTAGCAAGTCAGAAACGAATGGCTTATACTATTTTTTTAACTAAGAAATTGGGCAGCCAAGTTTCCAAGTTTTGTAGCTCTTTATTTAACTCTAAACAAACCATAGCTAAAGCATACCTTTTAATAGAGGTGTTGATGGGATAAGTGGGTCGGATTTGAATTTTAAATTTTTTTATTTAAAATTTGACCTAAATTTTAAATAAATTAAAAAATTAGATTTAAATTCGTTTAATAAATTTTAATTTATTATTTAAATCATTTTAAAATTTAAATGAATTTTTAAATTTGGACGAATAACCAATTCTTAAACAGATCTATTTTTAGATCTTTTCCATCAATAAATTTCTGATGAATTCATGCTTCAGGACCCAAAAAAAAAAAAAAAAAAGAGTAGGTCAAGTTAATTGGGACTCAATGAAATAAAATTTATAATATTAATTTTATATAATAAAAGATGGAAGACTTCTTTGAACTTTTTTATTTTTTTGTAAAATTAAATAACTTTTTTTGTATTATCTGTAAATTAAGATATTATTAATATGAATACGAATGATGAATTGATTAATATAAGATAAGAAAAAGGATTTAGCCAACCTTATGCCTGTGTAGGTGAGTTAATACATCAGTTTGGAGTCCGAACAAACAAAGAAATAAGAACAAAACTAAAATTGGACTGATCGAAATTGCCCAAAGTCTGACGAATATTGTAACAAGTTTTTGTTGAAGACTATGCCTTTTAGGCTTAGTTTTCCATCCTTAACTACTTTCGTGGTTTTCTTGAACAATGATAGACGACCTTCCTATATTCAATCAATCTATAATAACAATCGATTTTTATTTTATTTTTTGAACTCAAGCAGGATCGATGTAACAAAGCAACCACCTTGTGTCAAACAAAAAAAAAAATTATTACTATATGTTGATAAGTGAAATAATTCTTTTCACTTATTAGATGCGAAAAAAATAAAAAAATTAAAATTAATTTGAAATTATAATATTTTACTCAATTCGAATATTTTTTTATTTAATTTGAATTAAATTTAAATATTATATATATATATATATATATATATTATATGATCAGGAATTCAAGAAAAAGCCTGTGGGTTCAAAGAATTCCTAGATTAGATTCAGTGATTCAGGAATCCCTTGCTAGGCCCAAGGAATTCAAGCAAAAGCCTTGAGTTAGAAAAGCAGAGGAAGCTTGAGATTTTAGGCCCCCATGGGCCAGGACTGGCAATAGAGCCTTTAATCACTGAATCCAGCTTCTTATTATTTTTTCTTTTTTAAAATTTTAAATAATATTATAAACAAAAAAAAGAGTTTTTTTTTTTTTTTTTGCAAATATATATAACTCTATTTCCTGTTCATTTAAATGAGAATAAAAACTATAAAAAAATATAAAATCCTTACACTGGTATCATAAAATAACCATTTTATAAGGCTGAGTTTAATTATTTTTGAATTAAAGAATATTATAATTTTATTAATAATACAATTTTTTTAATTTCAAATACATTCAAATATAACTGAAATAAAATTGAAACTATAAAACGGTGCCGTTTCTACCTAGCAATCTATAAAAGGCCAAGACAGCACAGCATCTAAATTACTAAACCCTTCCCCTTCACTTCTCCAACCTCAACAGGCATCGCAACAGCCAACCACGACACCTCAAGCTGTCTCTCGAACCCACCAATATCAAACATGGCAATAGACAAAACCGACCCGAACCCGAACGAATCTAAAACGAGCAAGCTCCGATGGGGAGAATTAGAGGAAGACGACGATTTGGACTTTTTATTGCCGCCTAAGGAAGTTATCGGGCCAGACGAAAACGGGATAAAGAAAGTGATCGAATACAAGTTTAACGAGGATGGTAATAAGGTGAAAATAACGACGACGACCCGAGTCCGAAAGCTGGCGAAGGCCCGGTTGAATAAACGGGCTTTGGAGAGAAGGCATTGGGAGAAGTTTGGCGATGCGGTTCGTGAAGATGTTGGGAGTCGCCTCACCATGGTTTCCACTGAAGAGATCCTTCTTGAACGACCCAGAGCCCCTGGTTTGATTCTTTTTTCCCTTATGCTTTAGATTTGATGATTGGTATTATTGAATTTCTTTTACTTGGGTTTGATTTCTGTTAAAAATGGCATTGTGATGTAAACTACTAAAAGGGTAATTTTATTGGATAAAGAAATTTGTGATTTAATTTTTATATGGAGCAATTATGTTGAGCACATAATATTCTCGAAGGATTAAAGCCAAGGTTGTGATGTTGTTGGATGATAAAATGCATGATTTGATCTTTATATGGAATAATTATGATAGAACTCTTGAGATAATTTAAAGTTCTTGACAAAAGCAACAATAAAATGGGGGCTTGATTTGATTCATATAGTTGTGGCGGTCAATTAGCCAATCACATATTGGCCATTGTGGCTGTTGATTTGTGTGAATGGTCAGTAAGCCACCGGTAGTAACTCTTTATTGGTGGCCCTTTCTCATAGTGAAAATATAGGTATATTTTTTGTTCGTGGGCCATTAACTACATTGATCAAATGCATACTTTGAATTGGTATTTCTCCACTCTCCAAGCAATTAGTAAAAGAAACTATTAGCTGGGGCTTGATTTTATGCATTTGGTTGTGGTAGTCAATTAACCAATCACATATTGGATGTGTGGCTGCTGATTTGTGTGAATGATCAGTAAGACACTAATAGTAACCCTGTGTTGTTTGCCTTATAGTGAAAATATAGCTCTTTTTTTCACTATTGGCCATTAACAACATTCATCATATGCATACTTTGAACTGGTAGTTCCCCCACTCTCCCTACTATGCAGTCTAAACGGAAATTTCACCCATATTTTTGTTCAATCACTCGGTTTTTTGTTTTGAAATTTAATGCTTGCATATTTCGTTATGGTTTTGTGTTTCATTTGAACATGGTGACTAGGTTTTGCCAATTACGTATTAGCTAAATGATTGTTGTTTCATGTGGAATAGTCATGAGGCCACCAATAGCATCTATGCATTGCTGGCATTCAATTGTTAACCAATCACATATTGGCTGTGGGGCTGCTGATTTGTGTGAATGATCAGTAAGCCCCTAATAATAACCCTGTGTTGTTTGCCTTAATAGTGAAAATATAGCTCTATTTTTCACTCTTGGCCACTAACTACATTCGACATTTGCATACTTTGAATTGGTAGTTCCCCCACACTCCCTCCTATTCTGTCTAAACAAATATTCACCCATATTTTTGTTCAATCACTTGGTTTTTTGTTTTGAAATTTAATGCTTACAAATTTCGTTTCGTTTCGTTTCGGTTTTGTGTTTCATTTGATCATGGTGACTAGGTTTTGCCAATCACGTATTAGCTAAATGACTGTTGTTTCATGCGGAATAGTCATGAGGCCGCCAATAGCATCTCTGCATTTCCGGCATTCAATTGTTAAATTGTGAAACCAAGAATTTGGTTTCATTCTTAGGTCTTTAACAACATGAAAGAAACATGTGTTTTCTAAATTCTGTGTTTTCAGCATAGACCTTGACGGTTTTGTGCTGTCATGTGCTTTGTATGACATTTTGAACTGCAAAGTTGCTTGTATCTATGTTTGCGGAATGTGTACAAGTGTATTTACTTCTGACCTACTTATGCTTATGGTATTATGCCTGACATAGGTTCATAGTTGAAATAGTAGTAAATTATGTTAAACTTCCAAAATTGTGGTTTTCTCCCTTGTTCAGATTTTGGATGTGAAAACTTTTGAAACATGGAGTTGTTTACAGGTACCAAACTGGAAGAAATAAAGGTAGCAGGGGACAGCTTGTCTCAACTTAGCAAAGGAGGAGCTGTTCTCATGGTGTGCAGGACATGTGGTAAGAAAGGTGATCACTGGACTTCCAAATGTCCTTACAAGGATCTTGCTGCTCCTGTTGAAACCTTTGTTGATAAGCCTGTGACTTCCGAGACCTCTATGGCTGCTTCTGGAGCTGGAAAGGGAGCCTATGTCCCACCAAGCATGAGAGCCGGTGCTGAGAGAACTGGTGGATCGGATATGAGACGTAGGAACGATGAAAACTCCGTGAGGGTAACGAACTTATCTGAGGATACCCGGGAGCCAGATTTGCTTGAGCTTTTCCGCACATTTGGTCCAGTGACTCGCGTGTATGTTGCTATGGATCAGAAGACTGGCACAAGTAGAGGATTTGGCTTTGTTAACTTTGTAAACAGAGAGGATGCTCAAAGAGCCATTAACAAGCTCAATGGATATGGTTATGACAATCTCATCCTGCGAGTTGAGTGGGCCACACCAAGAACAAACTAGAATATCATCATCATCATCATCATCATGGCATTTAGCATATTTTCCAAACATTGTTTACAGTTGCAATTCACTGCCTGTAACTGCAGTTTTTGACCCTTCTTTTGAAAATTTATTTTCCTGCGTGATTCTGTTATCTGATACCTGAGATTTTATTTATTTAAGTTGAATAATTGGTTATCATGGTTAGCTCTATTGTGTCTATGTTATTGTTTTCTGTCAATTGAGAATTGGTTAAGTGAAGGAATATGAAAAGTGACAAAAGGGTTCTCTTTTATTTATTTTAAGTAAAAGATTAAAAAAAATGTCCATAGTTTGATTGACAGCTTCAACAATTGTGCATGAACCAAAAGATAATAACAATGTGTCACGGAATATTTTGGCCTCCTCATGACTTTTCCATATGTACGAACGTTGTTGATTTGTGACTGATAAAATTCTTGGGGTACATAGGTTTGGTCGGGTCGAGTTTTGTCTGAATTCCGATTTGTCATAGAAGTCAAGAATAAATTCGATTATTATTAAAAATGATATTAAAGAATAGAGGTTTTTAATATAATATCAAATTAAATATTTTTAAATCTTTTACGTTTAATAATATCAAAGGTGTAATTTACTGGGCCAAAATGAGCTCGACCAGAATAAGTCATCCATAAGAACACTGAAAAATTCTTTGTGTATAGGTTTTGGTGATTTTGTTAATTGAATTTGCTCAAGTAAACATTAATAACTTATTTAGCAAATAACCAAATAAGTTCATTGTATTGGGATTATTGAATTACTGTTAAAAGACCAGTTCAACAATTTAGTTTAAGCCCATATAAGATCAAAAGAGAAACCCTAAAAAGTTGCTACTATATATTTGCCTGTTTCTCTTAGGCAAAGTAAATTGTTTCTCTGTTACCAAGTCTTCTTCATCTTTGGTTTGGTTTAATACCTGGAAGTTTCTTCATCATCTCCTTTTTCTTGGTTTGAAGGTGGGCAATTAGCCAGTCACATATTTAGCCTATTGGCTTTGTTGTTTTTGTGTGAATGGTCAGTATCCCACCAAAATCAGCTATTTTGTTGTTGGCTTTTCAATTTGTGAAACTGAAATTCTGGGTTTCACTCTTCAAGGCCATTAACTACATTGATTATGAAAAAAAAAAGTTTTTTTTTTTTTTGCTTATTTTTTGTGGGTTAATTTTCGATTGGTGAATTTAGGCGTCATATACTGATTACCATCGCTCTTTTATGCAAACTGTGGGCGTTTGTGTATGAGCTGACGCTATAGCTTCTCTCCCTTTCTGTGGCAATGCTTTCAATTTGGTAGCCAATGGCTTCTTCACTGCAGAAAAGGGGAAATTTCTCTTTTCATTTTTGGTTTTTCCTTTTTCAAAATTTGGTGATTTGGGTTTTGGATGTTAGGAAAGATTTAACTGATTGTGGTCTGTTAACAAATGGTTATTGATAATGAGGATCCCATTGTTTTGTAAGTGGGATTGACCTCTCAGCTTTTCTCGTCAAACATGAAGGCTGCTAATGGGATAAGATCTAGAACTTTTAATGGAAATTTTTATGATGGCCAGTGGAAAACATTGACAAAATCAGTTTGAATAATAACCACTTCATATTTTCAACTATCATTCAATTTTCATTGGAACCATCTGAGTGTTTACTTTTGGCCTTCCTCATCAAGGGAACTATCAGGTATTTGCAGATTGAACAGAAAGACAAAGAATTTGATGATTTAAGTTAAAAAATATGCTAAAAAGAGTAATTCAGATCATTCATGGTAATTGATTTGAAATCAACGCTGGTTTTTTCAAGTGGTGCAAAAAGTGCTGCTAAAATTGAATATCCAACAACAGGGTTGACTTCTTATTTTATTTATCAAAAGTAGCATATATAGATGCGAGACATGTTATTACAAAAGCTAAAAGCAAAAATAGAACAGAAGCTCGAGCACAAGTGCACAACCCTGTCTTGGAAGTCTTGGTCAACTCTGGAGAGAACTAGCTCTCTACAGCCTTACCTTTGGCAATACAGATGATGTACTCAATTTCCTCTGTGATTTCTTTCATGGAAGGTCTGTTCTGTCTACGCTCCTCCAAGCAGTTCAATGCAAGAAATCCTAAAGCTTTCATGGTGTCTAGCTCCAAGGCGCTTGCTTTCTCTTTTAGCATTGGATCAATGACATCGATCAATTTCTCCTCGTCTGCCATCCTCTTCACATAAATCGCCAGGTTCACATCGTCTGGATCCCTGTTAAAATCTATTGCCTTTTGTGAAGTTAAAAGCTCTAATAAAACGACCCCAAAGCTGTAAACATCGCTCTTATCAGTCAACTGATAGTTTCTATAATACTCGGGATCAAGATATCCAAGGGTGCCTTGAGCACAAGTTGATACGTGACTCATATCTGTATGAGCCAACCTTGATAACCCGAAATCTGAAACTTTGGCATTCAATTTCACATCAAGTAGGATGTTACTAGACTTGACATCTCTGTGATAGATTGGAGGAACAGCAGAGGAATGCAGGTAAGCGAGACCTTCAGCAGTATCACGGGCAATTTGGAGACGACGGGTCCAAGTGAGTACCCCTCTATCACCAGGATTCAGGCTCTGTAAATGATCCAACAGATTTCCATTTTCTATGTACTCATAAACCATTACAGGCTGCTCTAATTCAACACAGCATCCTAGTAGGCCGACAAGGCTCCGATGATTGACTTGGCATAGAATCCGTACTTCATTGAGGACTTGATCAGTGCCTTTGGTATTGCCAAGCTTGGCACACTTCACAGCAACAACAGTGCCATCATCGAGAATCCCCTTGTAGACTTCACCATAGCCACCAGCACCTAATATGCGGTCCCTAGAGAAATTATTTGTTGCTTTCTTTATCTCTTTACCAGTAAAAACTTTGGCTGCTTTGCCTGCATTGTTGGCATTTAAGATTTCTTCACGCTCCTTCCTTAGACGCTCCTGCGCTTCTATGATCCGCCTGTGGCGCTTGTAGAGAAGAAAGCCAATCATGGCCGCAAACAGCGCCGTACCAAGTCCGGCTGTTAAACCTGCAAGTAATTTCAATGGAGAAAGTTTTCATCTTCTGCATCTTTGTATCACTTACAAGTAAAAATTGTTCATTAGAAATGCTATTTGGGTTTGTCAACTTTGTAAAGAACCACGAACAAACTCCAAGTGGATATGGTTATGAATCATTATTATTATTATTTTTTAAATTGGTCTACTACTATTAAACTCCTTCAATTTGTCAAAGATAATGCCATCATTTCATCTAGAAGCCACAACTAAGCATTAATGGAAACATATCTAGAAACTTGATAACTAAAAATGAAAATGACAAAGTTCATCAAAAGACAACAAAGAAAGTGACATAGAGGCTTACATAAGACTTTGAATCTTCAAACCCCATTTTATCAAAATCCACCAAAGTCTGATTTTTCAAACCAAGCATGGATTTGATCGGATTATATGGGTTACAACATGTTACTTCAAGGATATAACAAGTATGATAGGATCGGCTATAAGATGTCTACATCTATACGTACCAATAGTAAAATATTTTATTAGGAAAACGTTTATATTTAAAATACTATTTTCATTTAAAGCGAAGTTTAATTTATATAATCATTTTTTAAAAAATGACATTTACAAGATTTGAACCATTACTTACCACTCCTTAGTTTATCCATTAAATTCAAAAAATATATATTATAATGTATTGATGGAATTTTTTTCTTTAAATATCACTTTAATCAATCTTTATCTTAAGTATTTATTTTTAATCATAAAATTGTATGTTTATTAGTATTAATTAAATTCCTAGTAACTGTTTATTTAGTTTCTAATATCATTCACATATCAATTATGACCGTTATAAGAGTAAAAGATAAGAGTGAGTAATTTCCAGACAAACTATTTACCAAAAAAAAAAGATTTTCCGACAAATTAATAGCCATTAAACCAAAACAACAAACAAATACCTAAAATTCACCAAAAAAAAGGACATGTCTAAATTTAAAAGAAAAAAAAAACCAATGCTTTGACTGAAAGTAATTTTGTTTTTAGTCCAAATTGCCTCAATTTTCAAACTAGTTGTCATCTTATAAACTTTGACCAAAAGAATTCCATACGAGAAAACATGCACCTGCGATTAAAGCCGTCCGGTCTGAGCCGCCACAGCCACCAGGATTCTGACACGTAATAACTGAAAAAAGAGGCCCCACATATAAGTAAATCAAATTGGGCCACGTGTAAATACCGCCCCCAGAAAAAAAAAGCGCTGTAAATCAAACTCACTCTTAGTGCAAATCCCGTCAATTGGATCCCACGAAAGCCCCGAATTACAGAAACACCTTCGGACCCCATTCGAATTCGGGTCGGGTCCACATGTGGAGTTCCAATCACAATCCGCTTGGGTGCCACAAAGCGGTTCAGGGGGAGAAATCCACTGTAACTCCATTCCCGGTTCAGGCCACCGGTTCACCGGCAAGTCCGATTGCAAGTTAACAAAGCTCGTATAAGCCCTACACCCGCTCTCCCTCACCCTAATGGCATACGCCGTCGCTCCTCCACCGGCTTTGAACGTACAACAGATCGGCGCTGCCTCACAAGCCGCCGCAGTCGAACTATCGTTGACGTACGTGTGGCACAATCCGTCAGAGGAACAGTTCAACGGAGAGCGGAGGACCGAGTCCGTACAGTTCAAGAACATGATGGTGTTACTGCTGGTGACGTTAAAAGGGAGTCTATTGTTTAGCTGGACGCCTTCGAAGGGGAGATCCGTTGTGACGCAGGTGTTTGGGACGAGACTCGCCGGCCTGATCACGAGCCGTTGATTGAAAGGATTAATCGACGTGATTGGGTAGGAGTTGTTGAGCGTATCGAAGATCAGTGAGCTCGCGTTGCAGCGGATTTTGTAGGATTGGTCGCCACAGGTGGGGCCAGTCGAGAGAGGGTAAGGGACGGTGGTGGAACCGCAGTTTGGGCAGCGGTTGGCGGAGAGCGTTACGCCGACGGCACACGTTAGTAAAAGCAGCGCGGTTGAAAGGATTTTAAGCGTTGCCGCCATGTCGCTGAAGTCTTGAAGTTGATTGAAGCGGCTCCTTTCAGGCTTTGTGTTTTTAAATGCGTTCGATTTCGGAGGTATATTTGTATATGCTGGTAATGGTGAAGGGTAATTTCGGAAATTCATGGAAGGTTCTTTTTTTTTTAAGCAATAGTTGACTAAAAACGTTGACTTTATTTTTAACTAAAAAATTGTAGTAAGTTGATATTAATACTAAGAATTCGTTTTTAAATAAAGTTTAAAAATTATCAAATTTTATAGTGTTTTAAATTTTTTACTTTTTAATATATTATAAGAGTATATGTTACTTTTATTTACAAAATTTAAAAATTATATTAAAATAAATGAGATTTTATCTACTATAACTCAAATTTTTTAATTTTACAAACAATACCTTTAATCACATTGCTTCAATGTTTTTTTTCAAATTATGGGCTTTCCTGAGCTAAATCCAGGTTTCCATAAAGTGAAATCCTTGGGCCATGGGCCATCCAATAAGATTAGAACAAAGTGTTCTGCCTTTTATTCACTTGTGACCCACAAATCAATCCAACCTCTCTTTTTTGTGATGGGCAGTACTCTAAACATTGTATGGTTGAAGCATCATTAATGGGGTTGTCAAAGCTGTTCCACTACCAACAACTGGTTCACATTTATGGAAAGGTTGAACTCCTATGAGTGTAAATGTTTGTTTTTTTTTTCTCTGGTCAAAGGTATTTATTTTATCATTTCGATTAGTTTTTAATTAAATTATATAAAATTAAATTAATTATATTATTATTTTTATTAATCAAATTAAATTTTATAAATTTAAAAAAATTAATTTATTCAATCAATTTGATTAATTTTTTAATTTATAAAATAATAAATACATTTAAATTAAATTATATTTTAAACTCTTAATTTTTCATATTTTATATAATTTAAATAAAATTATCTAACAAAATATTATATTAAAAATTTTAATAACTTTCAAAATTTAATGATCCATTTTATGCAATTTTTCTTTTATATTTAAATTATGTTATATTTCTATTAAAATTTTATTAATTCAATTTTCAAATAAATTAACTAAAAATTAAAATTCTTTTTATTAAATTTTTAAATTAATTCAATAATTTAAATCTGACTTACGAACGCTCCTAATTTCCTCCTCTTCCTTTCTGCCAAAGAGAGTACTAATTTTTTTGAAGATAAATATATTGCCCTTTGACTTCACAAAGTCAGAGTGATCCATTAATGATCCAACCAACTAACAACAAATCAGTTTCATATTTTCAAAGGCAACCTAACCCCTAGCCAAACGAACTTTATAATAATTATCATATAAAATATTCTACTTCTAGGTTTCCATTCTAAACATCAAAGATTCCAGCAAAACAAGTAAACTTTAGTTTTAAATGAACCAGTCATTGGCTTCTTTCTAATTTCTACTACTTGCGTGCCCGAAATCCTTGACCTTCAGCCTCTATTCCGGTCAAGCCGCCATTCAACAGATTGTTAATCAATTGCTTCAACATGAACTGCATTTTAAAACATAGGTAGTTTTGTGGTTGTAAATGCAAATAATCCTGAAGAAAAGGACATGATGCTGATGTTTGACTTACCAAATGTTCATTGCATAAAGAATTAAAGATAATAGCAAAGGGCAAGAACAAAAGGAAAGCTTTGAATAATTCTGAAAATCTCCAGAGAAAATCCAAACATACAACAATTACACCCAAATCTAAGCTTTTCAAGGCATCTGATTGCATATTATAGTTCGAATTACTATATGATCTACGAATATACACAATGAACCTACTAACGGTGTACATCTTGATCGTAAAAGTCAACCTTATCATGGTGAACCTCAGCCATGAAAAAATCAGAACATGCATATATGTATATGAGCTACAGTATGTACATATACATATAACTTATATGGGTACATCAACTCAAAAGGAACTGCTAACCTAACAAAACTGTTCCGAGGCCTGGGTCAATGCACTCAAGTGGCTGACTCGGCCAGAAGCAAGGTATGCCACCAGCCGCATGCAATGTTTTTAGCACCACAACCCTCGATAGTAACTTCAGAAGGAATATTGCGATCAATCACGTCACCCAAGCCAAGCTGTTTCAGACACCAAGAACCTATAATTTTAGTTTTATAAGAAACTGAGTGGCGCCCAGACAGCACAACATTGGAACAGAATAGAGGAGGCAAAAATAAACTTTCATTTTTTCTATTAGGAAAAGTACATAAATGAGTACTTAAATGTTCCAGGAGGGTTATCCAAAAAAGATGATATTGAAGAAAATCAATTTGATATGAAATATAGGGTATAGGATGTTCCAATGTTATAAAGTCCAGTTGCCTACTAGTTTGATCACTCATCAGTGCAAGCATGATACCTGGCCATACTTGTTCCATCCCCAGCAGAATACTTTCCCATCCTCTTCAAGCAACAGAAGCATAGAGTCAACAGACTAGCACAAAATGAAACAGGTAGAGTTTCAGGAATGCATAGCTGGCATACCTGTGATTACAGCACTGTGACGAGCTCCACATGAGACAACTTTCACATGTGTATTTTCCAAACTTGGAGCATCTAAGATCCTGGGAAGAGTCTGATTTTGAAATTCAATTACAGAGGTTAATTCCAAAACCTCGAAATAGGGAAAAAAATGAAATAAAACCTGAAGGAAGAGCCGACAGTTTTTAAAATGTGTGAGATATTTTAGCTCAAAACTAGAAATAATAGACATCCATTGTTTATAGCTTATAAGACCCTAGTTTTCCATTTTAATTATCATCTGAGGGACTATAGGAATCTAATCCTTGCACTAACACATCATGGAAATTTATAGCAATTAAGTGATTTATGATGTGTCAAAAGTCAGATTGATTCAGCTGTGCTTAAAGGAAAATATTGAATTCAAGGAATATAAACTTGGCACATACCTCAGCTTGATCACCACCAGTTCCCAACTGCCCAAACTGATTCCCACCAAATGCATACACATCACCATCAGCCGATATGCAAACCGTGTGCCATAGTCCTGCTGCAACTGACTCTATCCTGATGCCCAATAAGGAAGAAACACAAGTCGGGCTTAATTCATCATCTGTACTTCCTTGCCCACACTTCACAAAACAATAAAATCGAAACAATTTAACTCCCATATCACAATACATTAGAATATAGAACAAGCATATATCTAACTGAAATAGAGGAGAGATGAATATTGGAAAAGGAAATGAGAAGATTATCCCTTATTAGATTGAACCTCATCTTCAACTTTACTGAGCTTTTTTCTCCACCAATTTCTACTTTACCTACATATTGATCCTGAAGAACAGTTAATCTGAGAAATTCCACTCAACATCAGGGATGGATATAAGGATTCAAACATTGAACAAGCTTGGAAGAAGAGGAATAGGTTTCCACATACGTACTTCGTAATGTTAGAATGATCTAAGGCCATTACCAGAGGATCACCCTCAAGCATTTGAATGTACAATATAGTTAAGGATCATGCATTTAACTAACAGAAGAAAAGGAGAAACATTTCCTTCAAATGGAATACACCCCATCCGTAATACAAGATAGAGGTATGCATTAAACAAGAAAAAAAATATTAATTTCAGCAGGTAATTCTATAGGCTAAGGACTGGATGAAAACTTCTAGTGGCCTTCAACAACCACGGTATAATTAGAGTAGAACTCAGTGATTAATCTTAAGCTAATAAAGTTCCTTACAAAATGTATATAGAGGGAGAACAGACAGATGGGAATGGTTTCGATATGTTATTGATTGGTGCAATTGACACCTAGACTATGAGATGATTAGGATCCCAAAGAGGAAAAGGCCAGTGCTTGAAAAAAATTAACACTATAATCTCTTTCCCTTTTGGAATGCAAGCTCATCTGTTAGTTTGTTTATTCTGTCTCTCTATTGTCGGGAGAGGGAGGGATGGCTTTTGGTGATGTGATGAGTGACCAAATCAAGTAAAAGATAGTGCAGGGCTAAGCCTTGAGAGTTGAGGAAACTTGAGAGAAATATATTCTTTGAGAACTAAACTAAGTCAGCAGAGTATTCAATGTGAAATGCTACTACATTGTGGTTATGGCAACTAACCTGTCCATAGAGTCCCCAACCGAAAGTAAGTAGTGCCCCAGCATCTGTTCATGCACAAATTGTTTAATGTGATAAAGTATCAATATGTTTTTGAGATCAACAAAATATAGAAAGATATAAAAGCAAATCAGACATCATACAAACAAAACTTCTCATGAATACAACATTCTAATGAGTTACTAATCATCCTAAGGATTATTAATGCTACAGTTTTCCCCAACTCCATGGATATCTTGCAGGTCAGTGGAATCTAATGAGTCACTGAGCATCCTAAGGATTTTCATAAAAGATAAGTTTGTTCCAAAGTAATTAATTAGCCTTCAAACATGTCTTGTTTCACTTCTTTCTATGTTGGGAAGGAATTTTATTTTTTAAGAAAAAGTGAAGAAAGTTGGGACTTGGAGAGACGTTGGTAGGAATTTTTATTAAGAAAGTTAAATTTCTCTCATGTCCTAACTTGTTACTAACCCAATACAATTTTTCACATTATTTACTATAGCCAATTTCGAGATTTTTCCATTCCAAACCCAACTAAACCTCAAGCTATACATTTTACCAAAATTAAGGTATTTTCTGTTTACAGCACCCTTTTTATTTATTTATTTTTGTGTTTATACCTTTCTTCATTTAAAAAAATTATGTTAAATTATCTGACTTATCTCTTTTCAACACCTAGACATCTGTATTAAAATTTTCAATAGCTTTCTCAAATTACTTAAACTTTTTACATGGCAATTTAACCTGTTCACTAAGGGAATGATCAAAGGCATACCTGTTATTACCGCACTGTGTCGCCCTCCACAGGCAATTTGCTTCACATAACTTCCAGGAACTCTAAAACCCTGCCCTTCTGAACTCAAGATACCTTGAGAAAGTGCAGCAGTTCTATCTTTCCCATAAGAAGAGGACTCAATGCAAGGTACAAGATTGGGTGAGGATACCATACGTACCCTAGAACCTAAACCAAGCTGTCCTTCACCTCCATAGCCCCAACCCCATACCTGCCCAATATCTGAAACTTGGCGAAAATTAGGATATATCCAGTAGCTTGCTTTACAAAAGAAACCATTTGCAGCTTGAAATGTCATATTGCCAACCAATCCATACACAACTACATTAATGAAGAAAATACACGTTGGACTCTTTTAACTCTTTAGTCCAGGAGTTAGACAAAGTACCTGATAATGCCAGAGTATGGCGGCCACCGGCAGCTACAGTCACAATCCTCACTCCCGCGTTTAAAGTTACTAGACATGGCAATGCTGAGAGAGTTTCATCACCAGACAATGAGCTTTCAGCAGACTGTTTTGTTGATGATATTCTTCTTCTTTTTGTACTTTCCTCTCCACCTCCTTTACTATCAGAGGCAGAAAATGTTCCACCACTTGATCTTAAGCCTTGAGAACGAGGGCTCACTTCAAGAATTTCACCCTTTGTAAAATGAGTATACCAACAAGTAAACATTATCAGTCTGTTATCTTAAACCATATGATATTTTACCTTGCTCTGTCAAAAACGAGTTCTGTCTTTCAAATACATCCTTCTCTAAGCTTGTCCCCATGGATGGATCACCAAATACCTTCCCTGAGGGAATACACTCTTTCCACCCCCAGGTATAAACTTCTCCATTTTCTGTGAATAACAAAGTGAAGTTCACTTATCAGCTAAGTGGTTTACCTAGGTTCCAATTAGTTGTTAGTTCTACCAGTTAAACTTCTAAAAAGCAAACCATATTTGATTAATCAAACCATTATAGCATCTAAAAATACAAAATTCTACTTTTTGTTAGTAACAAAGAGTCACTTTCCTATCGAAATGCACTCTTTTTTTCTTTCTGTTTCCTCTATCAAATACTAAATACGAAAAGTAACAACCAAATGGAACATTAGTTAAAAAACAGAGCGAGTCTTAGAACTACCTGTAACTGCAACACAGTGTGCCCAACCTGCTGCTGCTTTTACTACAGAAGCTTCAGTTGGAAGTGGAAATGGCTCTGGATTTTCCTGAAACAAGCAAATTACAAAAAATAAATACGAATTTAATTTTCTAAATAAATACAACATCCAAATAGATAAATATATATATAGGAAAATTATAGAACATTAAATTACCCCATGCTTCCCAGATGTGACGTAGCTTTGACCTAAATCATCCGTTGAACCCCAAGTGATAAGCTTTCCTGAATCTTAAATTTTAAAGAAAAACACAATTAGTTGAATTTTATTTTATTTTAACAAAAGTAATTGCATAAAAAATTATTGTGCAGACCAAAATACAGCAAAAAAACCACTTTTTAACAAGAAAAAAAAAAACAAAAATGGAAAATTCGATTCACAATTCCATTAACAAGTTGATTTTTTTAATACAAAAAACAGAGACAGAGAGAGAAGATCTGTAGTTTGAAACTCATTTAAAATAAAGGACACGGATGAGCTCAATATAGCTAATTTAACTCAGCTGAGTTGACTTCGAAGTAAAACAAAACAAAAACAACGAAAAATTCGAAATTTCACTTCCTCTCCTCCTCCTACATTATCTCGCCGACCAAACAGATCAAAATGTACTAATTTAATTACCACCAACACAGCAGCAATTACGTTACATAAAAATTTAAACTTTTTTTAAGAAGAAGAAGAAAATGTTTCATAAACAAAAATAAAAATAAATGAAATTTAAAATCAAAAGAATTTAAAAAAAAAGCCGAAAGAGAAACAGAGATTTGAAAAAAGCAACCAGAAATGGCCATGGCAAATCCGCAACCTCCACCGCATACGTCGGCCCAGGAACAACCAACAGAAGCCGGAATCCGCACAGTAACGGGCGACAAAAGCGGCATCCGTTGCGGTAACGCTCCAGGTAAATATCCCCACATGAAAACCACGCGCTCTCTGTTAACTACCTCCATTTTCACTTCCTCGCTTTCTTTTCCTTTTCCATTCATCTCCAACAGAGAAAGGAAAAGAAAGGAAAACCAAAATAAATTCAAAATTTTTATTGTTTTTTGAGAATTTGTTTTTATTTAATTTGTTTCGGGAGTTTCGTTTCGTTGGGAGGAGCCCTAATTTTGGGCGAATAAAAAGCGGGGTGTATCATTTTCAAGGGAACGGAGCTGCCACGTAGGATGTTCACGTGGGATCAAAATACACGTGGCACGACATTTGCCGCTAGATGTCTCGGCGATTTCTAGCCAGGAGTTAACGGAACTTTCTGGAAGGTCACTCTTTTTTTTCTTTCCTTTCTGTGAAGTTACGGAGAGGGCATGGTTGATGGCGTGTTAAATTTGAAATCTCGACACGTGTGAATGTGAACTTGAGTCCAATCATTATGCTGCCATGTGAATTGTTGAAAGTCTCCTGACACGTCATATTATGTCCCACTTGCTCTCAATCATGTTGTCTTTTCTCATTTTTTATTTTTTCTTCTAATTTATTTTAAATAAAATTAATAATTTAAAAAATATACAAATATAATAAAAATAAAAAATATAAATATGATAGGATTTAAAATTTTAATAATTATTATATATATTTAATAAAATATATAATTTTTATATAAAATATAATATAAATATATTTTTTAATATTTTATATAATATAAATATACAAATTATTAAATTTTATGCAAGAAAAAAAAGAATTAAAATTTTCAAACGTAAATTGATTGGTTTTTAATAAAAAAAAAAGATTTTGACATATTAACGATGAAATTTTTTAATTCCATTAATCAACATCTTTGCACGAAAATATAAATACGTAAATATTGAAAACATAAAAAATTCATAGAAATCAATATTAGTTGAAACTTTAATTTATTTGGTGCATTAATTACTCAATCACTTTTAAGAGTATAATCGAGTAAAGTTAAATCGATAAAATGAAAAGTTTAAGTTTGAACTCGACTCTTAACTCGCAGTTCGATATTCGATTCGAGTTCGATCGAGTTTTATTTTTTTAGTTTAAAGTTCAATTCATGATCGAAATCGAACTACTCGAATTCGTTTGATTAATATATAAAAATAAACTCGATTCATATATTTGACGATAGTTCGATCATTTGTGTTCGAGTTTGAATTCGATATATTTTATTAATTAAAATAATAAAAATATATTTAAATATAAAAATTTGATTAAATTCACGAATTACTCAAATTGGGTTTATGAATATTCGAACTCAGTTCGATCAATGAGTCTAATTACTCGAGCTCGAACTTGATTCGATAATAATCGAATTAAATTTAAATTTTATTCGAATCAAATTCGAATAATTTACGAGTATTAATGTATCATTTATATCATTAATCAATTCTAGATAGTCGCCATTCTTAGCCCGAGAAATGAGTGAATTGTTGATAAATGTTATCTTAATGTAGACAGAAAGAAAGGAGAGGCTAGCAGTTAGCATTATTACAGTTTCCTTTTTTCAGTGTGATTCTGTTTCTCTCTGGAATTCCTACAATGTATGGTTTGCTCTTGTTTAGTTACTAGTCAAATCATGCCAAAAGAAGAAGAAAAGAAAAAAAGAGGGAAACAAAGGCAGAAAATGTGTTAGATTCAAAGATGAACCTTTCTTTCTTAATTTACCACTATATCTTGTTAAGGACTGTCTAGTCAACATCGGCATTTTACACTTTCACATTGCCGTTGTCAACTTGAGCTATTCTTTGTTTAATTAGTGATTTATAAATTTGGCAATTTGTGTGTATGTTCATGTCAAATATGAAAAGTATTGTGTTATTTTGACATATTAAATATAAATGAAATATATAATTTTTAAGTTTATATACGATTTTTATTAAAATTTTAAGTTATCTTCATATAATTTTTTATATTATGTTATCATATTATATTTAAAATTGTGAGATCTAGTGGTATAATCACATAATTTTACATTTAATTTACAAAATTTGGACCATAAGCATTATTACTAAACTCGTCAAATCATTTTGTTTAATTTAATATTTGAACTCGAAATTTTTAAAATAAAATTTTAAATTCAAAGACGTTAAAATAAACAAATTTTTTGCCAATAACCTACTATTGAATTGGTGCTAGAAAACTTCTTTAACCCAATATTATATTTAATTCAAAAAAAAAGAAAAAAAAAAGATTACTCTTAAATTCTTTTTCTTTCTAATCTATTTGGTAGACCTAATAATTTAAAATATAATATAATAATATGACATAAATATAATATGAAAATATAACATGAAAGTGATACGATTTAAAATTGTAATAATAATTATATATGAATTTAACAAAACAAAAAAATTATATGTTATATTTTCATATCTATACGAATTATTACATATAATTTTTATATAAAAAATTAAACAAATATAAAAATTTTAATATTTTATATGATATGAATATATAAATCGTTGATTTACTCTTTGATCTACAATATAAAAAAAAAATGGTGTACATGACAAAAATTGGTGTACATGCAATTTTCATATAAAAAACTATACAAATATAAAAATTTTAATATTTTATATGATATAAATATACAAATAGTTGATTTACTCTTTGATCTACAATATTAAAAAAAAAAAAATTGGTTATATGACAAAAATGTCCCACAGGCCTAGCCCAAAGTAGTCATTATCATCCATGACTAAAACCTAATATTAACCATTAATTTAAGCCTAATGATTGGGTACGGATCCTTAAAAGTATTGAACAGGCCGTATCTTTTGAACCGTCCGATGAGCAAAACCTCAAATTTTGGGCCTCATTTACCATAAAACATGCAGAGCCTAAATGCGCAAAAATGGGCCCTCGCCAATGATGTTGATCTGATGGCTTTTCACCTGTTTTAGATAAGAAAACTTGATCATGCATGCACTGAATGGGGCCCCACGATCATGTGGCTAAAAATGATGGGCTTATCATTTGGCACAATCGATTATGCGATGGGGAAGAGAGGCCCAATAATTGTGGGTGCCTGGCCCCCCACCGATTAGGTGGTTAACATGATTGGATCACATGTGATTGCATTATAGCATGTTGGGCTTTAAAGTATTGGACCAGGGAAGCACACGTTTCTCAATTTGGGGTAAAAAGTTACGTTAACACTAGTTGGTAGGTAGTAAAGATAACGTCCATTTCCACATTGCGAATTTTCCTATGTAATTCTCTATCAGTTACAATCAAAATTATTTTAGAACCCCACGTATAATCCAACTGGTTCATATAATCGTCTTTAAAAGTTAATATTTAACTCCAGTATTTAAAATTTTTATTTTTTAGGCTCGATTTACTTTACATAAAAAATATGAGTTTCTAACTATCAAACTTTCAAAGAAATATAAATATTTATAACCAGTTTTATACGTAATTACGTAATCATCTTATATACATACATATATATATATATATGTATGAATGCATATGAATGCAAGGAAAGTTGGGCACAAGATCTTTGGTTGCATTGGAAAAAGCTTGTCTGCAGCTGGATTAGGTTTCCACGTGCAACTTTTTCAAACAAAAAGCTACAAATTAATTCTGAAAAACTGACGTCGACCATTAACTTTAGTTGCTTGTTTGGCAGGGATAAGTTTAAGCCACTCGTTAGAACAATGTCAAAAAACGTGCATACGCTCTTCATATTTGAGCCTCAAACTGCAATTTTCAATATTGTAAGTATGTAACTGAAAACTTGATCAGTTCATATTATAAGGGTCCCCTCTCTGATAATGCCACTTCACTACCTTTGGTACAGCAAAATGGACTACCAGGACATGCCAGAATGGAAGCTTGACACGCTTTTGTCTGAATATGGGTTGTCTACTCAAGCTGACTTGGATTACGAGAGACACTTTGCCATGGCCGCCTTCATTATATGAATATATTATATAAAATATAATACAAAAATAATGTCATTTAAAATTTTAGTGATTATTATATATGAATTTAAAAATTAATAAAATATATATTTTTTATTTTTATGTAGACACAACTGTGTTATAATTTTAATGTAAAATATAAGATAAATATATAAATTTTAATATTTTATACAATACAAATGCAAAAATTATTCTATGATCACTACCAAAAGCCTTCTCCTTACCACAAGTAATCCTTGTTTATATATATATATTCATATATATATATGTATGTATGTATGTATATATGTCAGGTGTTCATTATTTCATAATCTTGTATGTTCCAGCTTTAGGTCTTAATATTCCTCTCTGAGGAATCAGTTCTTCTGCCGATTATCTCATGTTTGAATGAAACTAATGGATTTCATATCCAAACCGACAAGAATCTTAACCTGCACCAACTAGTGAAAGATACAGATTTTCTTTCACAAAACACTGTCTGCTAAAATATTAGCTCTTCGTAAACTATTCCATAGAACACAACTGGGCTATTAATTGCCCTAGAAATCACTGGTTATGCAAAAACCAAAGAGAATACTTTTCAACCCTCAAGGAAACATAGTTACTTTATACAGAGAAAAAAAAGCATTACAAGTTATAACTAATATTAACATGTAATAGATAACTAGGGTTTAGTTAAAAATCCACTCCTGCGATGTATGTGGAATGTATGTCCTAGAAATACCACAAACACGCCTACCATTAGGATTCAGCGCCTCCGAACACGCCTGCCATTAGGATTCACCGGTTCTTCCATAGGACCTTCTGCTGCTAGATCTATCCCGTAAACACTGCTGCCACTCCTCTTCCTACTTGACAGCAGACTTGAGCTCTCCTCACCGGATGCAAAGGTCTTCAACAGCTCCGACAACAAAGATGGGCAACATTCCTCCAAGTGCCTGAACCCTTCTGACTGCATTACCGCTGCAAAACATTGAAAAAAATAAATTAGTTTATGTGTCACCACAGCCAAACAAGAAAATATGTTAGCTTCTAATATAATATTAATGTCAACTTTTCAACAGAAGTAAGTTCATGCCAATAAAAAAATCTATTACAAATGTTTTTGATTGACCCTGGAACAAAAACATGCACAGATTGTCAACAATTAATAAGCCAGGCACAAGTAAAGAAATATACTTGCACTAGAAATAACTGCAAGAGACAAAAGACTAACTGGTGGCATCCAACCAGAATAATTCCACATTAAGACAAACAAATTTTCAGTGATAATGTCCAACACCGACAGAATTGAACTGCTTTGACCACACAACTTGCCAAGCATAGAACATATATCCTGCTCTAGTCCATTTCTCTGCATTTAGTATAAAAACTATTTTCCATGTTTTCCCCTGCCTCAGAAAGCAAACACGATGTAAGCCAATAATATTGTCCGTATTCTCAAGGGAACAAAGATCCCAAAGGTTGAAAAAGACAACCATGCCACATTTAAATGACAGAATTACAACAGGGAAGATGTGGCATATTCTATCTCCAAGATAATATTGCACAGGTTCTAGTAAAAAATTAACAGAGGTGGATAGTAAGACATCCATGCCCATTTTTCACCTCTTTCCCATTTGCCTTTCCCAGGTTTGCAAAATTGTGGTTAAGCCCAGCATCAACAAGTTACAAATGATCAATAAAAGGTAGTACTTAATGCATGGCCACTTGTTGCTCCTTAGAGAAAAGGAGAAGGAGTAGGGTATAAGTAGTAAAAATGACAAAATAGAAAACCAGAAAACCTCACAATAGAAAGGCATAATGATCTGACGTCTTGTAAGTGAAAGGCATGTACATCTGCACTCTTGTAGCACTTTAATAAAATGTAAAGTAATACATAGTAAATTAGTTTTATCTAAAAATTTCAAGCACCAAACTCTCTTGGAGGTTAAGGGACTATAACTTATAATCCCTTAACCTTCCCTTAACCTCCAAGAGGGTTTGGTTCTTGAAATATAAGCATCTGCAAGAGCTAGATATGCATTGGGATACACCAAAAGACTTATGAAGTGCAAACAATACAAAAACCAAGTTTAATAACCAGGAATTTGCATTGGTAGTATCTATGAACACGTACCTCCCAAGTTAGCTGGAGTTGCAGCAAATTTCAAACATATAGCTTTAAGCTGCACGCAATGATGCTGCTCGGCCAGTGCAAGAGTCGTTGCCACTGTGTCAGCATTAAGTTCTTCACACAATTTTGCCTCGCACAACACTTTAAGTCTATCTAAATTGTACAGATCAGCAGCGGCCAGAAGATGCTGCACCATGTTGGTAGACATACACATAGACGTTGAGCCTGTAATCTCTTGTACATCAGGAAGCTTATCGGTATAAATAAACAAGAGCATTGCCTGAAAGAACAAGAACAGACAAGCAGAAGGATGAATTCTCACTTTAGTTAATTAGCCAATAAATAATAATAGCACATCTACAGAACTAAAATCTATAGTTGGATATATGCCTCACCACATGTTGTTAAATCCTATTTCTAATTCAATGAATTAACAATAAGCACATATTCATTTCAAGGGTTTGATAATGCAATATACTCAATTCTAGATCATTTTTCAAAATCTAAAAGTGCATTAAAAGAAGCATCACCTTGAAGATAGAGGGCTCAACATCTTTCACAACTACTTTATCCATATTAGGGTCCCCAACAAGCCCAAAAAACTGTGCCCTAAAAACAGGTGAGCGGGCAGCTAGGATCAACTTATGTGCTCTATATGTCTCATCACCAACCTGAAAAATTATATCACAACCAACTTCAGACTCTAACAAGGCTTTAAGATTCTGACCCATGTCTGATGGAGGTACAGAAATAGAACACTGTTTCGGTCCCTCGAGGCGAGTTCTGACTACTCCAACAGTGCAGTTCATGATTAGGCAATCGTCCTTTATATAGTCAGAAGTTTCTAAAGTTGTTCTTCTAAAGAATCGCTTATAACCCCTGAATGCATGGAAGAAAGAGGCAATGTAAAATCAATACCTTAATGAACTACGAACTGGATATAAATTACTCCATTATTGAAATATTTAGGTATATATGCACTGTATCTGCATTTATATAATTTTAACATCTAATGGGATGAATATATTAATTAGAATAGAGAAACTTTAATGCCCATCAAAGTAAAATGCATATTTCAACAACACGGACAGACATACAAGATTTTAATAAATAAGAATAGTCATTTAAAGTGAAATCAAATGGAAATCACCAAAATATCATTTCTTCACAAAGAACCAAGCTATAGGTCACTGCCCCTAGAACCACCCCCCATTTTTCTCATTTCCTTGTTTTAGTCATTGACTCATTGAGTCTTATCCTCAGTTCACTTAAGTTATGCAAACAGCTTTTTACATGGTATTCAACTTCTATGAGTCGATACCTTTTGGAAACTTCAAATAAATTTCAGTTTGATGCTTAAATCCTCAAAAATAAATGCAAAAAAAAAAAAAAGCCAAAAATTTAACCAACCAGACCCTACCCATATTCTAAAACCTAGAGCTGGCAATCTAAAAGAATACGATACCCAAAAAAAAAAAGTGAAAATGATACAGTTTAAAATTTTACCAATAACTATATATGGGTTAACGAAACAAAAAAAATGTATTTCATATTTTCTAAGTTAACATGAATTGTGACATGCAATTTTCATGTAAAACATGAAACAAATACATGAATTTCAATATTTTAAACAATGTGAATACACGAATCGTTAATTAAACCACACCCACATTTACCAATTCATCAAACAAAAGCATATAAAAATTTCATATCCCCTAAACCTCAACCCCCCATTTCCGGTCACAATTCACAAACATAAACCAATTTAATAATTATAATATAAATAAATAAAACAATAATTACCCTATAAATTATCAAATTCATTCTACAATCACACAGAGGAAAACATTTTTCTAAAATAATAAAATTATGATCCAAACCCTAAATTAAAAACTCAAAATTGTTACCACATGCTCCCTCTGTACTTCAAAGTATACGGCCCACTCTCCAACGCCCGATCAAAGTGACTGTGAACCTTATGCTTCCCTTTCCCACTCTGGTCCACAAGGGTAAGCTCAAAAAGCGCTCGAACATCGGTACCTTCACTAGCCAAAGCAATGAAAACCGAAACATACATCGCATTATCCTCGGGATTTTTACCGTCGGGGTAAAAGTAAATCGCCCAATCGTAACCTCCAACGGTAAAAACATCGCTGGCTATACATTTCCCGGGACCCATCCCTTTCGCCAACGAGTAACCTTTGATTGTGAACTGGTGTGACCCGTTCACCGTCTCACTCACCGATTTTGATACCGAGTCCTTGAAATCGTCCATGGTAGTTTTCTTTCTTCTTTTCATCGAGTTCACCAAAACCCTAACCCTAGAAATTGCATTTCGTAGGTAATTTTGGATAATTTCTGAGGGTAAAATGGGGGATTGAAGATGTTGAGTTATTTTCTCTTGTAGCAGTGGCGGCGCTCACGGTGGCCCCGGTGATAAAACGACCAGAGGGGAATGTGTAAGAAGTTTCGTGGAGACCTTTTTTTTTCGCTTCGTTTGGGTTGGTTTATGGGATTTGTGTACGATAAGATGGCGGGCAAAAAGTATATATTGTCACACACAAAAAAAAAAGAAGAAGCAATTTTAATGAAATAAATAAATAAATAAATAAATTTGTATTTTTGTTCAAACAATCCTAATTAAAAATAGAAAAATTAATTATATATTGTTTTTTAAGAAAAAAGGTAATTTCAAAAACATATAAAATAAAAAATATATTTTTTAAATAAGTATTTGTTGTTATTGTGCTTAAATATTTTTATCTATTTTTAAATAATATACTAGCATATATTGAATAAACTCTAACTTTTTATTTATCAAATAAATATATTTTCATGAAATTATTCCAATGACATTATAATATTATTTACAAATTAAATAAAAATGATTAATATTCATAAGAAAATAATTGAAATAGTGGTTTAATGTCCATTTTCATCAATTAAAAATTTTACCGAAAATTATATATTTAAATAAATAGATAGAATATAGTATATAGATGGATATAGACATATACATTATAGATAATGTGGAATAAAATTCAAAGTTTATTAAAAAATCAAACATTGAGATTTTATTTTTATTTTTAAAAAATAAAATTTTCAAGAAAGAAAAGAAAAACTTTGAAATTTTGAACAAATCACCGAGTTAAAGTGATATATAAAATTAACAATAATTAATTTTACTTATTTAATATATAAATTAAAAATTTGTTGTATCTTAAAATTATAATTATTTTATATTATAAATTTTTATATTTTTAAATTAATATTCATTGTAATAAGTTTAAAAAATATATATGTATTTATGTATTTTTTTAATATTTTATATAATATTTTATTGTTTTTATTTTATTATGAATTTAATATATTGATTTTATTTTATATTTCAAATTTTTTTACATTATTTCTATAATAAAAATCGATTTATCTATTAATGAATATATTTATTAATTTAATAATTAAATTATATTTTATTATAAAATAAAATAAACAAATACTACTGATATTTTACAAATTGTAATCTTTAAATAATTTTAAAATTATTAATTTATGTAATAATTATAATATGTATAAGTTTTTGTACTTTTAAATAAAATAATATTTGATTTTTAATAATATCAAACATCATAATATTTAATTTACAATAATTAATTATTATTAATCAAATAAAATAATTTTAAATCATAATTATTAAAATCACTTTAAAAATAAATTTATTAAGATAATTACATTACAATAATAATTTTACAAAACATATCATATTCTATTTAATATGTAATCTTTGAGCTTTCGGGCTATAATCCGACACGTGCCAAACACGGCTGCGGCTTTGTTGCTTTCTGCCGATTATTCTTTCCTTTAGAAAATAAAAATCGAATAAAATTTATTTGATTAATTTAATCAAATCTTCTTTTTATGAATAAAAAATCAACCACATCCTGTTCCATTAAAACAAAGATCGGATCTTTTGAAATCTTTTTTTCTATAAATAAAAATAATCGTATATTTTTTTCACTAAAATAAAATTATTTAATTTTTTTTTTAACAATTAGTTTCTTCTATGACTGGAAAGGAAAAAACTTTATAAATTAGGGAAAATTTTGAAAAAAGAGGAAAGAGAATATTTTACATATAATTATTATAATATTATAATAATATTATTATAATCAAATAAAATTTAAAATTATATGAGATTTAATATAATTTAATATTAATATATGATAAATTTTTCATATAAAAAAATATAAGACACACGCCCCTAAGGTGACGTTAGCAAAATACGCATCCATCGAAAATTTCCAGATCTCAAAACAAAAAAAAAAAGAAAATCGGTCACTTCACACACTATCTCCGCATCACCGGTCTCCGCCACTCTTTTTCACTCCCCCAAAAATCACGAAAATGCCACTGTAATTGATTCTTCATTAAGGTTCAAAAACGATACCGCAGATCTCCGCACAAAGTGCCACCGCTCGCCGTCGTTTTTGAGTTATTTTTCGAACCATGAAACCTCTCGGCAATGTCGATTTCCTCAAAAGCCAAACAGCGATCAAATTCGGGGCCTTTATCTTCATCTCCATCGCTTTCTTTTACTTAGGCAAACACTGGTCCGACAGTTCCCGCCAGCTCATCTTCTTCTCCCGTCAAGCCCCTTCCGATACGACGTCGTTTTCACCTTCCATCGTTATTTCTCCTAATCTCAATAAGGAATTCAACATATCGGCTATGATTAACACCAGCGAACCTGAAACCGAACCGAAATCAGTTAAAAACAAAGATAAACCGGTGTCAGTGTCGAAAGTAGCTCCACCTCCTCCCCCTCCTCCGCCTCCCCCGCCGGAGATCAAGAGTTTCGGGATCGTGGATGAGAATGGTACGATGTCAGATGAGTTTGAGATCGGCGAGTTCGATCCCGATTTGGTGGAGAATTGGGGGAACGGAAACGAGATTGAAGCGGAAACGGAGAAGGAGAATGTTAGGTATACATTTAGGGTTAAGAAGTTTGGGCTTTGTCAAGAGAATATGAGAGAGTATATACCGTGTTTGGATAATGTAGAAGCGATTAAGAGGCTTAAATCGACGGAAAGAGGGGAGAGATTTGAACGGCATTGTCCGGAGAAAGGGAAAGGATTGAATTGCTTGGTTCCGGCTCCAAAAGGGTACCGGCCTCCGATCCCGTGGCCTAGGAGCCGCGATGAGGTAAAATATTTTGTTGAATTTTGAATTATTTATGTATTTTGTCTGTGTTCTTTTAAATTCTTTATTTACCTACTTGGAAACTATGGAGCTAAGTTTGAGTCACGAGTCAAGAATTGGAACCAACAAGCAAAAGGGTGTGAGTTTCTTTCTTAGCTTTTTCGGGTTTTGGGTGTTTAGGGAGGACATTATTAAATGGCTTTGGTTTAGTGGAATGAAGAGACTTAGAGGTTTATTGGGGGATTACATGCGTTAAAGTATTAAAGAAGGATTTAGCATTTTTAGATCCTTAAGGGAAATATAACCTAGGTTGTGAAGAATGGAGAAATATAGATAAGCTTAGCTAGATTTTTGTTTGAGAATTGAGATTAAAGCTTTGTTGGCCAATACTTTTTTTGTTACTTGAATGTTTGTTTTGAAGTAGCTTTTGTTACTGTTTGAATGGTTCATTCTTTCTCTTATTTTTAGCATACCTAGTTTTCTAATAGGATATACTGCTTCGGTGGATAGGTATGGTTCAGCAATGTTCCTCATATGCGTCTAGTAGATGACAAAGGTGGTCAAAATTGGATTGCCAGAAAAGGGAAGGATAAATTCAAGTTTCCCGGAGGTGGCACACAGTTCATACATGGGGCAGATCAGTACCTGGATCAGATTTCTAAGGTTATTAAAATTTTAAAACCTTATATGTATGCATGAAAAACTCCAGGCAATATGGTTTGTGGATTTTGTTTCTGATGATCAAGTTCTAATCTGTATATCCAGATGGTCCCCGAGATTACATTTGGTCATCATATTCGGGTTGTTCTGGATGTTGGATGTGGTGTGGCAAGTTTTGGTGCCTACTTGCTATCACGGAATGTTATAACCATGTCGATAGCTCCCAAAGATGTGCATGAAAACCAGATTCAGTTTGCACTTGAGCGTGGAGTGCCTGCAATGGTGGCTGCATTTGCAACTCGCCGTTTATTTTACCCAAGTCAAGCCTTTGATTTGATACATTGTTCTAGATGTCGTATTAATTGGACTTGTGATGGTAAACTTTTTGTTCATGTTATATCTAGTTATTTTTGGTAGTGAAGAAAAGTAAGGAAAATGTTAATAATTTTTGTACCTTCAAATTATCATTTCCGCACTAACTTTGGGATTTGGTGACCCTATATGCTCATTCTATCTTGTCTCTTTTTCGATTTTCCAGTGACGAACTTCTTCCACGATACCAGTTTCCTTTCTCTTTGCTAATAAGTTTTTTTCTTCTACCTTTTCTTTTAAATAAAAACCACTTTTGGCCCATCTTGTTTATATTTCACAAAGGTTGTTATGTTTCATTGGATGTCTTTAGAATATTTTTCACGTTTTCTTCTTTTACTGTCATAAAGTCAATTTCTGGGATATCTTCTAATGCATCAGTCCATTCTTATGCTTTGTATTCAAGATGGAATTTTGCTCCTTGAGGTGAATAGAATGCTCAGAGCTGGTGGATATTTTGCTTGGGCAGCACAGCCAGTTTACAAGCATGAAGAAGCCCTTGAGGAACAGTGGGAAGGTATAACTGCTGGACCTAGATTTCATGTTAAGCATACCAAGAAATGTGATAATTAAAATACTCATTATGCACTAGAATGTTCGACTTTAAATCATGTTAACATTTTCCTTTTATACTGGTTGAGCATTTATTCTTTTTTGGCTTGTGATCATTTGATCAAATGTGTTGTATAGCAGCTTGTAGGAAATTGCATGCATGATTATTTTCTGATCTTCTGTACTTTCAGAGATGCTTAACCTTACTACTCGCCTCTGCTGGAATCTTGTAAAGAAGGAAGGATATATTGCAGTATGGCAGAAGCCCTTTAATAACGATTGTTATTTAAGCCGTGAAGCTGGGACTAATCCTCCTTTGTGTGATCCAGATGATGACCCAGACAACATTTGGTATGTTCACTATGCTGCCTTTTATTTGAAAAACTAGATGATGACCCAGACAACATTTGGTATGTTCACTATACTACCTTTTATTTGAAAAACTATGCATAGTGGAATAATATCATCAAATTGCAATGGCTGTTTTTTAGTTATCTATGTCCTTGTTCCCAGCATCAGAGGATGAATATTAGTGTCGGCAATCGTATGATTGAGTGCTTGGATTTTAGATACTTGTTTTTGCAACTTGCTATGCACTAGCTGGTGTATATTGCTTTTAACAATATTTACTAAGTAATGGAATGGGAAAGTCTCTGGTGCTTGAAGGAATTTGTAGATATCATTGCTCCCTATGGTATATTTGACCATTGTAATTTTTACTGACAACTGTATGAAATCGACACTGGCACGATTACACTTTTCTATGCATGAGTTGTGCAGGTATTCCTCTGGGTTTCTCTGTGCTGAAAATCTGTGAAGACATGCTTAAACAATGTTGACTTCATTTGTATATAGTAACTTCATTACTCTCCCTGGATTAATTCATAAACCTATTCTGACCTATTTCTTATTGTAGGCTGCAGTACTCTTTGCTGATTATTTAGGTCTTATAGAATCCAGACTCCTGGGCCTGCATCTGAATTTTCTTTCTGCTTGATGTAAGTAGTTTCAAGTTAGTCACAGGATATTTGCATAATCTCTCAGGTATGTTGATCTGAAGGCATGCATTAGTCGACTTCCTGAGAATGGATATGGTTCAAATGTTGCTCCTTGGCCTGCTCGTCTGCAAACTCCACCTGACAGGCTTCAGAGCATAGGAATTGATTCCTACATAGCTAGAAAAGAGCTCTTCAAGGCAGAATCAAAATACTGGAATGAAATAGTGGCAAGTTATGTCCGTGCTCTACATTGGAAGAAGTTTAAACTAAGAAATGTATTGGATATGAAAGCTGGCTTTGGAGGGTATTTTATTAACCTATTCTTGCGGTGTATTATTAAGATACTTCTTTCAGTACATCTCAAATCTATGGTTTATGAATTTTTGTGCAGATTTGCAGCAGCATTGATTGATAATCAACTTGATGCTTGGGTTCTAAATGTGGTCCCCGTTAGTGGGCCCAATACCTTGCCTGTTATATATGATCGTGGATTAATAGGGGTCATGCATGATTGGTACTTTTTCTTAACCATAATTCCAATCAGGAAACTCTGCATAGTCAACCGGATTGGATTGGATTGGATTAATAATGGCTGTACTTTCATTGATTATTTTTACTCATTACTTAGGATCTTTTGGGCAAAAAAAAAAAAAAAAAGAAAGAAAAACAATGTGTGTTTAATTTTTTGTTTTGTGAGGCATGCTGGTTAGTCTAAACTTTAAAGTATGCTATGATTGTTACTATTGCTTGAACTGAGTTATAAGCTAAATTGTCTGGTCTACCAGGTGTGAACCATTTGATACATATCCAAGGACCTATGACTTTCTGCATGCAGCTGGCCTCTTCTCAATTGAAAGGAAAAGGTACAACTTATTACCTTGGTCAATATTTATCTGCTAGCTGATTATTGAAGTTCTGATCTTATTGAGACATTTGTTTTTGCTCAACACAGAAGATTTCATTCACCACTGTCAATGGTGAAATTCCTCTTTTTTATAAATAAATATTTGAGGTCCAAATATTATTTATTTTAAGTAGGAATAAAAGGATGGCTAGTATATGTTGCATAGGTTCATTGTCACAATGTATGATTTGGAAGTTTTATTGACAAGGCGAAGTGTTAATAATTTGATTATTTATACTTTTATATCAGATGTAATATGTCTACCATCATGCTTGAAATGGACCGGATATTGAGACCTGGTGGACGAGTATACATCCGTGATTCTCTTGATGTTATGGATGAACTTCAAGATATTGCAAGAGCCATGGGTTGGGTTCCAGCTCTACGCGATACATCTGAGGGTCCTCATGCAAGTTACAGGATCTTGGCATGTGACAAGCGCCTCCTTCGTTGAACAAAAGGAACTAAAAACTCAAGTTGTATATCTTTGGTGTTAACTACGGCAAATTGAAAAGGCAATTAGACAGGCTAATGCATCTATTTGCACACGCACATTTCCAAGTAAAAGAAAGGAGGCCGTTTATTGAAATTTTAACTGCATATAGGGAGAGGATTAACGAATGCCGTCATGGGCCAGGGTACATCAGACACTTTCAGATACAGGAAGATCAAGCCAGATATTTGATTTCCTCAGCTGGAAGGGACCCTGCTATATTACAGCTCCATTTGTAACCTATTTGTAACATAAATATTGTCGAACTATGTGCAATTTTTTTTTCTCGTGGTAGGGTAAGATCATTGTTTTCATTTTATTTAATTCTTAAGTTAAAATTCATCTCGATTATCCTTTTTTCTTTTTTTATAGTCTTTCTTTTATTATGATTTATCTGTAATGAGCTTTAGATATCCTTCATGATAGATTGGAGACTGTTTATTCCATTTTGGGAAAACTTTGGTTTTCTTTCAGTGTGGATTCTGCTGGGTACTGTCCTGATATGGAGATTTAAAATTCAAATCTTATTATATGGATATATGGTATACTTGAATTAAGCTTTGATTCAAACATTTTCATTTTGCAATGAAATATTCTTAAATTTGGTGAAATAAACTTAACAGAAAGTGCACAATAAAAATGGTTTCAAGTTTGAGGACATCGTTCAAATTAAGCATTTACAGTACAAATCGAAAATGAATTCGAAGCTCAGGCTGCATGTATTTCACCCCTTTTTCTTGAACCAAAATACCAAAATTTCCAGCCCTTGATTATGGTCTCCACATCTGCCCCTGATGCTCAAAAGGCCTTTGAGGGGCTAAATTTACGGGATAACTTTCAGGCCTTGCTGTCTAAAAAATTGAGGTTGCACTTGTGAGACTGAGGGTGATGTTGCCTGCTTCTGAAATTGATGTTATGGCCTTGTTCTACTTTCCATCCTTGTTTTCTGAAATCGATATTGCACTTCTGAGGTTGAGGGCATCCTCTCCTGAGCTTGATGCTGCATTTGTGAGGTTGAGGGCCTTGTGTTCCTGAACTGATGCTGCTGCATTTGCAAAAAGTGAATCCTGGTGCACCTGTGGATATAGATTCAGGTATTGCCCACCATTGTAGCTTGAATGAATAACTTGAGGTTTTATGAGAAATTGGGCTCTTCGTTGCCCGACTAATGTAGCAAGGAGAGTACTTCGGGACAGATTGGTCGAGTTAAGCAATCCATGATTTCTCTTAAATGCTTCAGATATCTTTATAAGTTGTTCCTGCCTGACAACTCGTCTAGCAGCATTTTCTTCTTGTTCAAAAGGATCTTCAACCTAAACAAACATAAAAAAAAAGTTGTTATTTTTATCAGTGTCAAAGCCATTAATTAGTGTTGCAAATATACCAGAGAGATAGAGAATCTTACAAATACTGGATAAGTCCTGGTCGACCAGCTCGTATTGCTTGTTATATACTCCCACTGCCCCGTAAATGGGCAGATTACCATCTCTGAGGCCTTCAAATTTATGTCTGAATACTGCACATACATTTATTAATTTAGCATTAATAAACCTATATGGTGCTCCCATGGGGAACTGATTTAGAAACCTGTTGTCATAAACCTGTCATGGCATCAACAGGCAAAAATAGATGAACAAAACAGGAACCAATACCTTTTTAAAGAAGGAAATGAAGAGCTCAGACAAAGAACTTTGATTTATGGTTCTGCCTGATATAAATCTGGCAATGTTAGAAGCACACTCTTGTTGAATACTCTCTGCATCAGCTTTGACACCTGCATATGAGAAGAATTCCTATCAGGAATTCACAATTTGTTTTTCCATTAATGAAATGATATGAATAATTTTTCTTTCAAGCAATCACTACCAAGATCCAACAATACCTGTAAGATTATCAACGAGATTTGCTGGGTATATGTCTTTTAAAGGAGGTAAAATTGCAGGTACACATGTCTGCAAGAAATAGAAAAGTAAATGAAATGACCCTTTGTCGCCTTATCTATTTGTTATAGCAATGAATGTCTTATTGAGGCTCTTGGATGCAGCAGCACATTATGAGGTTATTTCTTATCATCCAAAATGCAAGAGATAAGATTAACACACTTGTGATTTGCTGATTATCTGCTAATCTTCACAAAAGGGAAGTTGGAGTCCATCTCTGGGATACAGCAGGTACTACAATTATTTTATTCATATTCGGGACTTCAGCTTAATTGCGAGAAGAGTGAACTGTTTTCCACAGGTGTTCCAAGAAGTGCATTACAAGAGATAGTGCAGGTGACAGGATTCAAACTAGGCACACTCCCTGTAAGATACCTTGGGTTCCATTAGTTAAATGTAGGATCTCCATAAAGGATTGTACTCTACTAATAGAGAAGATAACAGCAAGAATACGTAGTGGGGCAGCAAAAAATTTATCATATGCAGGTAGATTGCAGCTGATACAATCGATCATATTTAGTATTCAAAGCTACTGGTGCAGACATTTTATGCTGCCACAAAGGCTGATCCAAAAGGTTATACAGCTATGTTCAAGGTACTTCTGGAAAGGGCAGAATGAATCAGCTAAAGGGGCAAGGGTTAAATGGCAAACTCTATGTAGGCCTAAATCCGAAGGAGGACTTGGGTTAAAAGACTTGTTCATTTGGAATCAGGTTTGTATGATTAGAAATCTATGGTCTATTTTCTCACAAGCAGGTTCATTGTGGATTGCATGGGTGCATAGTTATGTGCTTAAAGGGCGCAATATATGGAAGGTACCTATTACACAAAGTAGCAGTTGGAGCATGAAAAAACTATTACAAATGAGGAGACATGCCACTCGATTGCAAACAGAGGAAGGCATAGGATGGAATGGGGGAGGTACCGAGAACTCAGTTACAGCTATATGGGAAGAATTGAGACCGAAACAAATGAAGGTAGTGTGGCACAGGCTAATATGGTGCAAGATGCATGTACCCAAACATGCAATCATAGCTTGGATGGCGATATTAAATAGACTCCTTACCAAGGATAGATTGAACGCATGGGGGATTACAAATGAAACAGGGTATGTGCTATGCAAACAAGAGGATGAGTCTAGAAGCCATATCTTCTTTATTTGCAATTACTCTAAAGCTGTGTGGAAACAGGTCTTACAGCTCTGCAACTTACATAGAGAGGTATCTGGTTGGGAAGAGGAATTCCATTGGGCTGTAAGCAGGGTGAGAGGGAAGGCATTAATATCTATCATATTGAGACTGGCATGGGGTGCATACATTTATCTGATTTGGAGTGAAAGGAACAAGAGGCAGTTTGCTGCTGTGGAAAGTAATGAAGGGCAGATCCTTAGAATGATAAAAGAAGTGATACAATTGAGATTGATGGGGCTGGAAAATATTCCTTTTGATAGTGTAAATAAAGATTTATGTGAGAAATGGGGTTTAAGAAGGGATATATTTGTATAGAAGCCAAGTGACAAATGGAATTATATGAGTTGTATATTGGTAGCAGTGAATAACTGTTTTAGGCAATAAATTACAAATTATCTAAAAAAAAAACACCGAATAAAAGAAGTATGGTCAATATCATATCAATGGCAAAACCAAGAGAAACAAATGAATAAAAGCAGAAAACATTGGGGTCAGAACGATGGAACACAAAGATGGCAACAGCATGCCTACGTAAAAAAATCAACTTTTCCCATGATTGATACCAGAAACATAAAAAGCCACCTGAAGATGGAAGATAACCAGCAAAGTGAGGGAATATGAGTTGAATGCCCTAGTCCTTGGATTATTAATACCATACGTCTTGGCCCATTCCTTCACCTGCACAGCAGGAATGACAAATGAGAGAGACATGTTCCTCTCCACAACAGGAAGTGTTGGTTTTCAATGAGAGATCTATACCAGTAAAACCATGTCACGAAAGCGACCATCTATCCCATTCAGCCACAACAAGAATTTGGACTTTATTTGGCCCTCCAGATTATCAATTGAAATATCACAAGAGATGTTCTGCCATTTGCTCACAACTTTCAAAATGGGAACTTTTGCACGGGGAATCAATCGTAACCTTGACCATCCACCTGCAAATAAACGTTATCTTGAAGCCACTGTTTACAATGAACAATCAACATAAACAATAGCAACATTTGCTCAAATGTTTTAACAACAGCATGAAAGCATGAAAATTATACTGAATCACCTTTCTGTCTTAAAGCTTCGTGTAATTCTCGAAGTAAATCCTGTTTCCGTTTCTTTCCAGCAGAAGAAACATATGACCCATGAGGTAAATCAACAGAAATATCAAGGTCTCCCCGCAATATGAATAGATCAGACAGAAAAGATCCAAATGGCTTCACAGTTGCACCTGTTTCCACCAGTTAGGTCATGAAGTATACACATGTTGATTACCAAAATCTTTAACAACGAAAAATACTCAATGCCATAATCAGCTAGAATGTCGGAAATGATAACACAAAATCATTTCAAGAGGCCAAACAATTCCTTTTCTGCCTAGGTTGGTCCTTCCCCACTAAAATCCAGTGGTTCTTAGCTAAATCGTTTCTCTTCATACAATCATTGTGACATCTAACAAATTTAGGATTCAAATTCGCACAATCCCTTCTCTTTTTCTTATCTCAAGTTGCGATCTCTTTTGTAAAGAAAAAAATGTCCAACAACTACTTTCAAAAATCAACCTTGTTTAAACCACTTATGAAAGTCAACCTTCAGATCAAAAGAAAATGGAAAAACAAAAAATAAAAACATTATCATCTAATATGCTAAACAAAGCATTTCCATAGCCATCTACATTCAATAAGCCTGCATATGTTTTAATCATATCTTCACAGACAAATTAATTATCGAAAATCTCTATTAGCATTTTTTTTGTTTTTTACATAAAAAGTAACAAAAAAATTACCTGTTAAACTATTCATAGATTGAACAACTTCGCTCAATTCTCCAATGATCTTAAGCCGTGTGTCCCGATCCTCATCCAAGGGCTTGATCACTGCAAGTACTTCCTTGAGAGTTGGCTCCACTACAGTATATAAATCCATCTGTGCTAACATCACTGATAACACAAATTTTCTCTTTAAACACAAAGGTGCTAATATCATCATTATGTATCAAAACTCAAAAGTCATCTCATAAAAAAATAATAATGTTTTTATAATAAAAAGGAAGACTCCGTTATTGACTGAACTACCCTATTATATACAAAATTCAAAAAATTAAGTCAAATTAGGATAGAGGTCCTTATATTTTATGAAATTTTAATTTTTATACTATAATTTACATAAATTTAGTTTTTATATTATTTTAATTTGATAATTTTGATTTAATTATTAATTTCGTTAATTTTTTATCATTAAAAATATTAATGTAATCGTTAATTTTGTTGACATGATATTGACTTGATGAAATTATTAACGTGGTAATTGAAATTTGTGAAATCAATTACTGAATTATATAGATGGATCCTTATACTTATATGAAATTTAAAATTTAATTCTTATACTCATATGAAATTTAAAATTTAATCCTTCTAATATAAAAAATATTTTGAATTTTTTAGAAAATTTTTAATTGTTTAAAATATTAAATTTTAAAAATTGTCACAATATTTTCTCACAATATTCTATATTTTGTCACCATTTTCATATATTATTATTAAATTTGTCACAAATTTTTGTCACTAATGTAAAGTAATGTTACTAGTTCTATCACTATTTTTTATTACATTCAGTCATAAAATATAAATCTATTACTAATTCTATTATACTTTCTTATCACAATTATAATATATTGTAACCATATGAAAAAAAAATTTACATAAATCAATTAAAAATCTATCATAAATTTGTCAATATATGATACAAATTTGTTACTATTTAATTTTAATAAAACTATTATTTTTTATTAATTTATTAAATGAATTATAATTATAATTACCTCCCATAAGGATAAAATTATTCATCAAACTGTGTTTCTATTACTTTGAATTAAACCTTATTTAAATGACTTTTTATAATCAAATCTAGATTCAATATTCTAAATAAATTAAAATAATTTACTAAACTTAATGTGTATTAGTTTTAAAATTAATTTTATCATTTAGTTTAACATAATTATTTAGATAATTTTTTTTAAAGTTCTCATTATGATACACAATATTGATATTTTGATTTATCAAATAAATTATTTTCTCCTTTCATTTTGGTAAGATTCAAAATTTGTTTTTCCAATAGATAGGAATTCATCCCTCGTAAGAATTTAGGTTTAAATCTTTTATTTTATTTAATTAGATAAAATGGTCATTTCATTCATAGTCTATTTCGGATTTAATACAAATCTAATTCTATTCAATAGTTTGATTCATAATAAATTTTGTTATATGATATATTTAAACTAATTAAAATAATATTAACTTTGATATGTTAATTTGAATTATTAATATTATAATTGATTAGTATAAATGATAATAATATTATTATTGTTATTAATATGTTGTTATTAATAATTAATTATATATAATAAAAACTAATATATTTTAAAAAATATTTTGTATTAGAGGGACTAAAATATTTTTAAATTTTAATATTTTAAAAAATAAAAATTCAAAATATTTTTTATATTTAAGGAATTATTTCATGTGAGTGATGTAAGAACTAAATTTTAAATTTTGTGTAAGTACATAGAATATTTATATAATTTAACAATTAATTTCATCTATTTAAGTTATCATATTAGTAAATCTATGTCATGTCAGCAAAATCAACTTTTATGCTATCAAGTAAACGATCACATCGATATTTTTAATAGTAAATATTTAATTGAATTAGTGATTGAATTAAAATTATCAAATTAAAATAGTACGAGAATTAAATTTGTATGAATTACAGTATAAGAACTAAATTCATAATTTTCGTAAAATATAAAAACTTCTTATATAATTTGATAAAAAGTAAATTGAGTTGATTTAACTCCATAAGTAATGATGCAAACAAATTGAAATTAAATTGGTAAAGTTCTTGAGTTTGTTAAAATGAACATTTTATGATACATGGATTTTATTCCCACAAAAATTACTATTCAATTACTAGTAATTATAAATTTTTTTTTTACAAAAAAATAAAAAATGGTCAGAGCTCAAGGAACACTAACATCTAAAATGAGCTCAATTCACTCCATTAAGAACCTTTTTTTCTTCCCTTTTCTCTTTCAAATCTTGGGTCACTTCTACTTTTTATTGCACTGCTTCCACTTTCACTCATTGCTTTAGCCTTTTGTGTTCAAGGCCAAGTAATCTCTTTATCCCTTTGTTCTAAATATGTAGTTTAAGCCCTTTGTTCATAATTCATTGGCTTTGTACCCAGAAATTAGAATGGATCAATCAATCTGGTATATGAATGATAGCAGGCTTGGTGGATGAGCCAATGTCACACCCCACGTAAGCTCACTCAACTCGATTGTAGACTGATTTAGGCACACGTGAACGATAGTTTCCTGTCTAAGACCAAACGACTGTTACGCTTAAAATCAAAACTCGTAACACCTACATGTCCAGCAGGTTGCCACTGTCATCCCTCATAAATTCAATGGGCTAAGCCTAAATTGACTTCCAAATTTCTTTTTATTGCAGAAGGATCAGAAAACCATTGGCTGTAACTTGTAAGAGAGGAAAAGTCATAGTGAAATCCATATTGCAGGAATCTGATACTGAGGAATTTGGCTTATTAAATGTATATTCCCACAATAATTCATGCAGCATCATGTAGTATTTATGTTTATGGCAAATAGCACCAAACCCAAAATTCCTAGTCAATTTCAGCATAAACCCATTAGAATTTTCAACAAGACGCTATCTGAAAATCTAACATCCTTCATCTTTTTCTGAAATTTATTCTTCTTTTCGTGCCTTGGATATTAGCATGTGTTTGGACTTCAATGTTGAGAATTGAACCTGGCCTACTGGCAAGTGGAGATTCCTCACTTTAGCTTTCACAAGTTTTAGTCTAATCATGCCCTCTGATATATGATACAATATGAAAATAATACAAATAAAAAATATAAAAATAATATGATTCAAAATTTTAATAAAAATCATAAATAAATTTAATAAAATTAAAAATATATTTTTTATTTTTTTATATTGACACGAATTGTTATACATAATTTATATATATATTATGATATAAATGCACGAATCATTAATATTTTACAAAAAATGAATAAATAAATTATAGATTTATAAGAATCATGGACTTTTCTTTTAAAGGAAGAACATTGCAAAATTATATTATTAAATATAATATTTTCTTTACTTTACCAAACCATTGAGATTAAACAAATATATTTTGAATCCTGCTATGATAAAAAGGGAGTCATAAGAAGATCACTTTTCTACAAATTGCATCTATATTGGTCAAATAAATGAGATTTTCCATACATGATGATGATTATTATTATTATTGTTGGCCTTGAATAGAAATTGATGGCTACTAATCATAATTTCAACATAAGTTATAGTTACAGATAATTATAAACTATAATTGTAATTACAATTATGATTATGACTAATGTCTTGTATAAACAAGAAACAAGTGTATTGTATGTATGATTAAAATAATTTGATGGTTGCCCATAAGATTTAATTTATTTGGTAAGAAAAATTTTATATGTATTTGTCAATTGGTTCAATCGGAGATTTGAGTCTTGATTTGGATTGGAGTAGTTTATTTGTTTTGGATTAAAAAAATATATTTATGTATTTTTATTAAAAGAATTCAATTCAATTTTTTTGCTTTGAAATAAAATTTATAATGTATATCTCTTACATATAAGAAATGCGTTCATTGAATAATATGGATAAGTCCAATTAATAAAAAAAAAATGTCTTTCTTTGTTTCTTAAAGTTTGATTCTTCTGAAAAATATCTCGAAGAGAAAAATAGGCCACCTAATAAGTCTTTGAGATTATGATAGGAAATTAAGTATAAATAAAAAATCATATATGATAATTTGTATATTTATATTATATAAAATATTAAAATTTATATATTTATATTATTAATAAAAAATAAATAATAAATTTTTTAATTTTATTAAATTTATATATAATTATTATTTAAATTTAAATCATATTATTTTTATATTTTTATATTATATTATATTATTATTATATTTTAAATTATTAGATTAAAAAAAATGTAAGTGGGCGACCAATGATAGGTGTTGGCCATGTGCGTGGCATTGTTGCCAATTTGCAACCCCAAATTTCATTTTAATCAAAAAGGAAAATGATGAATTTGTTCAAATGATTTTCAATCAAAAGAAGGTTCCCAAAATTGCCATTTTGCTATCAATTTCAAATCCAAACAAATCTACGCCAGCCAATAAGATTTGGATGCCTTAAGCCCCATCAACCAGACCAAACTTCCACGTGCTTCAACCCAATTGGATTTTGCCCTGTCAGCCCCATCATCTTGTCAAAGGAATTGAGAATCAAATCAAATTTTTTCTTTTTTGTCGAAAGTTGAACCCTTTAAGAATCAATCTGCCGTCTCACGTATTGCAAGGGGACCATAGGATTGTTATTGACTGCCGCTAGAGCATTACTACAGGTGGCAAGTGGGCAAAATGTTAAGATATGAGGACGTTGATGGACGGTTCAGATTTAATTTGATTTCAAAATTGATATGATTGAATTTGGTATAATTTAAACTTTTAATTCGATAAAATTTGAATTATAATTAATCAACATTAAGTGAATGTAAGATCGAAATTATTTAAATTTTAAATAATTCAAATATACAAATAAATTAATTTAAATTCAACTTAAATTTAAAAATAAAATTATTTGAAACGATTTAATTTTTTTCTTTGAGTTCGTCTAATTATAACCAATAAGCAATAAAAACTATTAGTGTTATATATCCATGAGAAATTTTAAAAGACGCAACCAAACATGAATTAAACTAATATTTAAAAAATAAAATAATAATTATTTTTTTAATTTAGTGAAAATAATGTATTATATGTAAACACTTATTTTAAATGATGTCTATTCATACATTATTTTTTTTACGAGATTCATTTATTTGATAAAAAATTGTAAATTTTTTTTTAATTTTAAATTTTAAATATGTTGAACGTCATATTTTAAAATAAATAAATTAAATTAAAATCTTTAAGATTGAGTGATCCATTTATTAATTATTTCGTTCCTGTGTGTTGTTCATGAAGAACAAATTACCTAAATTTGACTGCATGAATGATGAGAAAAAAAAGTTATGTCTAAATTAATGGAATAAAAATAATTTTGTCATCAAGTCAACTGATGATTAAATTAAGTTAATTAAGGCATAATTGGTCAAATTTGGTGGACTCCACGTTGTACTTTTTTTTTTGTTGAATGACATTTAACATTTGTAAAGGATAGTTAATTATATATAGTACAAGCTTATCCATAAAATATTTTTTTTTCAGATAATCTAAAAAATAATTACTACTTCCTAGTTTTTTATATTATTTACTATTTATCCAAATAAAATATAAAATTAAGATATCCAAGTATATATAAAAATTGAATAATAAAAAAATTTAAAGAGAAATTTTATGTTGAATATTTCTAAAATTTTTCTCTAAACACTTTTTTATTAATAAAATTAATAAATTTATAAAAAATTTTATAAATATTTATAAATGGGCACCCAAAATTTTTTTTAAATTCAATTATATGTTAAATTTATTTAATTATGTTAGTTCATTTGGGTTAACTCCAAAAATTCAAAATTCAGCATAATTTGATTTAATTTGTGTTAAATTTATTCACCTCATTTATGTTGAATTTATTCTTATTTTCAAAGTTGGTTGTAAACTAATATGATTGGAGAAAACGAATTTGTATTCAAGAAAGAATAAAATTTTATGTTATTTCACAAGTAATCAACTATTTGGACCATTGATAAATTTTGATAAAAAAAAAAATCAAATCATAAAACCCATACTTTCTTTTCTTTTCCTTTCCTTCATTTCAATTAGCACATCAACGAAAATGAAGCTCATTATCTTACAATTTTCAAAAAAAAAAAAGAAAACTAATTACTCTATCTGCTTCCGTTTAATAAATTTTATATAATTGGATTTAATTTAATTATAAGTGCTGATTTTTCTCCAAATCAACGACAACAGTACTAACATTATCCGCACTATGCCTAGCCAAGGCCAACTTAGTTAACAAAATAGAAGCATCCAAACACGCCTTATCCGAACTCTCGGCTGCGCCACCTCTGACAGCCGCGTCACAACCCGGTGATCCTGGTGAAGATGGTTGCTTTTGAGCGCGTAAACACATACGGGCCACGAAACATGCCGTGTCATTCGTCACCACATCCCACAATCCGTCGCTTGCCAATATCAAACATTCATCGCCCCCTTCTCTTTCCGTTATTGTCACCTCCGGCTCCGGAATTACAAAGGGTTTTAAATAATTGTCACCTGATAATTAAAAAAAACAAAAATTAGAAATTTATTTTCAAAATATAAAAATGGTTAAAAAAAGGAAAATAATAAAAGAAACCTTACCAATTGCTCTGGACATGGCTAAAACGCCAAGAACTCGAGGGCCCTCCCAGTAAATTACTCGGCCACCGGCTTCTTGGATCCGAACTAATTCATCGGGTCGATCCGGCTGATATAAAATAAAATATCTTAATAAGTAAACAAATAATTTTATTTTTCATTTAAGAGAAAATAAACTATAGAAAGTAAAATATCTTACCTTGTGATCGTCGGAAAGGGGGAGAGCCACGCCGTTCCGGCACAAGACAGCGCGGGAATCACCACAGTTGGCGACGATGATCTTATCCGGAGTGACAACAGCAACCACTGCTGTGGATCCAACGGCGTCGCACTGTGGAGTTTGAAGTTCGCATCGGCAATTCGAACTCTCCCTAGCGTCCACTGTCCATTCTTGAACTTCCTTATCCATTCTCTCGAAGCTTCTCTCCATCGTCCGCTTCCACTCCACCGCGTTTCCTCCGCAGCACGCTTCGATTTCTTCCCTTAGTATCTCATGAAACCGATCTCTGCACTTCATCGCAACCTAAAAAAAAAAAGGTAGTTATAATTGATTTTAATTAAATCAACAAATTAAATTTATGAAATATTTTCAAGTCAAGGATATTTTTTTAATACATGTGAGCAGCCATGGCCGTCGAAGACGCCGAAAAAGTGAATGTCCGACGAAATTTGAACTTGAGAGCTTTGCTTGCAAAACGAAGGGTGAATCGAAACGGCGTCCTCCATATCTCGTCGCCTTCCACAAACGGAAGTCATGCCGAACTTCGGCGATTCCTTCTCTACGGCCTCTAATTTTACTGTTCTATTAGAATTCAAACCTTCATTAATTTCGTAATCTTTCTTAAGCTTATTAGTATCGGAGTTTTGAACCGCGTTATCACTGTCATGAGGAGAAGCCGGGAGGAAGAGATCGAGATCGAGCTTCTTACGTTTCCGACCGTTTTCTAACGGCGGTTGAACGGCCGCGTCGGCTACTACCTTAAACGGACGAAGCTCCATTCTCCGGCGACGTGAAGCTCTTGAGGTTGGTTCAACCGGAGCTGCAGCTTCACTTTCTCCAACAATTTCGCAGCAAATTCCAGCCATTGAATTACACAAAAATTGAAACTGTTTTTCACTGACAAACAAACTTTGTTGCCAAATCAAGAGAAATTTTTTTTTTCTCAGATCGAATGGAAAGACTCATAAAAATAGCTGAGAAGCGAAGCTTTTGTACTAAGACGTCCAATATCAACTGGGGCCCACGCCTAAGTACTGGCAAGGGGCAGACTACGTAATAGATGGAGCGTGAATTTAGGTTCCAGGGGTATGCGATTAGGGGAAAAATTAATCTAAATAGGTTTTTTTTTTTAATTCTGCTATTTTTTCCAAAGAAAGCGTCTACGTAACAGAGCGAAAATTGGACACGTGTGGGGCCACATGTCCAGGTTGCTTGACGCCTATCAGAATATCTGAGGCTAGGCGAAAGCCAACTCGACACGTGTCCTTATTGACGTGGATCCATGATGCACATCCCTCCCTTTCGTTGCTCGCCTATAACACGTTTCGGTCATTCCCTTGGCTTTGAAAAAATTTCATAATCTGCCGTCCTTCTTTGCAATTTGAACACGTACCTAATTTCCCACTCCTGCCCCTAGGCTTTTTCTATAATTGACAATCGCTCCTTTTTTTAATAATTTTTTTATTATAATTAATTTATTATAATTCAATTTATTTTTATTTTTATTATTTTTCTATCGATCCAACAAGGATTTGTTCGATAAGTTATATTTAATTTTTTCGATACAAAAATTTTAAATTTAAATCTTATCAATGATTATTTATTAAAATTATCTTAATTTCATGACATATAATTATTTATTTTAAATTATAAAATATGATATATCTTATTTTAATTAAAAAATTAAAGAGTTTATCTACTTTAAAATTTTTTTTTTTTTTAAAGGAATCGTAATATCAAAATTATGATTTTAGTTCTACCAGAATTTGCAGTTATATCTATTCCGATTAGCTATTCTTTTTAAATTTTGTTTTGATAAATTTTGAAGGTTTTATGTTATTTCTCTACAACAAATAAAAATAAAATATATTAATGCACTCAATACTTAATTAATTCAAGTATCACTTTTGTAAATGAAATTAAGATGAAATTTGTTATTATATTATGATTTTTAATGTTGAATTTTGGTATTTTGTCAAGTTAATTTTATTGAATTATTTTTCATTTTTTATTTGGACAAATAAATTTACTATTTTATGAAATATTATGTTAATGCAAATGATATATTTTTTTCTTCACTAAATTTTCAATAAAAAAATAAAAATAAATTGTTGTAACAAATAAAAATAATATCTAAATAAAATTTTAAATTTTATTAAACAAGAAAATAAAGTATAATTTTTTATTGCATAAAATTAAAGTATGAACTTTGATTTTATTGTAATTATAATTATTAAATCTTAAAAATAAAAGAATAAAATTGTATTGTCAAAATCCTTAAAGCAATATAAAATGTTACCCTGTTTCGCAAGGGGATTTTTTTAATTTTTATAAAAAAATAATTTAAAATTTAAAATTTTTTTTAGTTTTTAAATTTTTTTATTAAAAAACAAGATTGAAAATCTTATATTTAAAGTTTTTTATATAGTTATTTGTATTGATTGCTAGTTGCTAATTTTTTTGTAATTTATTAAAAATTTTCAAATATAATATTTTTAAATTTTTATTTATATATTTTTTGTTTTTAAAATATATTTAAAAAATATTTAGATTTTATATTTGATAATTTTTAAAGAAATTTTATTATTTTTTTGTGAGATCTTTTAGTTTATTTTCATGTATGTCATTTTCTAATTGATTATTTTTAGTTGCAATTTTTTTAATAAGTGATTGAAATTTAATATGTTGGTTAGTTTTAAGATTTTGAATATTGATTTTTTTTAATAAGTTAGATATATTTTTATAGATTTTTTTATTATATAAGTGTTTGTTTTTATCTTTACAAGAATATTTGAGGGTATTATAATTACCAACAACACATCATCATCTCTATACTTAACTCTTATAATGTTTTTTGTAATTATAATTATAAGCAAATAATTTTTTAAAATTTTTTTATTTTAAAAATTATGACATAATAAGTAAAGGGTTCCTCACATATTAATATATTAATTGTTAAAAATATTTTTTTAAAAATTAAAAATAATAAAAATAACACATGGCAAGCAACGAACTTGTAGATGTCACTATACTATCCTTTGGAGATAGCTTTTATATATAAGATATAGATTTCATCATACATTTATCAATATACTCATTTAAATAAATAAAATAAATATTTTTCTATAACTTATATCATTCAACTAAAAATTTTTAACAAATTATTAAATATTTTAGACAATCATAATTCTAATTATAATAAAATAAAATTTTATAAATACAAAAAAAAAATCAATGACTTATTTTGATTTTTTCATAAAATCGAAGACTCATTTGAATGCTATTGTTAATACAAATAAAATTTCATTTCAAAAACAAAATAAATAAGATAAAAAACTATTGCAGAAAAGGACCTACTTTCAGTCATAATCACGTGAAAAGCCCAAAGAACACGTGTAGGGATGTAATTGAATCATGTTTCAGTAAGCTACGAAAATGATGCTTGTAGACCCTAGAGTCGTAGGCCACCTTAAAGAAAAAAGGTTGGGATCGAGGAGCTGGATTCCAACCAGTCAAAAGGTGCCACGTAGAAAGTTAACTGGCAAACATGAGGTGACGCCACAAAAGTAGTGCCACGTGACTGGAGAAAGCATTATTTTTCAGTAGCCCACTGGACACCTAACCTTTCCGAAAACTCTGTGCTAACCACAGTTAATATTTTCTTAACTTTGGTTAAGTCATTGTTTTTTTTTTTTTCCCTCACAAAGATTCGATTTTTGGATTTTGTCAAATGTGAGTTGCTGCTGTTAAAATTACCTAGAAATATTAAAATATATATATAAAAGGTTAAAACCTTTTTTTAATAACAGTTTTTATTTTTGAAAATAATATATAAAGTTTTCAATCTTTTACTACAAAAATATAAATAAAGATAAAATAATAAATTTATAATTAAAATAATAAAATTATATTAAAAATTAAAAATTTAATTAAACTCATAAATTATTCAAATAAAATATTAAAATGCTCGAATTTAACTCGTTCGATAAATCGAGTTATTTAATCTTAAATTCAACTTAATAATAATTAAATCGAATTCAAATTTTATCTAAATCGAATTTAAATAATTTTTTAAAATTAATGTATTATTTATACTCTTAACTTAAATGAAGGAAATAATATGTATTTTTTTAAAAATAATATTCTGAAATTTTGACAAGTAAAACATAATAAGTTTCAAGTACTTAAAAACAAAAACATAGTGTGCTGAAAGAATTTAAGCATAAAGCTTCCATTTTTGTGTATTAAAGCTGTAATTAATAAAAGTATCAATGACAAATTAACAGGCCAATCACCATTGAAATGAACAATGACAAGGGAAAAGTCACCATGGTACAAGACCAATGGAGCTTACAAGCACAGAATTATTAAGTATTATTGGAAATTCAGGACGTTGGACGTTGAAGATTAAGATTATGAAGGTGGGATTTTTTTTTTTTTTTGTTCAATCTAATCTCATGCCAGGATTAAAACCGTTAGCTGCAAATCCTCCATCAACAGAAATAATCTGTCCAGTGATGTAAGAAGAAGCGGGAAGGCAAAGGAATGCTACAATTGATGAGACTTCTTCTGGTTCTCCAACACGTTCAAGAGGGGTTCGAGAAATTACTTTTTCCAAGAAATCTTTTTTATCAAACAACTGCAAAGAAAGACAAAGAGAGAATTAAGGAGCATCTGTCAGTCTGTCAGATTCAGAGTTGATATCTTACAAAATGTACCTGACAATAAAAATCTGCCTGATATGGAAAAATTATCAAAGCCTATTAAGAAACAATCCTCAGCTACAAAATTTTCTTCTTTTTGCATAATTCAGGGAAGAAATTTTCCAATGATTTCACCAAGCTTGATGTTCTTCACATGAAAGATTAGTAAGATAAGATACACTGTAATCTATAGTAACATTAGAAGATTGAGCATAACTGCAGTAGATAGCTATGATCCTCCGACCCTGCATTTTCCTTGAAATACTTGTGTCTGATACACTTGCTTCGGAGAAGGAGGACTCTACTACTACTCAACTGACAGAGAGCAAGTCAACTAAAGCGTCTTCAACAGATTTATGTTTCTGTTAAAACACTTAGGTAGATAAGATTTATGTCTTGTATATATTTACATCTTACTACAATAAAACATTTACAATTCGATACCGAGAATTCTTGCTCTTATAATACCCATATCCAACACTCATTCATGAATCTGGTCAGTAATTCAAAAAAGGGAACTGTGACAGTATGCTTTGACAACATTGCATCATTATTTCATAGGAACCATTGGGTCAGGGGATAAACATCAGATGTTTTGGAATTCAGAGAAACTAGCACTTATTAGGTGCCATCATTAGGAAAAAGATAAGTGCGGCTGGTGCTGAATTATAATTTACAAAGGAAGTGCACAAAATGTGGGGTCTAAAGGATTTTAATCCTCATAAAAAAAGAATCTTTAACAAGTCCATGGGATTGAGCATTTGAGCTTCATTACTATTAGTTTGTTGGACTCAAGTCAAATTATTGTCTACCATAAAAGACCTGCCCTAAACCCTAAACCAGGAACTTGTTCAGAAATACTGTAATGAAAGGAACATAGGAGTTTGTCGCTAGGTATTTGACCAAATAGGATCGTCCGGTTCCTATAGAACCTATCACTAAAATACCCCTAGAGGGAGATAGGGATAAGCGGAGCGAAAAGGGTTTTCCATGAGACGGGAAATGAAAACTATTAGCCCCACACGAAGTTTGTGAATAAGTGATTGTCTGATAATGAGCAAGGAATATCCGCCCTTCTGCTAAAGAGGATGTATTGAACTCATAATTCATTAGATACTTTTTATGAATGTCAACTAAATATCATAAGTAAATTGGTCCCGGTAGTTCAATTCTTTGATAACCAGAGTCACTTCCATGGCAGAAGACTATTAAGACTAAATAAGTATCAAAATTTAGAAAATTAAGCTCCTGTAATATAGAAACTATTCCTTTAGAAACAGAAAAAAAGATGAGCATATATGGGAGGAAGACGCTACCATCATTGTACAGTTGCCAAGCTTATTTCATTCAATAATTGATGATAAGCTATTAATAAAGCATGCCAGACAACAATCTTTCAATGAGATAAAAGGAAATGGGCGTGGTTTAAGTAGGATATCAATTTTCATTTCAAACATATAATCAAGGTTCTACTAAAGTGAGAATGAATAAATGTATAGAAAACTTTAACAAGAAATGGAAAATCTTACATGTTCAACAAGTGAGGTTCTGATATACCAGGGAGCAACACAGTTGGTCCGGATATTATCCTTTGCCCACTCACAAGCCAGATTTTTTGTAAGTTGATTAATAGCAGCTGACAATAACAGACGCAAGAGAAATGATGCTTATAAATTGATCTCACCAAACAAGAATAGGTAGTTGAGAAGGGGTGGGAGGAGGTTGTCACACACCAAATAAGAAGGTAATTTACCTTTAGTTGGTCCATAAATGGATCCACTACCTATATGCATTAGACCCGCAACAGAGGAAATGAACACAATGCTTCCTACTCCAGAAGCCTTTAGAAGAGGATGTGCAAGTTGGCACAGATGGTATGCAGATTCAAAGTTAACAGTAATGAGTTTTGAATATTCTTCAGCAGAGTACTCAATTGTTGGCTTCCTGATATTTGTCCCCACATTGTTGATCTAAACCCAGAAGATCATGCACATTATTATGCCAGAACGTTCTTCAAAACCAATAATAATAGAGGTATGTAATATTGTTAAGAAGCATACTTGTTATTCTAGATAATGGGATGTACTAGAAATAGGTAATAAGGAGAAAGAAATGACATGATCAGTAGGAGGGAGTGGGGGAGAGAGAAAAAAAGATGAGAAGCAATTGATGCAATTCCACACTAACACAGATGTCACACTCCTAGAATGAAATATTATGTACAGGAATCAAAGTTGCACCAAGTAACTTCTGATTACTCATAATTTTCAACAGGTACTTTAATTGCAAGGGAAATTGTTCTGAAACTTCTATAAAATATATTCAGTAGTAAATAAAATCCTAACTAGATGACTGGAACCATACAGGACTATTCTTGTTCATATAAACAATCTGATTATATCATAAATGTTCACTTTGCCTATTGATTTCATAGCCTGGGGATATTCTAAATATAAAAAACATTGCCAATTCATAGAAACCTTTAACATAAGTGGTTTTACAAATCTGTAATTAAACCTCTTTTAAGAATTTGAAGTGTTCTATCTACTTAATTGTTTAGAATGCTGATTTCCATTATTTGAAGGCTATGCAATCTTGTCCAATCATAACATTCCTTATCATTGAAAGCTTTAGTCCATCTCCTTGGTGTCCCTATTTGGCCATCAAAAGCTGTGAATCCAATAGGATTTGACTCAAACAACACAATTTCAAGCTTTTATCAATACAAAAAAAGCATAAGCTCACCAACCTCTCCCTAGACCAAAATTAGGCATAGGAACATAAACAATCAAACAGAAGCATACAGCAAAAGAGTAACGACAGAATTTGACTACGTAAACTCTAAACCAAATGACATAATCAAGAAAATCATTCACATCATTCATAAAAACCAAAAATGATTCATATAAATGGTTCTAAGACAAGGCACACAATGGCAAAAACACTTACAAGAATGTTAAGCCTTCCATTGAAAAGAGAAGCAACATTCTCTATCAGTTTCTGTCTCTGGTCTTTACTTGAAGCATCACAAACTGACCCACTCACCAAAAATGCTTTACCTTCCCATTCCTTCAAACACTTATTCAATTCATCTTCATTCCTTGAACATGTGTAAACAGCCGCCCCAAGGCCTGCCAGTTCTTCCACTATAGCATGCCTACAAGGAAAAACCAAAAGAACAAAAATACAAAACAATAAAAAATGTAACTTTGATCATTGGGTTTTATCCAAAATCAAAACTTTATCATTCAAAAACATTGAAAAAAAGAAAAAAAATGAGAAAATGATCAGAGAAAAGATTAAAGAAGAAAAGAAAAGCAAACCCAATTCCTCGTGTGCCACCAGTGACGAGGGCAGTCATTCCACTGAGAAACCATCTTGGTGTTTTAGTTTTGGAGTTGCTAGCTGTCTCTGCCATGGAATTTTTTTTCTTTTGTTACGTAATATTTTTCTCTTCCTTTTTATCTCCTGCAAGTGTTTCCCGGAGTTTGGACTCTGGTTCTTGCCAGATCCTGTCAAAGCCACGCTACGTTACACTTCTTTCAAATTGCTGTTTTTTTGGTCAAAATTTTCCAACTTGTTTGCGTGTTAGAACGTTGTCATAGTTTGAGAAATATGATATGTTTATTGGTTTTTCCTTAAAAAAGACAAAACATAAAAACAATAGTACTACATATGTCTATTAAAAAAATATATTATATATTTCATTTCAATTATTGATACCTAATATGATATTTGTTAAATTCATGCAATTTTTTTATTAAAATTGCAAACAAATTTTAAGTGATTTTTTTTTTTTTTTATAAACATGTTTCTTTAAAGTGATTCTATGGTTTAAATTAGAATGAGAGTTTTACTCATATTCAAAGAAGAATTCAAACTTTTAGGCAAATGAATATTATATTAGAAAAATAGAGATAATGATGAAGATGTGGCTGGCAATGAAAATTGAATAAAACAATTATGATTTTAATTTTTTTTTTTTGAATATAGAAATAGAAATAAATAACATAGTATCTGCTCCGCATCTGTATTGATATTTTATATATGTATATATTTAGTAAATAATTGTTTATTAAATAATATAATTTCAAATTAATTATAATTAATATATTTGTATTTAAAAAAATATTAATATATACTTATAAAAATTATATAAATATAAAAAATTAAAATTAAAGTGAAGTTAAAAAAAAATTCATTTTTTAATTTTTTTAAAAAATTACAAATTCAAAAATTATTCATATTTATTAAAAACTCATAAGAATAAAAGTTCGAATTAACATTCCAGTTTAGACTCAATCATTGGACTTGGGCTGATTTTCGACACATGGTTTAGCTAGCATCTTAGGCTTGGGTCTGCTAACTTGGAGATTGGGCTAAACCAGGCTTTAGACTGGGGTTCACTCAACTTTACTGCTCGACCGTCTTTGTCTTTCATCTTGGCACCTCATTTAACTCGACTTTGACTACTTCTTGAGCCTCATTTTCTTTCTTGTTGCTAGAGATTTATGAATTCTTATCAGTTCAGAAACGAAAACCTTCTCACATTTGTTGTCATGTTTGTTTATCTCGCGTGGTCTGTTAGCAGAATATTATTCCAATCATAATGGAGCGTTGAAATTTTAATTTTATTATCCATATTCAAAGGAACTTTGGCAGAATGGAATGCAATTGCTACTGAATTCATGGTCATTTTCTGAAAATTAGCCCATTTCCTAAGCACCAAGCCTAGCAAAGCTTGTTCAATTGAACCCAAAAGAGAAAGGTCTTCAGCTTGTCACATGAGTTTCTATTCTTCAATAGCTTCATTCATCCTTTCATGCATCATATTACTGCTTGGGATAAAATGGAGGGAAAGTGGGAAACTCATTTCCTATTAATATGATGGTATCACCAAAGCACAACATTTACTTATTAAATAAAATTAAGGTTGGGTTTGGTATAGTTGATACATTCATTTTTTAATTGATCTTGAATTCGAATCTTACAAATAATATTGATTTTTGTGAAATACACAAATTTTTGTTCGGATTTTTCACATGAAAAAGAAAAGATTCACTCACCGATCTGAAACAATTATTGAATGTTTGAGCATTTAAGTACGTCAAATGCTCATCACTTTTTTGATTCTCTAGCTAGCTATCACCAATTTTTGTTGATAGGCAACCAAAATTTTTTTTTTCTTTGGCAACATGTGATTCCTTTGAAACTTTAGGTAACCTTGGGCTAGAAATTTTTTTTCTCACATCATCTAATCCTGAAGATAAACAAGTGTTGGCACAACCACAAGATCCAGTTTCTCAAGGCATAACTAAAAAAGGAAACCCCTTAGCAGTTTGCTCAGAATATATTCTCATTCCCCTTGAGAAAATCCCATAAATGAATCTTTTGAAACCAACATGGAAACAGACAAATCATCCCCCACCACCCATGTGCTTCTCTGCCATTTCACCTTAAATCCTCTCATCCCCTAACCCAATGCTGCCTTTTTTAACATCTTTCCAGGGCATTTCATGGAACCCCAAACCTCAGTTTCCTTCTGTTTCTTTTCCCCGTGTCTGTCTTTAAAAACCTCTGTAAAAAACAATGAACCCCACACCTCCAAAAACACACAAGAAACCATCAAAATAGGAAATTTTGCCGGGGTAACATAAATTTCCTGTATACATAGCAACGCATCAGTGTTTTTTTAAAACCTTTTCTCTGCAGAACTCCATTATTAAGTCAACAGTGATGTATCATCAAATTTCCTTATAAAGTTAAAACGTTGAAAAAACAACTACAAAACACTCAGAGACCTCGCCGTGTATTCTGGAGGATCCATCGGTTTCACTAGGTTACATTGGCTATATTGGCTACCAGGCTAGCTAAGGGGGATTTTTATTTTGATTTTTTTGCAGAGTTTTTTTTAGGCTGTTAGGTTTGGTTTGTTGAAAGTTGAGAGAGTAATAGCCAACTTATAGCAAACAAGTAGTACAAACAAAAGAAACAAGAAAAGTGAAAGTCGAAATTTAATCTAATTATTTTATTTAATTATTTTTAAGATAATATTTAATAGATTTAGAATTAAAATTTTGTAAAAACAATTCAAGGAGGAGGAAATAGTGCCAATGAAGTGAATTGTTTATTTCACCAAGGCGCGAGGAAATTACTATAGTAGCATATAGTTTGACGTGGATGCATTAATTAACTTGATTCCTTTGTGTTAGGTGTAGAGTTTGGACTTTTTGGAGATTATTGAGAAGAGACTGGAAGATAACAGAAAGTTTTCAGAATTATTGGGGGATGAGAAACTGTTAAAAAGTGTAATAAATCTTGGGTTTGATGCATATAACAACAACAATAGTAATAATAATACTTAGCAGGTAAAAAAGAGAATTCCTGTTGTGATGTGTCTCCCAATAGCAGCAGAAGTGACTCACTGTCAGTTCTTTCACACCCTAACAACTCCCACAGTCAAATTCATCAATCCAACTCCTTTTTTTTTTTTTCTCTATTTTTGCTACATAGTTCATGCGTGAAATTACAGTTAATAACAGTTGTTCAAAGTGTAAAAAGGGGAATTATATTGGTTAATTTTCCTTGTCCTTTTAGTAAAAAACTGTTCCTGCAGCATATACACTAATGCAGGATCAGCTGATCCAAAGGACAATTTGTCATTCCAAGTAATAAATCTAAGAACTGTTTTAATTACTTAAATCACTCACTGCCCCAGCCGGGAGAAAACATTGAAAAATTAATATATAATAAACTAAGATGGCCATAAAACAAGGTAAAGACTTTTCTTCTTTAACATGAAAGAATTTAATTGCTTAACAGATAAACATTAGATATGGAGATGGAGATTTTTATTGTAGAACATGATCTTCTGGTATTAGTCTTTGCTTATTTTAATAATTCTGAAAGGACACCTGAAGATTTCATCTGTGATTATTAAGATTCTAAGTAGCATTTATCATAATCTAGCATTTATCATAATCTCCAAATCATTATCTTCATCATCAGAAAAAAAAAGAGAGTTGGAATGTCAAAACAGATAAAAAAGCCGGAAAAACTAAGATGCTATACTATAGATATATCGGAATATAAGAAACATGATTGGAAAATAAGCTTTCATTATCTGCAGTGCACAATTATACGCCTTGGCCTGTTTTCCAGTGAATATCAAAGAAGTGACATGAAGGAACAAGAAAATCAAAGTTAGACTGATATATTGATTTGTTGATTTCTGTTGCAATACTTTGATCCATCCATTACTGTAAAACACCAAGCCTGAGCTCAAGATCCAAGTCCTCCATGGAGCCTGCTGCAGGCTTAATTCCAAGAACCTGCCATTGAAGAGGAGAATATTGCTCTTTTGAAACTAAAAACGGCAGTGTTGAAACAGCAATCTTTGGACGTTTGTAATTGATTGCCTCATCTCCACAAGTCACAGTTGGTCGGTTTTGGAAAAAGACAGAATTCAACCCAACAGACAAATTGGTTTCAACGTGATCATGATCGGAATGTTGGCACATAGAATCTTCCCCTACCAGCTTGATACTCTTTTCTGCGTCAGGTTTTGAATCAGATGAAATAATAATGTTGTTGAGAGTTCTTTTTGCAGTAGAATCTGACCCAAATAACTGCGCTTTGTGCTCTTCTTGAACTATGGAATAAGTTGTAAAATTTTCATGAGTAGATAAAGCTGAAACCCTAGAAGCTGAAAAACTTGAGGCAACAGTACTAGGGTTATGGTCCAGATCATCAGTCTCATGTGGGAATTTGGGCTCAGGATTTTGGTTGTGATTTTGATGAGGAACAACTTCATTGTTGGGACAAACAGATTGTTTAAGCCTAGCTCTATCTCTTCTATGAACATTCATGTGACCACCCAGAGCTTGAGCTGACCTGAATTCTCTCCTGCAAAAACTACAAGAATATGATCTAGGAGGCCAAATACATCCCCCCAAAGACCCTGCCGCATCTTCTGCAAAAGCTTTTTCTTCCCAGGAATCAGCTAAAGAGTTCACTGATACTTGAAAATGGGACTTTAAAAACCCATGTCTCCTCCTCATCCACATCCAATACTGAGCCTGTTCCATGGGGTTTCTTTTCCCTTCTTTTTTGACAGAAAATTGATTGACTTAAAGAACAAGAAATGATGATTCTGAAATAAGAAAGAGATAGACTTTGAAGTGGTTTGACATAAGCAATTTCACTGGGGAAATAGGATCATCGGTTGGGGCAAGAGGTTAATATAGAAGTGAGGGTACATAGATTGGCAGCAGCTAGCCGGTACAAATCCTATTGACATTGAATACATGAAAACTACATGAGGGAAAAAGGCTGAGATGAAAAAGTCTTGTTGCTAGCTTTTGGGGGTTTAATTTATTGGGCTTTGCTTTGGCACATCCAGTGAAGCTATTTGCTTGTTTTTTAGCTTATTTGGTACACTGTCATTGTTATTTGGTATTATTTTGGCAATATTTTCCAAGGGTCCCATTTTTGAGCAATTGTCAAACATTGATCCACATGTGTGAAAGAACTAACGGTCATTAATACAAGATGAAAATAGCTATTTCATTAAGTTCTCTTTGCTTGGTTTACACAAACTGAAAGTAACTCTTTTCTTCCTTTCTTTTTTCTTTTAAATATTGTTAGAGTATTGTTCTCAGGTTTTACTAGAAGATTTTAAAAACGCATGCTTTCACATCTGTACGATGCGATACATTCAAGATTTTGTTCTCGAAGTTTTTTTTCCATGCTGAATTGACAAAGAAAGAAAGCTCCTCTCCTTACCATATATGGACTAACCCTTTTCTTATATTTACATTCCAAAACCTTCAAACTCTAATTAATTCCTGAAGATCAGAATACCAATCTGATTAGGAAGGATTTCAGACAAAACATGTTCAGCTTAATACAAAATGTGCTAGGGTTTCTAATCAATCTGTTTTGAAGCAAGTAATTTTAATTTGAAAGTTTCAAGTTTTAGCTGAAATGACATATAGATTGAGACAATTAATAATGCAAAGTTTTCAAGTCAAACGATTTGTGAGAAGTGTACACATACAAAAGTTTGGTCATGTTCTTCAAACAACATGTAAATAAACAAATATGTTTATAATGTCTCTCAAAATGAATATCACTACATTTTTTTTAATCAAATACCCTCTTGGACCTTTCCCCTTTTCTCAACTGAATCTTTCAACAACCATCCAAAGAGAGAGGGAGACGACTAATATTTTTTATTCATGGAGCAATTAATGAGTAAACTAGTGTCACAAAAAATTTTTGATACCGATAGAATTAAATGGGGACATTTGAAAACTGACAAGGCCCCTCATTAACGTTTTTGATGGATTGATCAATAAACTAAACAAAAATGATTTTTCACGTTTCTTTTTTTTTTTTTTTATAAAAGAGGTCACAGTGGAAAAGAAAAAGGGGTTATAGATGTTGGGATTTGAACTAAAAAATGCTACATGTCACCTCTTACACGAACTAACTGTATGAAATTTCTAATCTACTCATGAATTTTCTTATCCTTATACTTATATAGTTGAAAAAAATGCTAAGTGCATAAACTAATATAAAACCCGTAATTTCCAAATTTTAACTCCAATATCGTGTTAACTAATTCAAAGATTAATCGTCGTTGTCCGTGTTAAAATTTGTTTACTCTATTGGGGGCATTTTTTTAACTCATTCAAATCATAATTAGAAGTGAAATTCATTAGCTAGTTTGTTACCTAATACTGTTTTGATGTTAGAGTGAGGCTTTAAATATTAAAGGGTTCATAGAAGTGAAGATTAGAGCAATTGTTATGACACTTAATAAGGTTATTTCTTAAAGCCTATATCCTTCTCGATATTTACTTTTCCTTCGATATTATTCTACAAAACAAAACCAATAAAACCAATTAGTGGTCCAATTTGTGGACATGAGTGCATTAATTTGTTTCCTGTCGTTATTTTTATTCCTTGCTTAAATTACAAGGGAACTGACTTATTAAAAGATCCAATTGGCAATGATAAACAAAACAAGAGCTAGGGCACAATTTTGCTTTTTTTCTAAGTAATTGGTTATAATTCTAGATTCCAACATTTTTAGTACTACGGTAAGTATTTTCGGGTTTTGCCTTGATTTATCTCGAGATGATTTTAAAAGTACATTTTTTCACATTTAATATATTTTGAATTTTATTTTCAAAATGTTTCCATAATAAAAAAACAAAATATAATATTCAAATTTGATAAAACATATGAGATGATAGAAGAATACTTCATGTTTTTTTTATATAAAAAAAAGCCATAAGCTCGTAATATGAAAAATTATTGCAGGTGTAACGTTTTTAATTTAAGACTTATGGAATGTTACTTTTTAAGAATGATTACGTGAATTAATTAAATTAAATTTTGGATTAGTCTAAGGTCCGAAGATTTGATGTTTCTACATATAGTTCAAGACTTACATTCAATTATTTGCCTATCAAGAAGATCGTTACCTAATCTAGTTAATTGAAATTGTTCTTGGATTAGCATATAAAAAATAAAGCTTTAGCTATAGCCTAGGGGTGATGACATAAGCTCTTCGGTTACAAGGTCCTTATCTTGTTCATATCTTAGCATGAATTTCATTAGTTTGCCACAAACAGCCAATAAATGATTCCTTTGCATGCATAGCCAAGACCCAAATACCTCCAAAGTACACATTTTTATTCTTTCTTTGTGTGGTAGCTGGGTCAAGATCGCATAATTCCAAAAGCTTAAACAATAAGAGAGAAAATGAAGATGAACAATACTTAATAATCTGAATCATTGACTATTGAAGACTAATAGACCTTTCTTAAACAAATTAAACTATATAAAAACATTGTCTTGTACTTATAGATTCTGCCTAAAATGTCTTTACTCTTCAACTTGTTGGGAGAAGGAAAACTTTGAAAAAGAAACACATATCAAATTAAAGTTTTATGACTTGATTACAAACCAACAAATGGATAACTTAATAAAATGAGTTATATATTTATAAAAATAGATCGATAATAGAGCGATATAAAAATAATTATATATATATATATATATATATATATATATATATATATAGTATTAGCCAACTGATCAGAAAGATCAAGTGATGATGTATAGTATGCAATAATATTAGGTATGATAAATAGATACACATAAATTTAGATTCATGGAGGAAGTTGGCAAAATGATAAAAATGAAACCGAAATAATGAATAAAATCGAGTTTGTATTTATAATTATTTTGGTCCAGTTTAGACTGATATGTATAATTGTTAACACTTGAACTTTGTATTTATAATTATTTTTCATGCTATTCCCTAATTCATATGACATTTGCTGAGAATTTTTCAGGAATTTGGCCTGGAAATGAAAACTGACAAACTGATGGCAATTATTAATTTGAAGAGTTAATGTGTATTGTGATGGAAAGTAAATATTCTTAAAGAATAAAGCACAATTTGTAATTCATATATACAGAAATCTCAAGCAAGTCCCTTTCATTTTATATTAGTTAATACATAAGCTAAGGACAATGTTAGCTGGGTGGTTGAACTCTCGAAAGGCACAAAAGACTCATATCTTATCAATCAACACCAAATCTGTTTGTACATGGTTATACCTTAAATGAACCAAAAAAAAAAGAAAAAAAGGAGAAATGACAGTGAAAAAGGGTTGTAAAATGTACCTTGGGTGTATGATAGTTTAAAAAAGAGTGAGGTTTTAATGAAGCAAAGAAGGGACTTTGGTGGGTTTTTTACTGAGAATTTTTTTGAATGACAAAGAAATATTGTTAAAACGATAGAGAAGAGCCATGTTTTTTTAGGGTTTGTTGTTGGTGTTGCTGGGGTTCTGACAATGCTATGGCAGATGATATCGACAATGATTTTGTCTTTTCAGTTTAGTTCTTTTCATGATCAGCTTCAAGGGCTTGGGTTGTTAAAGGTTTGAAAACCCTGCAGATATGTTGGTCCAAATTGTCTATGGCTTAGCCCAACTATGCTTTTTGCTGGACCCATGGTTGGGTCCAAATATTATAATAAAAGGTTAGGTCTATGGTGGAGTGGCCCGGTTACTTTAAACAATCGCCAATGGGGTTGAAATAAATTGGCCAAGCACTGGAACTTAAGCTCAATGACCATTTGATTTAGGGTCCATTTAGATGGTTAGTAAGATTAATTTCTGTGAAATAGAATACAATAATAAAAGTTATTGTTGCTACGATTAGAAAAAAAAAATACTATAGCTGCCATTAAAAAAAACTCATAAAAAAATTTATATTAAATGATTCTTGTTAGATTTGATATTTGAATTTAACTATATGGCATTGAAGGTACTATAGAATCCAAACCCCCAACTTAGTAGTTGATGCACACATCTTATCTGGTGCAAATCTTAGTTTTCTCAAACAAAAAAAGCTCAGGCCCAACTCATTGGTTGAAAATATCAGAGTTTAAGCTTAGGCCTTAATGGATTTGGGCTTGAGTTTTTTTTAGCTATGAGAATTGATAAAGGGGTTTGATAGCTAGCTACAATTACACATGTTTTTAATGAATATTTGAAAATCATGAGTCAATAAAATTAATTATTAAATCAAATGTTGCGGATATTTGTGTGTTTATATATTTCTTTTTAGGTGGAGAGACTACTCGTGTGGATAAAACTTGATATAGCAGAAAATTGCTATGAGGTTGTATGAGATATATGCCAATTTTTATTAAAGACTATTTTTTTTTTTTTTGTCATTTAGGGGGTAGAGTCCTACATTAAAGGGGATGAGAGAAGGTTGGGGTTCTAACCCCGACATTGATTTTTTTTTAAGGTTGTCTTAACTATTAAACCAAATAACTGAAGACATATTACTCTAATTATTCACATATAGGTAAAGGGTTCTTTATTTTATTTATGAAAAATGTTAGAGTGGCTCTAGCCTAAAGCCTAGAGGTGGTTGTTAAGGTGATATATAAAGAAAAAAATTTGTAATTAATTATGTAATATCTTTTATGAATTTGGCAAAAAAAGTGAATTAAATGAAAATTCATATTTTAAAATAATAATTTAACTAACACTAACAAATGTCTATGAACATATATTAACTGAATTTTTTTTTAATTTTCAATTTCCATATAAAAAAAAAAACTCACACACTTTACTATAAAAGTAGCAAACGATAAGTTCGGATTATAGCAATTTCAATTTAAATCATTTTGAGTTCGAATTATTTTATATTTAATTTTTTTTTATTTTTTTATCAAATCGAATTTAAATAATTTTATCGCTTGTCTATGTTTTCACCATCCTGCAAAAGAGGAAATGTAAACATTAATGTCAATAACAATTAAACATTAAATGTTGTGTAAATAAATTCAGAGCAGGAATTTAGTGATAAGTAAGATATGGTGGGGGAGTTATGACTCATGAGGTAGAGGTGTGGAAGAACCTGGCAAAGCTGATTGCATCTTGCAAAAGAACATAACAATTGGGACTTACATTAAATGTTACTTCCTATATCCTAATTAAATTTTTTTAATTATTTTTTATTAATATTTTTAAAATTTAATTATTATTATTTTAAATATTTTAATTAATTATATTTTCTAAAATTTTTTCATATTTTTATCAATAATAAATATAAAACAATAGAAAGTTGAACTTTTAAAAATTTGATAAAAAAAAATCAAAATGTAACAATTTAACAATTGTCTATAGCTTAAACAGACTGAAGAAAGAGGTTAAAGACAATTAAAATACTATTTTTAAAAAGATTTTTGTATTTTTTTAGGTAAAAATGTTTCTACATTTTATCTATTTTAAGAGAAAAAAATACATTAATTATATATTTTTATTAAAAGTGAAAGAATTTTTTAAAATTTTAAATAAAAATTTAAAGTGTTAATAAGTACTATTGAAAATTTCAATTAAGATTCAAATCATAAAATTGCTTTGGAATTTGGAAATTTTTATAGCTTTTGTCGGTTAGATCTTCCAATTCCATATTTTTTTGAACATTATAAATGTGCAATTAATGCTTGAGCCTAAATTCAAAGTATATTGAAGAAGTTAGAGGGGTCTATAGTTTCGATTTTTGTCATTATATATTTAATGTTGTTCATTTTGTGGCAGTGTACAATATATTGTAGCAATGACTACTGATCAATATGATAACTGCATATGCCTTAAAAGTTAAAACCTTTGAAATTCTGCTTCTCAATTAACCCCACCATATATTTATATTATATAAAATATTAATAATTTATATATTCATATTATATTTTATATAAAAATTACGTGTTATAATTCATATTAACACGAAAATATAAAATATATTTTTTTAATTTTATTAAATTTATTTATAATTTTTGCTAAAATTTTAAACTGTATTATCTTCGTATCTTTTATTCATATCATATCATTGTATCATATTTAAAATTATCAAGTATATTATCACCTTTTAGCTGAGAAAGTAAAATTTTTTTTTTATTTTGTAAAGTTTTTTTCATGCTGAGTATATTTTTTTATTTTTTCCTGGATAACATGCTCACTATTTTTATTCATTAGTTTATATATTCATAAATCGTGATAATGATAATGATGATTATTGTTGAATGTATGTTGTATCATAAATATGCCAATTGAGCATTAGCTTAGATGATATAAATGTTGAAACAGTTCCTAAAAGTTGCGAGTTCGAAAATTTAAACGCTTAATATTCTTTTCAAACGAGTTAAGTAAACATTGATTGAGAATTAATGATAAATTAAAAATTTTAAATAAAAAAGTTGTAATATATAAGTTTTGAGTGGGAAATAAAAACATGTATATAACATTGTATTTTTCCTTCAATTTCAATTTACATGAAAACAAGTTGGAATTAATGGAATTATATGGTAATTTTCCCTTGCATTTGATTTACTCAAATTTAGATCTTTACATTCTTTTTATTCATTACAAACTTACAATGTTGGACTCTTTAAGTTAAAATAAATTTTAAAATTAATAAAGGATTTATTTCTATTAATAAGATAGTTCATCTCAACATTAATAAATAAGTTTCAAAATATTTCATCCGGTGTGAGCTTTAAATGGATAATTTTTATTAGATATGATATATTTTATCATGACTTAACGTAAACAATTTATCTAGCTAATATGAAATTTTTTTTAATATTTGAGATCTTTAAAAATTCAATTTTAATCACTTAATTAAAAAGATAAATATATTAGAATTAAGAAGATAAATGTAATATTTTATTTTTTTGGTCAAAATAAATTTAAGAGTACCGGAGCTTACTTCATTTTCAATGTCAAGGTAAACCCTCAGCTCTTAAAATCGAGATAAACAATCAATTTACAATGTATTTTTGTTGATAAACGATCTGTAAATAAAAAATATATATAATATTTTATTAATAAATCAGATGGACGTCTTGAAAAATTTCAACAATCAAATTCAGAAAAAGGAAAAATGAAAGATGATGATTGAAAGTGCATATAAGCCCCTTTAAGAAACTTGGCGTCATCAAAGATGCTTGATTCCATTTCAATCCATTCGGAGACAATTCCATGTACAGAAACATCTAGGGCAACTTTTTTTTTCTTTCTGTATTGAAGATGCTAATGCTATTACCAAAATGCTTTGGTAAGCCAAAAAGAAAATAAACAAAAGAAAAGATTCTAAAGGGAACAAAAAAAGCAATAGATATATGTGCACCGAAATGGGGCAGTGAGGCAGCAGGCAGCAGGCAGCAAAAACAGAGCGAAAAAACATGCGGTGTTTGACTGAAAGAAAGAGAGTTCAAGTAAACGACTTGAAAGAGAAGCAAACGGTGCGGCCCTTCGCTGGCTAGCTAAGCCAAGTTTTGGGTGGTGAAATGTTCCAGTCTGAGTCTCTCCCTTTGTCTTGGCATTTGATACATTGTCGGGACATGAAGACAATGACGTGTTCCCACCTCTCAAACTCTTTCTTTCTTGTTCCTCTCTCTCTCTCTCTCTCTCTCTCATGTGCACGTTACCCCACACCATCTGGGAGATTTGGAGAGACAGTGAAGCTCTTATGGTATTAGTTTAATTTTTAAGTAAATTTGATAATTTAAAATATTATCTAATGATGTAATATAATAATATAAATAAAAATTAAAAAATATATAATTTAAAATTTTAATAATAATTATAAATAAATTTAATAAAAAATATATTTTATATTTTTATATCCATATAAATAATAATAATTAATTTTTATATAAAATATAATATAAATATATAAATTTTAATCTTTTATATAATATAAAAATATGAATATTCATAACTAACAAGTGATTGGTTTAATTAGTTTAAATTCATTTTTTTCGACGAAAAAATTTTAAATTTGAGTTTTATAAATGATTATTTGTTGAAATTATTTAAAATATACTATCTATAATTATTTATTTTAAATTATCAAATATGATATATTTTATTTTGACTTAAAAATTAAGTAATTTATCTATCTTAAATTTTGTCTTAAAAAAAAATGTTGAGAGCTGCTTTTCAATAATAATGAAATGAAAACTCATCTTGGTTTTGTTACATTCCCTTTCACCCATTTCTCCGATAACCTTGATCTTAAACCCTTCACATCATCACCACAACCAATCGTATCAATGATCATCACATGGAGACATTCTAGCTAGCACATGGTTAGGTACCCTACTTGCTATATAGGCTTTCTTTTGGTGCATGCTTGCATTAATCAAATGTAGTTAGAAATTGAATTATTAATTAAACATCAGTTTATATTTTTTTGATTTGATTGCAGATATAAATTAAAATAGGTTTATTCAATTTTTATATTAAAAAATAAAAATCTGAATCCAAAATTTTTAAAGGAAAAAAATACATTAATTATTGAATCAAGCAAAACTTGGGTGCCCTCATTTGCAATTTTATTTTAAATGAAATTCAAATTTTGTCAACTTAGGTAAGATTTGAAAGTTAAAATATTGAATTCTTCAAATTCTAAAGTAAAATTTTTTTTTTTTTTTTGCATTTAATTGGAGGGATGTAAAGTTTATAAATTTAACGATCTTGTTTGAAAACAAATTGTATAAATTATTGAAAATATTTTTTCTTGTTGAACCACTGAAACTCCTTGATTTAAAAATGGAGAAATACTAATATTACTATATAAAGTGATCAATCATTGGTAGATTATTCATTTTAGAAGCAAGATTCTATCATTATTTTTGGTACATTTCCCTATTCCAAAGCTAGTCATGCTTTGGAATGTAGCATATAAAAGCCCATGCAACTGGGGGCTTGAAAATTAGTCATTTCCAATACAGTCCAAATCCAAAAACTCAATCCCAACGTCCCCAATCAAAATCAACCACATGATAACATCAAGGATGAACAGTCACCATATACTGATGATTGGGTTTGCAAGTTTGTAGATGTAGATTATAAATGCTCATCCCCTCGACTCGTTGAAGGACGTTTAGCTTGAAGCAAACCCTGTAAAGCCAAAAACAAAAACAGTAAAACAAAAAACCAGGGAGACAAAGGGAAACCGGGCTCTGCAAAACCGCTATATTAATGGCGTTTTGGACATAGCAATCGTTATATCGTACAAAATCCTGTGAGAAAGCGAAACTGAGGGAAAAAGAGTCAAGTGATATAGCTTTAACGTACACTTTGCAGCAGGACTTAAAAACCCCAACAGGGTTAGGCTCTGCAACTGCGAGCAACAAGGGAAAAAACTGAAGAGGACCCCCCTTTCTCCTGAAACCAAGCTAGAGTTAACCGTACTAAGCTGAGAGATACTCGTAGTGTGATTTGATTCCATGATTTTCGTTTTTTTTCTGTAAATTGAGTGAGAGGAGGTACATCAAAAGTTTACCTTTTTTCCTCAAACAATCCTTTTTCCAGTACTAGAAAAAAAACCAAAAACAAGAAAAGCAAAGCAGATTTCACCTTCACCACTGAGTTACTTCAAGTTTCACGTAGCTGCAATCAAGGTATTTTTACAGTTTGAAGTTGGGATTTTGAAATTTTTTTTTTTTTTGTTTCTTTGGGAGGGTTTTAGAATGAGATTTTGTTGAAGAAAAGAAGGGTTGTTTTGGATCAGTCTTTGAGGTTAAAGGTTAGGGTTGCAAAAACAGGAGGAACCCATATCTTAAATGTCTGATTCATGCAATCTAGTGGAACAGATAAGGTATTGGATTGTATCAAGTAGATTTGGTGGATAGAGATCTCTCTCTTTATCTACTACAGCAAACAAACAAAGAAAAAACAAGTTTTTCATTTCTTTAACGGTAACAAAGAAGATCTTCCCATTCATTTTGGTTTTCTTTTCTTAATTTCCATCTTGATTTATTGCTTTGATTCCCCCTAAAAAGGTCTGTTTCTTGCTTTTGAACTATGGCTAATCGTTGGTGGGCTGGAAATGTGGCAATGAGAGGTGTTGATTCAATAACTTCAACTCCATCTCTTCACCTTAGAAACCCATCTGAAGAAGATCATCAAATAGCTTTGAACCGCCTTGGACCCAGACGAGAAAACCAAGATTTTAGAGATAACATTAGCCCCTCCAATGCCAGCACTAGCAGCCCTAACCAAAACCAAGAAGACAATGAAGATAGCCGAGACAATGTTGAACCTGAAGACCGAAGTCTTGCTCTTGAAACCATTGAACCTGGTTCAAGTTCAGCTTCTCGCCGTCCTAGAGGTAGACCACCTGGTTCAAAGAACAAACCAAGGCCCCCCGTTATTATAACCAAAGAAAGCCCTAATTCTCTCCGTAGCCATGTGCTTGAAATCACTAGTGGCAGTGACATTGCTGAGTGTATAGCTAATTTCGCTCAGCGTCGCCACCGTGGCGTGTCGGTTTTGAGTGGCAGTGGTATTGTTGCCAATGTTACCCTTCGCCAACCAGCTGCCCCTGGTGGAGTGGTCACTTTACATGGAAGATTCGAGATTCTATCACTATCCGGTGCATTTTTTCCTGCCCCATCTCCTTCCGGAGCTACGGGACTGACGGTGTATTTAGCTGGCGGGCAAGGGCAGGTGGTGGGAGGGAGTGTGGTTGGGGCCCTGGTAGCGTCAGGGCCAGTGATGGTTGTCGCGGCGACGTTTACAAATGCGGTTTATGAGAGGTTACCAATAGAGGATGATGATAATAGTGGTGGGGGAGGCGATGGCGCCAGCGACGGGATTGGGGTGCAGCAGCAAGGTAGTAACAACAAAAATAGTAGTAGTGGTGGTGGTGGTGCTAATTCAGGGTCTCAGTCTCAAGGTTTGGGTCATGATAATCAGCAAGGTGGTTCAATGCCTTTGTATAATCTGCCTACTAATTTACTGCCTAATGGACAAATGCCTCATGATGTGTTTTGGGGTCCTCCACCACCGCGTCCACCGCCATCTTATTAACACGAAAGGGGAATGGATTTGGAGATAGAGGTGAAGGTGGAGAGACTGTAGAAGGTGCTTTGATTAGCTGACTGGTTTTGTATAAAAAATGTAATGACAATTTCCATGTAAGTGTAGGGAGAAAGGACTTTTTGGATTAGTTTCTGATCTTTTGTGAATTTAATCAAGTTCATGGTGAGGTTTAATTATGTTTTAGAGGTGCTTTTGTAGAACTTTGTAGAAGTGTTTCTTGTTTTTATTCCCTAATCAGCTTTTTTTTTTTGGTGTAGCAATGCATCTTTGATGATGTAGGTAAATAAATGGAATATTTCTTCCTATTGAGCAAATTTTCTTTGGTGCAAGCTCTTTAATCTGTGGTTAAGTTTTACGAGTAGTCTTTTGGTATTTTTCTTTTAACTCTATTTGATCAACTTTCTTGGAGGAATGCATGTTGATGATGTAGGAGAACGAAATTGAAGTGAAGAAGTGGGTTGAAAGGAATATGATCAGAAGATTCTTTTCATGGTATGCTTGTTAAAACTTATCTTGTTTTCTCAATATTTTATGATTCTCTTTCTTTTTTTTTAATGAACAATGACAATGGTGCTGACTGCTGAGAAGCTTGAGATAGTACTTCAATGTTAGCCTAGCTAGTCAGGTTGGCAGAGCTTTGACTAAGAAAACTTCACTTTGGTTTGCTGAGATAAAGAGAGAGGAAATTTTGGTTGGGGGGCAAATGATGGGAGATGAAAAGTTGAGGCTGATTCATCTGCATTGTCCCAAATTAGGTTGTTTCAGCAGTCAGCACTACTTGAAATTTTAACATCATTCAAATGGGTACTCCAAAATCAAGTACAACTGAGTTTCCATACTTTACATATGTGAGTCTTTGGGTTGCTTATTGCGATATTTGACATTCCTCCAGGATCATCTCAAACTGCCACATGGCTTCTCAAATCTGCTTCTACTAGCTACTAGTACTTCCTACCAATTTTTAAAGGACAGAAAAAAAGTAAGACCCTGTTAGATCAAAATCTAGAGCATATTTTGTTTGTTAATGCCTCAATTTGTAGCATTTTTGACTTCTGAATTGTTTCATTTGCCTCATTAATGCCTTTTACCACTACTCAGCCGCCAATGAATTTGAATAGAGACTGAGATTTTTCCATTTACGTATAGTATTTTTGTTGTCTCTGTCATAAAGTTTATTGACTAATTTGTTAAGTTTGATCTTATCTATTGCGATTGTCATTTTGTTTGCTAGTAATCGAAGAGGCTATATTTAGATATAAAATATAAAATAGAAATTAATTACAAAATCAGTTAAAACCTAAAATAATTGTTTTTGTAAGGAAAAAAAAGGTCTAAACATGATTTTTAGTTTCTCATATATATATATATATATATGTTGATGTCTCTTTTTAGTTTGATGAAGTATTTCAATTGTTTTCTTTAAATGCAGACATTGCCAATTGTTATAAAGAATGTAAAGGGTTTCTTCTATATTAAAACACGAGAAAATTATATATAAAAAAAAATTATCTCATCCACTGTCAGTCGAGTTTTTAAATTTCATTAGCTTAAACAGTTTTGAGTATTTTAGTATGACCATTGCCTGTGCATTAAACAAGTCTGATTATGCAAATGCAGTATTGGTTTCAATTAGTTAGGCTGGAATGAATATGTATTTGAAGTCTTTTTGTTTCATTTTTCTCCCTTTAGTCAATGGTTGTTGATATGAGGACAAATTTCTATGGTAGTAGTTATTGAAATTAAATATGTGAAACAAGTATCAAAAAGCAGATAACTAGTTTTACCTTCTTAAAACTTGTAAGAAAAATTTTAAACCAAACTTGATGCCATTGTTTAGAAAGTCAATCCTACTCTACCAAACTACTGATGCAAAAATGCTCATGGAAGTGTGTAGATAGGTTTACTCCTCTATTTGCATGTTCTTTTCTGTGATTTTGTTTACATCTTAACCCTTGTTTCGGGGCATGGTTGTTGATCATGAAAGGAATCTTAGGCTTCATTATAATTGCGTCAATGAAATATATATCAAGGGAAACAATTTTTGTAGATTGTTAGAATGGGGGATTCGAACTCAAATGGTTTTTTGATAATTTCGAGGAATGCTTTGGTTATCTCTAAACTATTGATCCACCATCATGGTTTTCCTCCCCCTCACCTCAATCCATATCAGAAATGCAGTTGCTTGTGTGTAATTTGATGCCCACACACTTGACCCTACAATGTACATAAATCTTTATTACAGTATTATGGAAATGTTTGTGGGACTAATGTAGTTACAATGTATGACATTTTGGTTGAATATAATCGCTGAGGCTGGCTTTAAAACAGCTGATTACCATTAATTCTTATTGCGCTTTTTATGTCATTAGAAATTTGAATGGAACTTGGTTCATGGAGAATTGGTGTAATTATTATTGCTCGTAACAGGTAAAGACCATGAAAACACTGTTTCTTTTTCCCAGTTGCCAAACAAAACTGATCAAAACGTCAATATTGCATGTATTCTTGGGAAAGTTCAGCCAATACAACTTGGTTACCTATTCGGTCTACACATGCATTTGCTGTAGCCACGATTTGCTGCTGGTGATTTAACATTCCATTCCATCGATCCAGCTGTATATATCTCTATCATGCTATTAAATTCAAACATTCTAGGGCACTAGGGGAGAAATTGGAAGGGGGCACATTGCTCAGCATCATCTTTAATTTGATGCAACACCATTGTTTGAATGCACCAGTCATTTCTGCTGAAGCACCTTTTGCAGATGGGTAGTTCAGCAAACAGTTGATTTAGTAAATATGCTCATCATCTTGCTTTTCTGATTGGATGGGAAACACTTCTGAATCAACCATTTTATAAGATAGGACATAAAGTAATTGCCCATTTCCTGAAAAAATTACCTATAGGCTTGCTGTTGCATTTTCCAGGGGAAGAATATAGACCATTTTTATATCATTCATGTCATGTTAATTACATCTTATAGTCACTCTATTATTCAATCATTTTCAATTTCTTCTACTACACATTTCAGAGGGTGAAGAGCATAGTTATAAGAACCGGATTGAAAGAACACAGGAGATGAAATTACTAAAATTAACTTCCCTTGTACAGTTAGTAAAATCGCCTGAACTATCCGTAAAGTTCTAAACTTTTAATTTTAGTGATTAAGATTGAAATTTTGACAAACTCAAAACTAAACCGGAATCCATGCTAGCACACACATCTAATTAACCAGGATTAATGATGTGCATAAACATCTCCTGGCAAGCTATAATGTTAATCTACTATTCTAGTTTCAGGAAAGCAAAAAATTATTACAGCAATGGATCCAGATTGATTAGCAGACTGCATGGCCAGAAGTACGAACGTTGGGTGAGCGAATGAAAGGTGGGGGCTTAGGGTTTAGGTTGGAGTGTCAGCCTTGGATCACGGGTGGATAAGGTCAAAGGAAAAAGGCTCTTTCTTCTACAGCCACAAGATCATTTGCAGTCCAACGTGTAAACGGGTTTATTTTTAATACATGGGTCTAGGTTTAATCAATTAGATATAATAATTTTAAATACGATAATATGATATAAAATAATATAAATAAAAAATATAAAAATGATATAATTAAAATTTTAATAAAAATTATAATTAAATTTAATAAATATATTATATTTTCAGGTCAATTCCAAATGCAATAAGTAATTTTTATATAAAATACATTATAAATATATAAATTTTTAATAAATTATACTACATAAATATAAAAATTATCAAGTTTATAACTAGCCAATGCCTTCATTTTTGTTTAGCTTTATAATTTTTCATATTAGTATTTTTTTTTAGATTACAACTAAAGTTCGAACTTGAAAATATGTTAATAAACTTTGAGAAAATACTTTTAAAGAATGTTACTTAAATTGCTTAAAATTCTTATCATTGTGTATTGATTTTGATAAAATTATGGATGTATAAAACATAAATATTCTTTTCCATTTTCTTTTTTAATTGTTAGTTTCTTTTTATTCCTTCTTCTTTGCTCCTAAGTTTGAAAGGAGCTTTGATCCCTCAATACTCAATTAATAAACAAGGAAATCTATTTCTATTTCAACTTGGTGAAATCATTTGAGGGATAAAAAGGAAGAAAATTTTACTAAATCTAGAGTTATATTTACTAAATCTGAATATATGCCTTTAAATGAGTATTTTTCATGATCTTGACTGATGGCCATCCATGTTCTACATAATTGATGAAAAAAATGTAGAAGCCAGATTATCATGTTTCAAAAAAAAAAAAAAAAACTTCAATGCACACCAAATTAAAAGGAAAAAAAATAGAAAATTTGGGTTTTTATACCCCCAGTTTACCTTTTTTTTTTTTTTGACAACATGTTAACAGTTGAAAGTGTCAAATAACATCACATTTAGAAATAGAAAAACTCTGGTTCTTTGCAGCTGAAGCAGAGTTCTTGTTAGTAAGTAGTAATGTTTATTGTATCTATCCATCTTTAAATATTTTCTGTTGCTGATAAAACATTGGAAAATGATGCTAGAAACCACGGTTTTTGATATATATATTTAGTTGAATTTTTTATTTATTGACAGTTTAATTTTGAATTACCGAAACATCCATATGGCCAATTTGATTCAATGGTCTTTTTGCTTAGGATTGGTCAGTGGTGGCAATGAATATATACTTCTTGCCCTTATGCCTCAGCCCGGGCCTTTGCTTCTTGATTTTTGCCAGTTCCCTTTGTATTCCAAGCACTGAAACATGGACAAGAAATACCCAAGCCCACAGTTACAGGTACTTCAAAGTTCCAGCCAGTTTGCTCATGTCATTGGACCTTCCAATTAGTAAAAGGAAAGTCCTTTTTCTCTGACAGTATTAATGTATTTTGTTCCATGGATCTTTAGCTTCTTCTTACATAGTAGTAGAGTAATATTCTTGATGGTTCAATCCATTCTTCTTTCTCATAGAAAATTTTAATGTCCATTGTCTAATTTACAAGCCCAAGTGGATGCCTGATCTTACTTGACTAAAACTCTTTCCTGAGCAAAATTGATGACGACTTTAATCCTGTATAAGAAACAAACCAGAAACAGAACAAGTTATTTCCACCTATGGTGTCGAGGTTTTTTGTTTCTTTTTTTTCACATCGGATTCCTTGTAAGTTCAGGCATCTCCAGGTATGTCTAATTCTTACTAAATGAATTCTTAACTTGTTTTTTTTTCCCTCACATAATAAGTTTGTTTTTAGAAGAAAAATAGAATTGAAGGGAACAAGAACAGTTCATAATTCTAAACCACTTCTAGTAGAGTTTGGCTATGACTGTTGACAAGAATTCCATCTAGATCAATCTTGGATTTGTTGTTAATTACTTGTTTGATAGAATTCAATAACTCAGCTTGTATAGCCCGCAACAAAACTTATATATCATTCAATGGATATATTTTCCTCTGCTTCTAACTGATAAAGTTGCCAGTAGTTTTGACAACTTATGTCAGAAAAAAGAAGAAATTAACACTTGATTTTGATTAAACAAGGACTGTTGCTTGTATAGGTGGTTTTGATTTCGACATGATCAAGCTTCCCTGTGTTTTAACATCCTTAATAGCAAGCTCTTGCATCATCTTCTCTTTAATAACTTCCCTAATTTGGTTGCCTTTTTATTCCAAAATTGCTATAAGAAACAATAGTTTTGAGACTTAAGAGTTCACTTTTCTATATGTTCACGATCTTCTTAGTGTAAACATCTGATACATTAGAAGACAAGGTGCTTATTTGGAAATTCAAAATAGAACAGACATAAACATCCATCATAAGAATCATGGTAATCTAACATAAATTACATCACGGCTTGTACAAAACTTTTCCCTTGTAGAGACAGATTCTTATATTAAAAGAACCAATTCCTTGTTATGAGAGCTGGAATTTACTCCCAGATTGAACCTTCCCAGTTTGTAATTACAGTACTGTTTCCCATGCATGGATAATCTATGAGGATTCCTGATTCCACTCCTTGGAAGTACATTTCCGGAATGTTTTGGTAGAAGTCACAGAGAAAGTTTAGGTCTTCCTCCCATTTGTATGAAGGTGGAATTGATTGACACAACTCACCATTGAGAATTTGATTTCCAGTTATAAATCCTGGATGGTTGTGGAGTGTTGCTTGTTCATCTTGATAATAGAGTGTGCTGATGGTTTCATGCAGGGAATCAAATTGTATCTTACCATCAGAGTAAGTAGCTGCATGAGGATTTAGGCAGCCGGGAAACTCAACTGCATGATTGGTCATTTGGTTAATGAGAATTTTTATTTCCTCTTGTAGGTTTGCAACCTGCAAGGTGAAAGTGATGATCAATGCGTGATTCTGTTGAGTTAAAACTGATCATGAGTATTAACACGATTGTACAGGTATTGAAGAGAGAGTTGTAATATAACAGCATTGAAACCTGTTGTTGAAGGGCAAAGATATGAGCAACACAACCGTAAATGGGGTCCCGAATTCGAGCTAGTGCTTCATAAGATATGGTGACAGCAGCATCACTTCGATACACAATCGGTAACTGTAATAATAGCTTTGAGACATTGCTAGCACCAAACACCTTGTGCACTGCTGCAAAGTGACTTGCAGCCTCATCATAACAAAAGTAAGGTGCAAATACACATTCACTTGTGCACTTTCTCCTCAGGAATTTGCATGCTCCACATGAAGATCCAAGCCCTGTCATTTTCCTAAGCTTTTACACACTTATCTGTGTCAATGATATATTTTCTGTAGAACTAAAGGATAGTAAGATTTCCTCTTTATAACCATCACTTAAAGGCTTGGAACTTCTTGTTGTTAAGCCCAAGGGATATCATCACTTTATCTAAATGCTTGTTCTTTTGGGTCTCCATTATGGCCTACATTGTCATTTCTTAAATATGGAAAGTTTCTCTTAATTTATGCCTTAAAAGGGCTTTTATCTTGAAGATTCTTAAACAAATAAGGCTACTCTAATAGAACACTCAATCATCATTATGATTGGTTGGGCTCTAAAAAAATTAGAGATAATTGAATGCTAAAGTATTCTTGCTGAACAATGTCATCATGTAGACAAGTACACAATAATCTGTTTTCTCCCTTTATATGGCAGTTATGAAAAGTTGTAGAAGGGTCACTGATCTTTGGAGCTTATGATATCTGAATATTTTCATTTCCAATGTTCCAGTTCTTAATTTCTTGCTAACAAGTTACTTGAAGTTTTTGAACACATGACTAATCTGACACATATGTAATCCTTGTATGACAGGTACCGACAGATTCAGAAGACAAATCTTTGTCTGAAAACTACAGAACCTGATTGGTTCTCAATGCTTTTTGTATGTTTTTGGCTTTTTCTAATCCATTGGGTTTGTAAATGAGAATAATAACCTTTCTAATTCATTTAATCTCTACTGTGCCAGTGTTCTTGTTCTCTTCTGAGCCAATTGCAACTCAATCAAATCACTGGTACAAATAGTTTGGCAGTGTCGATATTCTTCTGGGGACAGTTATGCTCGTGTTATTGTGCTATAGTCATGTTAGGGGAATCGGATGATAGATAGGTTAGAATAATAATTATCTTGTATTATATTTGATTTGTATTTAAAATTATAATGATGATTAATTATTGTCTTAATATATAATGATTCAATCCTCTCAAAATGGAGAGGATTATTTTTAATTCTTAAGATTGAAGTTATATATCTATTATATTCTTAAAAAATACATTAATAATTTAAATTGTATAAATTTTGAGGAAATATAATTTTAATCAATAAATAAATTATTTTATTTTAATCTTTACACATATCAAACATAAGATAGAAAGACATTATTTAATTTAACCTTATTCATAATATTATCTTATCATATCTTTTTATAATTTTGTATACCAAATACATTTTATATATATCAATACTATTTTTTTCTCAAAGACTATTAAGGGTATTCTTAGGCTTTCTTTCAATCTAATATCCTCTTAGAACTATTTTAAGGGTGCAGTCTCTCATATTGGTTTGGTGTAACAAATCCTCGTGAACATGAGAAATTAAAAAAAGGCTTTAAGATGTGTAATAATATCATTTTTCTTAAGGTTTTATTCATTTTCATCATTTAATTAATTGGTATGTAAAAAAAATTACTGAAAATAAATCTTAAAGATACAATAAAACTCAATGATTAATTGGTATGCAAAAGAGTTATTACCGATAAATCTTAAAAATATAATGAAATTTAATAATTCACTACATTTTGTATTGGCGAAATAAATCCATTGAGCATTCTATGACATGTAACAAGATTATTGTTTTTTATAAAAAAAATTTGCAACAAAACTTTATGGAAGTAAGCTAAATTTGAACAATGGAGGGAGAATTTAACATAAAATTGTTATATTTGAAAATTATTGTTTTATTTTTCAAAATAAAAAATCTATTTATAATACAATAAATTTTTTTGTTAAAATATGACTATTTAAATAAACATTTATTTGTATAGATATAACAGTTCAAATATATATATATATATAGATATATATAATTTTTCAAACATGACTCTTAAAAAATAATCATATTTTAAATCACATGAAATTCATGCAATGCATTATTATTAAAAATGTTCGGACATTTCATCCAGTACTATTTACCTGTGAAGCTTGAAAGCTTGTCAGAAATATAAATTTTGGGGTCCTTTCTCAGTATCAGATAGGAACCGGCCTCCATTATTATATGGTTTCATGATGGAAATAATTACTTTAACCTTTTAGTCAAAATCAAGTTCCATAAACTGGTGCATTACGGCTTCAAAACATTCATCTTTTCAGCTAATGAGAACAAAATTATATTGCTTTATATGCGTAAATTCCTAGTTTAGGGGTTAGATATATAGAGGGCTGGATTTGTCTTGATATGTTACTTCCCAATAATTATGCAGTTTTTAATTCTTTGGTTTTTGTCCATACTCCATTATTATTCTTATTTTATTCTGACATTTAATCAGGTTTGGCTGTTGGCCACTTAATAATGGTGGGCAGTAACACATTTCCAGCAGGAGTTACAAACTCAGCTTACATACCTATCAGCCACAGTTGGTGAGTTATGTTACTCGGACTCAGAAGTGAGTGTTCGGATTCAAATCTGGATATATGTCGTAAAATCTTCATATTTGGAGGATCGAACTTTCATATTTATGTTATAGTACTTTAAGAAAAATGAATACTCGCAGCAACTATGTGAGAGCTTCAATTCAACTTTTGCTTATTGTCTCTATCATTTTTATGATTCAAGGCTCTAAGGAAGTAAAAGAGGAAAATGTTCAGAAAGTGAGAGAGACAGGTAGGCAGACAAAATGCTGTTTACTAGTGACATGAATTTCCTACTTTTTCTGTCTTTTCAGTAGCTGTTCAAGCCTTTTGTTAATTTGCAATGAAACTTACGCATGAGAAAGGGTTGTGGGATGGTGGAGGGGAGCTTTTCGGCTTTCGAGTTTAACGATGATAGTGTCTTTCTTTATCATGGATCCATTATCGATTTCTTTCTTTACATCTGGATGTGATAGCTACCCTTTGCTCTAGCTCTTCCCATGGTCACCTCCTCTCTGCTTTGTATGAGTCACATTCCTAGTAGTTTTGACAGAAACCAAGCTATGGCTAGTAGATCATAGATAAGAAAGCAACTGAGCTCCAATTAATTTTCTTTTCTGCCAAATGTTAGCTGTCATCGACTCAGTTTGTTACAGCTAAGTTTCTTAACTAATGAAGATGTGTTAGGATTGAATGCGAATCACTTGAAGTTTAGGTTCCCGTAGATACTTGATTTTGATGACTAAGCATGTAGCTAAGATGTGTTTTCGCATGGTGATTGGTGGAGTAATATGGAAACAAGTAACAAGCTTACTTCACTGTAAGCGTAGGTTTCATGTAAAATTTTGATAAATCTCATGTAATTTTGAATTATGATTGGTTAATTGTAATGTAATAATTATAAGTGATATACTCTTTACCGTAAGTAAGCATGCATGAACCCGAAAAGAGTAGCAGGGTTTTTGGTTAATTCCACTCTTTGCTTTTGAACTTCTGGTAGTGCATGAATTGAAGATGCTAGAAACACTGTATCTTTGTGAAGCTAACTCAAAAGGTACTGATATGATTGCAATCATATTTGTTCCAGGGAGTACCTGGATTAATACTTAAACAATATGTGACCAAGTTCTATAAAAAAAACTGACTTAATTTTTTCATTCATAACCAAATACAAAGAACCCCACTCTAAATTTGATTTTGAAGCCTTTTTTTTTTAATCTGTTATCAGGTTTCCACAAATTATGATGAATGATGGCTACTGTCTGTTTCTCAAGTGCTGCATGTTTGCTGCAATTGGGGAAAAGTGGACCACTGTGGGGGAAACTTGACTGTAACAAAGTCCCCAGATGTCTTTGCCTACTTGATGATAGGCAACTTGCAATTTTTTCAATTCCAATAACTTTGAATTTGTGTAAAAATGATTTGTTTAATGTGAGCTGTTCTTGAGCCAATTCCCTAACATCTTTATTATTTTTTTCCTCAATTCAGAAAAATCTATGAGTGAAAGCAACAGTTTCCATCTGATTTTTTTCTCCCTATTTTCCCTACTTTTTTCCTTCTTTTGAAATGGTTTAGTTTGTGGCCCTGAATTAGGCCACGTTGTTGGGCTGACATGTCCAAAACTCCCAAAGTCATGCAATCTCAAATTTTGGGCTCTATGGTTGAAGATCTCATGGCCACAAGTTTCTCTTTTGCTTCCTGTCTTTTCCTTTTGGGTGCTGCAAAACAATTTTCATATATATGCAAAAGAAAAAAATCTTTGTTTGTGCCGAGCATCGAGTTGAGAGGCAGGTTGTGTTTTTTTTTTTTTTTGTTTTTTTACGTTTCGATCTCAAATAATAAAAATAATAATATTTAAATGATTTTATTTATAAATAAAAAATAAAAAATTTATGAGATAAAATGATAATATAATTAAATTGAAGTGATATTGTACATATCATATTGATTTAAAAAATTAAAAATATATTTAAATATTTATTAACAATCTCTAATGAAAAAAAAATTGTTTATCCTAAATATCCAAAAATACACCTAACAATCATATTTTAAGACTTGAGGTTTAAAATTTTGTATTTCAAAAGACAAGAAGAAACTCATTCAACTTTTGAGACAAAGTTCATGGCAATTATATTTTTTTTCTCTTCTTTCCCTTTTTTTACCCCCATTTTTATTTATTCAGATAAAGATAATCCAATTTAATTGATATCTTAATGTTAATATTTAGTATATGAAAAATTATGACATCCCATAATTAAGATTAGCAAGAATCATGTACTCCATAAAGTATAAAAAATAATTATAAAAAATGAGATATATAACATCTTTTTAATATAATTTATATATGATAAGCCAAGTAATTTTAAATTTATCAACTCATATATGTGATTGGAAAAGAAGATAAGAAAAAGCCATCCCTTCTTAGCAAGAAAGAGACTGAAATGTAACATCTGAAACCTGAAATAACTTGAAAATTTTTTGAACTACAAAAATTGGCAATTTCCATTTCTTATTCTTTTAATTCTATCCACAAATTCTAAGATATTTTTTGAAGTATAGCTTTCACAATCTGAATCCTTCCTAAATTGGTCCATTCCAAGAAGGATATTAACCTCTGATATATATTCCAACTTCACATAGTTACAACAAAAATTGAGACAAAAATGATGAAATTAAATTAAAATCACAAACAGTTCATTCACCTCATCTTTTGAACAAAACCCCAAGCAGGAAATCTTTTGTGTGGTAATAAATGAACAAAGATTTAGTGGCAAAGAAACAACCTTAAAAGGTAACCTCAAGAATGAAGACTCTGGAAATGCAAGCAATCGACATCTGCCACGTGCATGCATGAGCAATCTTGATTGTGTGGCCTTGAACGCATGAAAAAACATCCTTAATTTCTGTACACGCAAAAAATTATCCTTATAAGTTTTGCCCCATACTCGTTACTTTCGCTCGTCAAAGGCCACACTCTCTCCATTGAGCTCTCCTCCACTCTCATTAGATAACATTCACAGTTCATCCTTCCATGGCTGCTGCCATCTCCACCATTGGTGCCGTCAACCGAGCACCGGTACTCTTAATTATTTTTTCTTGGCTTTCTATATAGTTTAGTTAGTTACTTCGAGTTTTTATTGAGTACTTAATTATATATGTTGTTTTATTAAATCTTTTAATTATATTTGCGATCAGTTATCTGATTCGTATGTGTGTTTGTGCGTGTATGTGTGACTTGACATGTGTCTGGGGCATGTTTTAAAACATGCAAGTATTTTTTTTTTCATATGGTAAACAATACAAGTACACATGCAAGTAATGTCTGTCGCTATGTAAGTTTAAAGCATGCAAGCTTGATTATAGATTGGGAAATTGGTTTAGATGATGTTTGTGTCATGGTTTTGAAGTGAGGTACTATCATAAATGTTTTATGCAGTTGAGCTTGAATGGCTCTGGTGCTGGAGCTACAGTTCCAAGCTCAGCTTTCATGGGGAGCAGCTTGAAGAAAGTGAGCTCAAGATTCAACAACGGCAAGCTTCCATCAGGAAGTTTCAAGGTTGTTGCAGCCAAAGAGGGCGATGAAGAGAAGCAAACCGACAAGGACAGATGGAGAGGTCTTGCTTATGATGTATCTGATGACCAACAAGACATCACCAGAGGGAAAGGTATGGTCGACACCCTCTTCCAGGCCCCCATGGGAGATGGAACTCACTACGCTGTCATGAGTTCCTATGAATACATGAGCCAAGGGCTTCGCACGTAAGTATATATGATTAAAAGAATATAATACCGAACAAAATTTTAGTTTACAAAATAGAGCTGCTTTGCTTAATATTAATGAGTTCATGATTACATAATTTAGATACAACTTGGACAACAACATGGATGGTTTCTACATTGCCCCTGCATTCATGGACAAGCTTGTTGTTCACATCACCAAGAACTTCATGGCCCTCCCTAACATTAAGGCATGTTACAAATTTCACTTTGAGAAACTTTAAATGTTTTGCTTCTAATTAGTTAAATTTCGTTATAGCATTGAATTTATTGCCAATTAAATTTGAACAATTTGTATAATTTTCCCATTACAGATTCCTCTCATCTTGGGTATCTGGGGAGGCAAAGGTCAAGGAAAATCTTTCCAATGTGAGCTTGTCTTTGCCAAGATGGGAATCAAGTGAGTTCATGATCATTTCCTAGAGACAACTTCGATGATTGATATTAAAAAATATGCCTGATTACAAAAGAAATTAACTGATGAATTAATTTCAGCCCAATTATGATGAGCGCCGGAGAATTGGAAAGTGGAAACGCTGGAGAACCAGCTAAGTTGATCAGGCAAAGGTACCGTGAGGCAGCTGATATCATCAGGAAAGGAAAAATGTGCTGCCTCTTCATCAACGATCTTGATGCTGGAGCTGGTCGTCTTGGAGGAACCACCCAATACACTGTCAACAACCAAATGGTGAATGCTACTCTCATGAACATTGCTGATAACCCAACATGCGTGCAACTCCCTGGTATGTACAACAAAGAAGAGAACCCTCGGGTCCCGATCATTGTCACCGGTAACGATTTCTCAACATTGTATGCTCCTCTCATCCGTGATGGTCGTATGGAGAAGTTCTACTGGGCACCTAACAGGGAAGACAGAATTGGTGTCTGCAAAGGTATTTTCAGGAGTGACAATGTTCCTGACGATGACATCGTCAAGCTTGTTGACACCTTCCCTGGCCAATCCATTGGTAAGTCTGTCTGACATGTGATCTGTTAATAAGTGTTTGACTCTTAATTTCAGTGATCAAGATTCATTCAACCTCTGACAACCCCAAGTCAAAACAAGACCATTATTAACAGCATGCTTTGCTTAATTTGCAGATTTCTTTGGTGCCGTGAGGGCCAGAGTTTACGATGACGAAGTGAGGAAGTGGATTGGAGAGGTTGGAGTTAACACTGTTGGCAAGAAGCTTGTGAACTCAAGGGAAGGACCTCCAACTTTTGAGCAACCCAAGATGACCATAGAGAAGCTCCTGGAATACGGAAACATGCTTGTTGCAGAGCAAGAGAATGTGAAGAGGGTCCAACTGGCTGACAAGTACTTGAACGAGGCTGCCCTTGGTGAAGAGAATGAGGATGCTATCAAAAGAGGAACTTTCTACGGTTAGATCCCTTGATCCTAGAGGCCTTGATGGGAGGTTTGAACCTAAAATTTCTGGCAGAAACAATGTTGAATTGGAACTAAAAAAAGAAGTATTCACCAGATTTTGGTATTGGTTTTTCTTGTTTGTTGCAGGTAAAGCAGCCCAGCAAGTTGGTGTTCCAGTTCCTCAAGGATGTACTGATCGAAATGCCGATAACTTCGATCCAACCGCTAGAAGTGATGATGGAACCTGTACTTACAAATTCTAAACCTTTTCTAGGATATATTGGTATAAGAAAAAAAAAAAAAAAAAAAAAAAACCCTTTTCTTAGGTGATGTGAGACACTCCACAATATTAGTCTGCCTTCTAAGTGGATTTGTATCCTCTATTTTTGTTTTATAAATCTACAACTTTCTTCTGTCTTAATTGTTTGCTTTGTTCCAATCATTTTTTTTTATCAGTCTCCTGCATCTTTGGAAGGGCCATAAATAGTTGTGAACAAGAAATTTCCAAGCCTTAAAAAGTTTTCTAAGTGCAATATTGTTTTAACTATTTTTTTAACATTGGATAAATGTTTTAATAATTTAGAAATTTAAAGTTCAAACTCGAAAACTCTTTTTGCAAATTCCAAATACACCATGAATATTGATGTAAATGAAAATGGTTAGTTCCTCACATCTTTCTACAATTATTTTTTACCCCCCTTTTTTTTTTTTGTGATTTTGGTCTCAAATTTTGCTTTTATTTTCTATGAGTGATGTCAAGTGGGCTTTGTTTGGCCCTCTCAAACACCAAATCCCTTGGGCTAGTTTTTAGAGAGAATAAAAGGTCTGTCATTAAAGCCCATGAAAGACAAGAAGAGTTGAAAAATTAATTGGGCTCAAATCCAAAACAACATGTGTCCTTAATTACAATAGAAGTTGTAGTAGTAATTATTAGCTAAAAGGATAAAAAAACCCTAAATTAAAATTTAATAATCATTCAAGTTATTATTATTATTTTTTCAATCAATTAAATTTTTAAATATCTATTTTCATTAATTGACCTTTTATTAAAGAAAAATGATTAATTATTTTCATTCAATCAAAAATTTAATCGAGTGAAAGTAAATATATAAGGGTTCAATTTAGTGAAAATATATGTCTAAAAGTTTAACTAATTCGAAATAGAAGATACATGATTTAATTGATTGTAATAAAATATCATGAGTTTAATTAATTATTAAATTTTTATTTAAGGACTTTTTTAACCCGTATGCCTAATTATTACAAAATTTTTTTCCTTTTTTACAAAACATGTTGAAAGCTGAAAAAAAAATTATAAATATTGAATTCGAATTATAAATATATTAAATATTATTTTTAAATATGATTATACAAATAAATTAAACTAAATTCCGATTCAAATCTTTCATATTTCATTGTTAAAAGTGTGAACTGAAAGTTTAAGGACAAGAAAATTTATTCTATTGTTGGTGACAGACAAAAATTCATCCAAATTATAAGTTTTTTTTTTTTTTTACTTATAAATGGAAAAATATTTAATGAGATAACTCTTTAAGGCTTGGGGGTGGTTGTTGACTTCTACATAGTATGCATAAACACTCTGCCCCATTTTTTTTTATAGGTAACAAACAACTTAATCTGGAGAGAAACCTACCATTGGATTTAATTAACAATCCCAAGCTGATGCATTTAAGAATTTGACCTAATAATTCTTACATGATTTGTCTATAAAAAGAATCAACTTTTTTATTATTTTTATGTTTAAATAATTATAATTTTTCACCCATATAATATATAATATGATGAGTTAATATTTAATATATTATCAATGTAAAATTTTAATTATACAAGCGATGTTAAAAATGTGACATACATCTATTTTTTTAATTAATTTTTTTTTAAATATACTTAAGAAACATGTATCATTTTGTTAATCCCATTTATATAATTAAAATTTTACACTAATAATATATTAAATTTTAACTCATAATATAATTATACCAATAATTAATTTAATAAAAAGTAATAGTCAAAATCCTCGAAATAATTCAGGTTGTTAGAATGTCATTTGATATGCACTTCGGACCCATAACTATTTTTTAAAATAATAAAAAAACTTCTTTTTTAAATATCTTTTTTTAAGGTAAGACCTAACCATTGAGCAATGCATAGGGATTATATGATTTTCAAAGAGGCCATGATAGGAGCACCCAAAAGAGAATTAGAATTCAAACAAGGAATCCATGGAATTAAATATCAAGAAATAATAAATTTTTTTAGTGTAGTTTGTCAAATGAACACAAACTTTGTACATGAAAAGGGTAATAATAAAGGAGAAAAGATTCGATTTTTATATATTATCTAAGTAAAATACTAATAAAAAAAAAATTTATATTCATCGATATTAAATCAATCGAACGCACTTTTAACACTTGTTTTATTTTTAAAATATCTTAAAATCTCGATTTTTTATATATAAATGTAAAATTATTCTTCGTTTTAGCAACTTTGGTCCCATTCTTTTGACTTTAACTTGATTCGTAATTAGGACGTCATGAATCATGATGACAAAATTGAAAAAGCACAGGCCTCAACTTCCCGAATCTTGATAGAAATCAAAATTTAAAAAAAAAAAAATTAAAAGAATTAAAATTTCAACCTTAAATCCATTAAATATTATTTGAAAGATCTTGTATCTTCAAGCTTGTATTATTGCACATTATCCCCTATTTTTTTTTATAAATAAAATATTTTGCTTATAAAAAAACAATTCATATATATAATTGATAATTTCTTAAAAAATTAATAAATTCAAATGATAAATAAATAAAAATGATATGAAACAATATTATGCTACTGTTTGTATTGATAGTTTACCAAACTCCTTGGACACTTTGTTATCAAATTTGCTTACGACTTTCCCAAATTTTTATTATGTTCCAAGCCATTGAACCGAGAGCAACTCATCGTCAATGGCTAGCATTTTTGCAATTTCAAAATAGTCATTTGTTCCCACGAAAAATTTCTATGGAACATGTTTGAAGAAATTGACCTAATATGTATGATCGATCAAAAAAAGTCAATGATCGTATGAAAGGATCATAGTCAAAATCTATTGAGCAAAATGACTTTCTACCCAATTTTTACCTTGTGTTTATCAAATCATATTAATATATTCTTTTAATCCTTGATAAAGATAAATTGTTTATTAATTTTTAAAATTTTTATAAATTTAGAATATACTAAATATAATAAATTTAAAAGTGTTTATAAATATCCATTAACCAAATCAAAATCCAAATCCAAATAATTTCTTAAAATATATATATTTATAATTAAGCATATGTTAAACAAATTTTTTTTTCAAATTTAGAAATCAAACGTTTAACCTTTTTTACTTTTTTTCTTAAATGTAAAAAAGTTTCTAAAAGAAATTAAATAAGCATCTAATTTTTTTAGCTTTTTACTACAACCAATTAAAATTTTAAAAATTTACTTTCATTAAGTTGAATTTTTTATTACACAAAAATTGATTAATAACTGTCATTATTTTTTATCTAATTAAAATATCAATTTGATAAAAATATATATATTAAAATTTTAATTAAATAAATAAATATTTATATTTTACTAATTAGGTAAATTAAATTTTGCTTTTTTCACTATTTCTATGCATACCAATAGATTAATAAATAGGTGGACGGTTGCCGAGTAAGGTCGGCAAAAGTGATAAATGATAAATGTTGGACATTTAAGTTTGAATTTTTTCATAATTTTTTTGTTGATAAACAATTTATAAATTTGGTAAATTTATAAATAAAAATTTAATAAATTTATAAATTTCAATTAAATTCACAACTTATCCTTATCTTAAAATGATGTAATTTCCCCTCTTAAACTTTTTTTCCGATAAAAAAAAAAAAGTGGTCGGTTACCATATTGAACTAAGATTCTCAGAGTCAACAACAACCGACAAGAAATTGGCAGATCGCGTGGCCCAATTTAACAGCCTGTATGATATACGCCATATCCAATCAAAGCACACCGGAACTTTATTGACGCGGCGCCGTAAATTTTTCTCACTTCCACTCCTTGGCATTTATCTTGTGTCCCCCGTGTTCATCCTACTTCCTGGAAGAATCGTTTGTTTTATCCACTTGTCACATGCTTGGTTAATATGTGGCGGCCGACGGAAAATGGTTCAGATTCCTGCTCCACCTGTATCTGCAAAGACACGTTTTACCACGAAAATAACAAAAAAAAAAAAAACCACATGAAAGTAAATATATAAAAAAAAATCATATTTCATATATGAAAATTTGAAATTATTAAGTGTAATTACAGTAAAGTTTTTTCACTTTTAGAAATAATACGATGATATATATTTTTTAAAGGTGTTACGGTAATTTACTTGATTAATTCTTGGTCAATTAGATTAATTTTGAGTCGTTTAGATGGTCCATGCTCAAATTGTCATATCATCTTCACTCGTAGAATTAGCTCATTTTTCGTCATAGAATTAACTCGTTTTTCGTCAAGGAAATAATTCGTCCAACATTCTACTAAACTATTAGTAGTGAAAATTAGGTTTGATCTTAAAAAATGATTTAATCTTTATCGAAAATGCATTTTCACCGCAATGAGCAATAAACTATTAGTAGTGACAATTAATTATATTTAATGTGATAATATAATTGCAAATTGCATTTTGGGTTAAAAAATTCATTCAATTATTTAATCTAATAAATATTTCACATAATTTATGTAGTAGTCAGGGTTGTCAATCCAACCTATTTCTGACGAATTTTTATTCGATCCGATTTTATATGATCGATTTTTTTAAAAAAAATTAAATTTTAGGTCAAATCGAATTGGATAATATAAAAAATTTAAGATCGGATCAGATTTTAATTTTAAAATAAATTCAATTTAATTTGATCCGATATTATATAAAAATTAATTTTTTAATTAATTAATTATATATATTTATATTTTAAAAATAATATTTTATTAATTTTAGGTCGAATTTGATCGAATACGATTTATATAATATCGGATCGAATCGAATTCAGATAAAAAAATAAAAAAAATTTAAATAAAAATAAATTTAATTTTTATGATTATAAAATCGAATCGAGACGAAAAAAATTAGTTCTAACTTAACCTTTTGTCAACCTTAAAATAGATCCAATTGCATTGACAATAATAAGTTCGATAGTGCTTAACCCACTAACACAAAAACAACAAAGACATCACGTTGAACAAAGTGTTTTTGTCCGCGAAAACATTTTTAGGATATTTGACTTTGGTCGGTATTGACAAAAACAAAACAATGTGTGATATGTACTATTCTACATGTGATAACATGGACTAAATGATGAGAAACTATGGCTTTTTTTTTTTTTTTCTTGAGTGATAAGA